AGTAGGCTGTAAATAATGCCCGGTACGGCCCGCGCGGTAGCCTTCGGCTAGTACCGCCAGCTAGGATAAACCTGCCGACGGTGAATTCTTGTAACCTTGAATTTTCCGAGTACACTCGACGGAGAAAGTACTGCCGCAGTGTACAAGTGCAATTCTGACAGACTTGGACTCGGTCCCTATACGTGGCACTCATCGGACGGTGCCAGCCCCAGCCAGCGGAAAGTTCGGGACCCCGAAATGTACCTAGTTAAAGTGCGCTTTTTGACAACGGGATGGTCAATGTAGTGCCTTTGGATGCTTCAGATTGAGTCCTCACAATAGGACAGCTTCTTGTTCTCCGCATCCTTCTACGTTGAGCTTTGTGTTTTGCAGCTCGTGTTCTGTAAACTTCCTCTTTGGCAGAACTGACCCGTGGCCTTCAAATGTGGCAGCCCCAGGACCCCCCCAGGAAGCCCAGGCCGGCCAGCTGAGGTCAGGAGTTTTGGCGGCTGAATCGAAAAACTGTACTACGTACTACTTGCGTGAAGCCAGCCCCATCACGGCAGCCGCATATATATGTGCATGCGTATATGCTGTGGTTAAGATAACAAATCCGGTTTCCCCACAGCATTTGTTATCTTGAAGTCACAGGAAAAGCTGCGCTTTGCACGCTGCGCTCGCGACGCCTTTTCTGCCTCCACAACACTCCGTCTTTGTGACAGCAGATATCTACTTTGTATTGTATCATTTGGTAGGCGCGCACAGTGATGGGCGAAAGCGGACGGGACGCGGCCGCCTCAACTCCGGCGAGGTTTCTGGAATGTGGCGGCGGCCGGGGTTTAACGACATGGGTAGGCACGTGAGTCGGGCAAGGCGGCCGCGGGCGCCGCGAAGTTGTTGAATCATTACTTGAAAGTGGCCGCGGCCGCCGCCACTTCAGAGCTCAGCGCTATCGAAGGGAAATGCCTAGCTGGCCTATGCAGCTATGCTGCATGCATGCTGCCCTATGGCTAGATGCAAATTATGTCCTTGAAAGTAAGTTCCAGCATGGCCGTGTTGGGCAATGCTGCGATTTCACTGTTTGTGGCTCTTGCTGCATGGGCCTTTCTCGCATTGCCAGAAAGAAGCGATGGAAGCAGCGTGTTCCAGATTGTCCATGGCAGCAAGGATCTGCTTTCGGTGAGACGCGCTGCCTATTATGGACTTTCTTTTAAGCTGTCATACTTCAGTGGAAAAGCTGGTGATCGCTCACAGGATTGCTAACGTGGAATACAGCTCTATTGTTGGACGCCGCTTGTTCTGCCCCAGCTACAGAAATTTAGAGCCTTTCACATGGCCTGGCTGTAAATTGCATTGGCAAGGTTCTGAATGTTCTTTTGCTGTGGTGTAACATCGCAGTGAGCTGCAAAAGTGTTGCCTTTCCACGTGACTTGGATTGTGTGGACAGATAGATGGATACAGCAACATTTCAAGAGAACCACCCAAACAGATTGGCCAGCATCACGCTAAGACGGCTCCCAAAACATTACCTTGCATATCTTTGGACTTCTTTCTGTATCTTCTCCACGTCCAAGCTCTTATCATTCTGGACAAGAGGAGAAATGCCATATGGCTTGCAATGTTAAGACATTAAAGGAGGGCACGCCGAAGGAATGAATCAGTACATCTTTTGCAGACCTGCGGCCTGTTGAGCGAGGATGAGTTCACACTGTATAGTCAGCGCGTTGTGACCCCACATGGGGTGATCCCTGCAGCAGGTGAGTATTCATGACCATATTTTGAGAAATTTCTATTCCTTTTCTTTTCCTTGAGAGCCTTGTCGCTGAGGATTCAGTATGCGTCTTGAAAATGTCAATCTGGCCCTCAGTTTGGCCCCTCGGTTTTCAGCTCCTCCGTTGCCTGCCTAGACATGTTTTTACAATCGTTGAGCTTATACTAGACAGCCTCAGTGTAGGACCATCCCATGCATCTGGCTGTCTGGTTGATCCCAATCGAGGAGGCTGTTCATATGAGACTCCAGATGATTGAATTCGCCTCAGGAACCACTTCCTGTTTCTTCACTAGCTCCTTGCATTTTTTTTTGTAGAAATGAAATCGGTTGCCCTCCTCTCCGCAACTTCTTCACTGCCTATTTGCCTGTCAGTGCGATCCTCCCGCTGTGGCTCTGAAAAGTGTAGTACTGCCAAATGCTTCATGTAAGCAGAGTGTGCTTTCCTGATGCCAATCGCTTTGCAGTGCATGTCAGAGGGGGGGTGATCCAATCAGTCATCTCCAGCCCCAACGGCCCCCCAGACGGTCCTTTTCCTGTGCACGACTACGGGAGATCTGTCATCATGCCTGGACTGATCGACTCGTAAGCGAGACTCCACTTGAATATTACTTTTGTCAAAGACTTCGTTGGAGAATTCAACGATGTCCCTCCTTTGTCAGCAAGATCCTCCAGATGCGAGATGCAGAAAATTCTGTGACATGGCACGGTCACCTTGATTTGAGTCCTGCTTGAAAGAATCAGATTGTATCCATTCCTTTGAGGCGTTCTTTGCCCTGTTGCTTTAATCTAAAAGCCATCTGCATTTCACGAGATTTACCAGGTTGAAATAATTGGATGCAGGCACGTGCATATGAATGAGCCTGGAAGGACAGACTGGGAGGGGATGGCCACTGGGACTCAGGCAGCGGCCGCGGGTGAGTTGCACGCTCAAACTCATAAGTTAAGTTCCCTGGTCAAGACAATAAGGGTTGACCACAACTTGCCGTTTGCTATCTGAGAGTGGCATTGTTGGTATTTGCGCTCCTGCTGGGGTTTTGGAGCTCGTAGCCGATTGCCTTGTGTTACTGCTGAGATTCTTTGAAAATCTTGACAATGTGGAAGTGTGCCTCCTTCCGTGAGGCCTTTTGAGATCCAGACACCGATGACTCTTCCTTAGAAAGCCCGAGAAGCGCTACAAGTGGAAATGCTGGGCCCCTCGACTGCAAAGCGGGTTTGACTGTGCAGAGTCGTTGGGTAAAGAAACCTTCAAAAGTCGTTCAAGGTGGTCGTCGCAATCAGAGTATGAACAATCTAAAAAGCCTTCGTTTTACTATTCAAAGCATTGCAAGAGAATCTCTGAGCGCTTCAAGAGCTCCACATGTTCACCTAACGAAACCGTCCACTTCGGTTCAAGGAAGAATCGAGTCTCGCAGAGTGCCTGCCAAGGGCCTTGAATGGATACCGATTTTTCTGCAGGCGGTTTCTCCACTGTGGTGGACATGCCGCTGAATAACATTCCCATAACCACGACGCCCGAGGCCTTGGCCGTCAAGGTGCGTAGTCCTCTCACTTCCTCCGTGTCAGTCATCAGAGGATCGTTCTGAATCTGATGAACGACCTAAGGAGGATTCTGCTAGCCGGCGGCTTGTCCTCGCAAAAGGAAGTGTTATGACAATCCTCGTTTGATTGTTCGGAATGAAAGTTTGACATTAATGTCGTGAGTCTTGGCTAATGATCGCACAGAAGTTGTTGCTCTGCAGTTGAAAGCTGCGGAGGGCAAACTTTCTGTGGACGTCGGTGAGCTTTTCTGCTCTCGTTCTAACCATCATTTGCGGAATGATTCCCGGCAGACGCCTGAAGCCATCCAGTCTCAGCGGACGGTGATGTTGTCTCGAGTGAATGGTCTGCTTTTCATGGCTTTGTACAGGCCTTAGGTGTCACTTGCTCGGTAGGGAGTTCACTCCTTGCTCCTCCATTCAGCAAAACGGTTCATAAAACGATCGACAGGTTTGTCACTGTCCGAAGGCAGGATTGGGGTTTGCAAATCTGGGACTCCTTCTTCGAAGCACTATAAATTTTCTCTGCTGATTTAAGAGAAGGTGAACTAAATGCGTTCTGTGTCTTGCAGGCTTTTGGGGAGGGCTGACTCCAGAGAACGCCGTCAACGAAACGAAGCTCTCGGAGCTGCTCGAAGCCGGAGTCCTCGGTCTGAAAGTGAGCACGCTCGATACCTTGATTCGCATCTCAAGCTCTGTCGCAAGGTCTGGTCAAAAACTTCAGCTCCTACTGCAGTCGGATGCAATGAATACGCTTTGGTTCCCGGCATTATACTGAGCTCTCACCCAAAGCCCGGTCCCTTCGACGACGTTTTCCATTTCCATTCTAGAGTGGACTCTTCTCCTTCGCTCAGTGGGTTATCCGAGTTAGAGTGTCAGACGTTGCTGTAGCTAGATTACAGAGATAGGTAGTATCTCAGACTGGATGTTTGAATTCCACCGAATTCTGTGTTGACACCGTTCGGGCCCATACGCAAGCTACGGTCCTTATAATAGGAGTATGAATGAATGATTGAATGAACTCTGGGATCATCCGCCCGCTTCTCGGCACGGGCTTGTGAGGGCTCGTTTTGTGCACTCCCCGAAGATGTTCGACGCTGGTGGACCGTGCCTTTCTACTTGTTTGCCCTTGTCAACACAGTTTGCCTTTTAAGGACAAATCGTTTTCGTTGTGATAAAAGGGCTCACAAAATATAAGCTGGGTCACGCTTTTCCCTTTTCTTGTCAGAACACCCTTTTTGCCAGTTGCTTGAGGGGATGACAAACATCAACTCACAAAGAGCTTTGCTCTGAGGAAAAAAAGGATGAAAAAGAAGAGAAAAGGGTCTGGCGACCACTGACGCCCGCATGCCAGTGCTCAGGTCGCCCCGCATGGGTCCACGTGCTCGACCGCAGACAAAAAGCCATTTCGTCGATGACGTGTGCAGAGTATGTCCGCGCATTCGCCCTTTTTTAAGTCTGATTTGCTTTTTGCAGGCCTTTCTTTGTCCTTCCGGTACCGAGTTCCCTCAGACCACTCCTCAGCAGATTGAGGTAAGCGGTTTCGAGAACGACGCCTGTGGGTTTGAGCGAGTGACATGTGAATGCCCAAAAGGCTATTTTGGAGAGTTACGACCTAGGTAAAGTCTAGCGCAGAATGTCCAATCGTTTATCGGACTCGTGTCTTCTGGGGAGCGTTGTGCCGAAAGAACGATGAAGATGGTGCCGTCTGGTCGGGTCACCGCAAATCGTTGTTCTTCCAGATAAACGAGAACCTTATAAGGGGGCTTTTTTGTTGTCAAGGGGGCGGAGAAAAACCGATGAAAGGCGGACCGCAGGTTTGTCCTTTGTGTTTAGACAAAGTGATTGGACAGAGACATCCCAGGGACACCTCACGAGCTGGAGTGTGAACGATGGCTTCATTTTCTTTCTCGGGCTTGTCCAGGATTCTCAAGAATGATAATAAGAAGCCATGATAATAGTATGCTCCGATAAACACTAGACACCCTGACCTAGACACATGTTTGTTCCTCACCCCTATCCTCCTAAAAACCCCCAAAAAATCTTAACGATCCTGATGCGGTTACCTTTCCATTCTCTTCGCTTGCTACTGTCTTTTGTCGGACATCGATTCTGGTCCGAATGCAGTCCGCTTTGCCGGTTCTCGGACGATACGGCCTACCATTACTGGTCCATTCGGAGCTGCCCATGCCGGTCCCCAAGCCATCCGGTTCCCCCCAAAAGTACGAAACGTACCTTAAGACGAAACCGCCTGAGGGGTGAGATTACCGCTCGAGATCATTGTTGATATGCTCGCTGATCTTTTCCTATGTCTCTGTCGCCCATTGCCTTTGCTATGATCCGCTATTGTCCTCAGACCACAACACTGATGTTGCGTCACTATCAGATCATCAGGGGAAAGTTCCGTGTACATAAAATATGAGAAGGTTGGCGCATGCGAGGCCACTCTTACTCTTGCCCTGTAGTGGTTCACCGGGCAATCCGGGTTAGGACTTGTACGAAGCTTACTTGGTAGCAAGCAATTAGTAGGTGCTTTCAACAGAGCCCGGCCTGATACACTCATAAGTATCAGCGCTTTCAGTAAATATAATGTCGCGTACTTTCCTTCTCCCGGGCCCCGCTTTGCGTTATTTCTCTCAACGCCTAGCACGACTCTTGCTCAACGGCTGCGGAACTAACTTTACTGACTAGAGAGTACTGTGGCAGTGGCGTCAATGATTATCCGAATTGCTTCTTGCAATTAGTCGAATTGTCCCTTCTCTGACCCGTGCAATGCAGAATTCTCAAGAAAGATAATGATAAGCCAAGATATAATAAGCTCCGCTAACAATAAGAACCCTAACCCAAAAAGATACCTGCTCCGCACCCATACCCAAACCAACCCTACCCGTCCCAGTGCGGTTACCTTCTTCTTATCTTGACTTATTAGTATCTTTCTTGAGTTGAATGTGCATTGTCACCGCAGGGAGAGAGCCGCCATTGCGGCCCTTATCGCAGCCTCCCGATCAAGCCCCGCCGCCGCCAAGGCGCACATTCACATCGTCCACTTGGCAGACGCCGAGAGCCTCGCCGTCATTAATGCCGCACGTGCGACCGGCGCCAATCTGACGGTCGAGACGTGCAATCATTACATCACCTTTGCGGCGGAGGACATCCCCGATAAGCACACGGAATACAAGTGCGCGCCGCCGATAAGGGACTGCGCGAACCGGGATAAGCTATGGGAAGGGCTGCGCAGCGGGGGGATCGACCAGCTGGCGTCGGACCACTCGCCGTCCCCCCCGGAGCGGAAGTTTCTGAAGGAAGGGGACTTCCTCCGAGCGTGGGGGGGAATCTCGTCGATTGGGGTAAGTCTCCGGCTCTTCATTTTGGCCTCTTGCAGCTAGAGAGCTAAAGTTGGCAGAACGATGGACAAGAATGAACTCGTGCATTGTTGGCGCAGACAGGAACCCGCAAAGATCGTGCCCAATGCCATTTTTGGGTCGTCTGCTAATTCTTCGCTTTGAATGTTGAAACCGGAACACTTTCTGAGGCCCGTATTTCTCCGGCGAACTGCCTGCGTATGTGCGACTTCGCTGCGTTCTTTCAGCGGCTCCTTTCTTTAGGAATGAACGATTGGCTCCATTAACGGGTTCGTAGATGTGAAATGGTGACCTTTATCTCTGCTATGCATTACAAACGAATCTCTAGAGTCGAACGCTCTGGAACGAAGCCCTTTGGCTGGTGCCCCAAATGCTTCTAGCTCCACAGAAGAAGGACTGCCAGAGTTGCTTGGAGTCCGCGCGACGCTGTATATTTCGAGATCTGCATGAAACAAAGGTAGGCCGCCAAGTAATGTCATCCTTGTAATCGTAGGCTGCTAGAAATATCATCCTTGTAAAGGTAGGCTGCTAAGTGACGTCATCCTTGTGCAGCTCGGACTGCCCGTGACGTGGACGCGGGCGAAAGCAGTGGACGCGACACTCGAGGACGTCGCGCGGTGGTGGAGCGCAGCGCCTGCGAAGCTGGCCGGCTTGAAACGCAAGGTGAGCCAGAAGTCAAGATAAGCGGGCGCTAACACCGATTCATGCCCAGCTGATTTGGAGCGCAAGGTGCACCGGTATCAAAGATAACTGGGCCCGCTAACACTGGGTTACACTCGAGGTCAAGGTGGTTGGGTGCCTAAAAGTGAGTCATAGTGGTGGGTATGGCTCGGTGGTTAGCGCGCTTGTTAACCTTGATGAACGCCCACTTTCCTTACCACCTCTTTTTTGTCCACCTGTTATGAAGTGTTCCGGCGCTGAAGGTTCTGCTGGACGATTTTGCTTACACTTCAGAGGATCGAGATCTCTTGCACTGATGGGTTCTTGTCAGGTCCAAACCTCTCTGAAAAGGTTCCGTAGTTCTGCGACTTCCGACCGTTAAACACCGCAGTACAGGCGCTCTGACCGTTGCAGAAATGTGCTCCGAACATCACTGTGGGAGAAATGTGATGTTGATATCCAGATTCTCCGGCGGACTCAGGGTTGGATATCTGACTAGACGGATTGCACGTGCGTAATTGTGTGTGTCTGAAAAGGTGGACAAAACTTTTCAAGAAAGAAGTCTGATCTCTGCAGCCCGCAAGGCAGAGACTTTGTATGCCGAAGCCCTCAGTGAAGCGGCGAAGAGTCGAGCACGACTGAAGCCTTTGTTTGTTTATTGCCGTGCAGGGCTCCATCGAAGCAGGCAAAGACGCGGACTTCGTCATCTGGGACCCGGAGGCTGTGTATACCATTACCGAGGACATGATCTATTTCAAACACAAGGTGGGTGACGGTCCACATTCGGACTCACTTTCTTGTACCTCGTGCGATTTTTCAGGCTGATGAACCAGCTTGCAGCTCCTAAGGTTCTAGGCTGCTTCCCTGCATTCTCTTGGATTGGCCGAGAACCGAGGAAGCTTCGTTAGGTGGTGTCAAGCGGATCCGCTCGGGCCGCTTGATGCGCGGGCCGTTCGTTGGCCTGTTGCAAACTGACGGAATACAGAGAAGGGGAGCCGAGCCGAAAGGCGCCACGAGGCCGTGCAGCACAAACTTGGTGCTCTGCCGTAATCCAACTTCAGGGTCTCTTCTCATGATATTCTTCTGAGATGCGGGCCTGTTGGCAAGTCGGTTGAACGATTGTGCCGTTGCGCCACCACTGCCTTAGGAAAGCACACAAGCAGATGCATTGCGCACCGTTGGATAATCGTTTCAGTACTCGGTGCTTGGTTTACCATTTCAATTTCTCATCAGGATGTTAGCGTGCCAACACATTTTTGGTGAATAGCGAAGCTACGGCTCCAATTCTATCCAGTTCCCCACTGAAGAGGTTGACTTATGTGCGCTCTTTATCTTTTCTCCAGCTGACGCCCTACACGGGCATGGAAGTGAGCGGCAAGGTGGAGCACACTTTTGTCCGCGGTCAGTTGGTGTTTTCCAAGGGCGAGTTTCCGACTACGCTCTGCGGGCAGCCGATCCTTCAGTTTCCGCACAAGAAGTTCAGGGCAGCGGCCAGTGCTTGAACGTGCAGTGTGTTTGCAAGTGTAGCTTGTAGGAAATTGTCTAGTATGTACTTAGGTGTTGGAAATGCAGCTGCATTCTGGATCAAGATAGATCTGCTTTTGTGTTGCGGAAAGACGGCGGTATTTGACGCCTTGCCGAAGGTCAAGTGTAAATTATGATGCAAGGTGGACTTTGCGCGTTGGTTGTGCAGCTAAAAATTGGCGGACTGCTTCGTTCGATAAGTTTTCAGCTCTGATGCAGTATCAATGTACATTGGGGATGCTTTGTGTGCATGTGCGAGGAGTACGGTACCAATCTATTTAATCAGTTATCGATTTCATGGTACTGGTTGTATTATATGGACGATCATACGTGGGGGCGCGTATTCTTCACTCGAAATTATTCTACATATACGGGTACAAGAAATATAGTACGACTATTCGACTCACGCACGACGGACAACGACGTACAGTATAAACCAGACTCACGATCGGATCGACATGGAGCTGACGTACAGCTAGGCGAACAAATTCAAATTTGCAATCCAAATTTGCAATCAAAGTTTGCAATCTAACTTATGATCTTACGGAGCATAGCACACATCCGAGTCTTGAGACAGGTATCATAGTACGATTTTATTCAACGTTCAACCCGCCATGTGATGAACAATTAGTTTTCTACCATGTCCGGAGGCGTCCGCTCAGCATGCGGAATCGTCCGACGATCCGCGCTCATGCACTCCCTAGCTTCGGACGCGCCCCAGCCAAAAGCATTAACAAGGCGGCGGGCATACGTGGCCAGACGGACTGAATGTCAGATTGAATCTCATAAAACGAACACGACCTGTCCGTATGACTCTTTACTGATTCAGAGAACAGTATGCGACTCGACTGCAATCGAAAATTCCATCAGTCTAAAGATCAAGTCGGATCAAATCTACCCAATGGAATCGTTGCGTTCGTGGTCAAATTGCATCAACGTCTTTGTCAACTAATGCAGTAGACATGGTCATATGACGGACGACCTGCCCGATCGGCTCCTGGGGCAGTACGTCGAACGAGTTTCGGCGAGTCTCGACCTGGAGAAAGGGAGAGAAAGAGCACCTCAGCCTCTGGCCAAGCTGGGGACATCATTAAAGAATAGCGAGGCAACGACCGAGCAAAGTTAAGGAGATTAAGAAGCCACTGGCGTGCAGGCAGACTACTTACATGGCGCCAAAGCCCTGAGAAAGCAAATGAGAGACCTCCGAAAGGGACCAGACGCTTCGTCCCCGGATGTCCGAACAAGGCCTTACATCTTCTTCGAGGAGCGTAAACGCACTCTCCAAACGCCTTGCCGGCCAGAGCCATTGCAGGTCAGCTGTCTGGGGCCAACAGACAGAAGGCATCGACGATTGAAGAAACTCATAAAGTCCCACAACAACTTGGCCAATCTAAGGCACATACAGGCAGACTATTTCAAGAGAACTAGGTACGAGAGCTCTAAGAATAACCAGGTACGAGAGGCGGAAGCCGCACAGCACAGACTACAGCGGATCAGCGCATCATCTTGAAACTTCGAATACTGAACAAAACCAAGTGAACAAAACAAATCGACAGGACCAGACGCGTCGTCCCCGGATAGCCAAACAAGGCCTTACATCTTCCCTGAGGAGCGTAAACGCACTCTCCAAACGCCTTGCCGGCCAGACCCATTGCAGGTCAGCTGTCTGGGCCGAAAAAGTGAAGGCAGCGACCAGCAAAAATTCATGAAGTCCCAAAAGAACTTTACCACTTAAAGAGCACTTGCAGTCTGACTTGTTCGAGAGAACTAGGTACGAGCGCTCTGCACACAACTAGGTACGAGAGGCGAAAGATGCACAGCACAGACTACATAGCGCAGCATCGCATCATTCTAAAACTTGGAAAATTGAACAAAACCAAGTGAACAAAACAAAAATACAAAGGACCAGACGCGTCGTCCCCGGATGTCCAAACAAGGCCTTACATTTTCCTTGAGAAGCGTAAACGCACCCTCCAAATGCCTTGCCGGCCAGAGCCATTGCAGGTCAGCTGTTTGGGCCAACAGACAAAAGGCGTCGACCAGCAAAAACCCATAAAGTCCCAAAACAACCCAAAACAACTCGACCACTCAAAGAGCAGTTGCAGGCTGACTTTTTCGAGAAACTAGGTACGAGCGCTCTGCACACAACTAGGTACGAGAGGCGAAAGCTGCACAGCACAGACTACAGCGCATCATCGCATCATCCTCAAACTTCGAACATTGGAAAAAAACAAGTGAACAAAAGAAATCTACAGGACCAGACGCGTCCTCTCCGGATGTCCGAACAAGGCCTTACATCTTCTTCGAGGAGCGTAAACGCACTCTCCAATACGAACTTTGTGAAGAGATTCTTGAGATGCAGGCTGGCAAGCCGAGTGGGGCTTTTATCAGTGAGTCACAATTCGGTCATGCTTTTGATGCATAATAATTACGGCAGTGCTTGGATTATGCTCTCGCAATTTGAGTACGTGGACGGTGCGCATGCATTCTCTTGTTGAAACGTCATGCATGTGTATCGTGGCCTCAAGTTAAAACAAGGAATGATGGTTGACGGCGGAGTTGCGATAGTATGTCCAATTGACTGGACTCAATCAAACCGACTCAATTGATGATCTGTCGCGTCTCATGCTGATTCGGCGACAGCTTTGGTGGCTGTTCTTTCGCATGTTGTCAGGCTAGTGACAATTAAAGGTCGGACGTCAAGACCGGATCGGTTGAGGAAGACCTTATATACGTGCATGTACGGTACCGCAGTACCAACTTATGAAAGATATAAGGAACTTCTCGCGCTGCGACCATCTTCTGCAACCTATCAAGGAAGCATGTTACGCCCTGGGAGGTCATCGCCCAAACATTTGCAAGCATTCGCTCATGCAGTGAATTCCGGGCCTTCTCCTGATCGTGGTGCTAGGACGATGTTAGCCTGAAATCAGCAACAAATGATTCCTTAAGGTTATTCCTAGCTTCGAACATGTAATTTCTCCGCTAAATGCATGGGTCGCCAATATTAGCGAAACGATCAATGCGCTGAGTAAGAAAGAAGTAACAAAAAGCTGAGCCTTTACCCATCCTTTACCCAGCCACGTCCACCGGCCCTGAGTCCTTATCACAAGCCACAAGCTTTGCCGGTCGGTTTAACTTAAGGGCGGTACCGGTCTTGAACTATGAATCTGGACGCGAGTTAAGAGCGGTGCCGGTCTTGAACGTTACCTGCTTTCATACCGGCGGCGCTATTCATATAGAAGCGGTTTGAGAGCGCCGTCACTCTAAACGCACATGCTGAAATTAAGGGCGATCTTGGCTGTAATGTCTGGTTTTTAAAATTGGAACGTACTTCAAACGCGCAAATAAAGAGTGCTAAGAACCTTAAAACAGATTTGAACGGAGTTGGTGGTATTTTTAAAGTGCGGTCCTACACTAGCATAATGTTCTATCTCATTGGGTGCGCCTACAATACTCTCACATGCTTCTGATAACTCTATTTTAAGCGAGCAAATTGACAAATAGGGGCCTACAGCTAGCGGAGTCCTAACCATAAGCTGCGTAAGTGCTTACACTCTTCACGTCCTTGGAAGATGACCTCGCCTCGACTGCCTTGCTTTTCCGCAACGCGAGAGAACATGCTCTGATTGTGGATCCATGTTGATGCTCAAGGTCATGTCCTGACCTGCAGAACATAAAAATTTGCGTTTATGCTCCGAACCAATCAATGCACGTTCGACAAAAGATTTGGACGAAGGTTTGAGCGCAATGGACGGAGCGACCTGCTTCCTGGAAGTCGTTCTGCTTCACCACTGGCGGAACTCGCCCGTTACTAGAAGTACCGAGCAGATATGACGTCAGCAGCTGTTTCAATGTTGCCTTGTATGCGCGCGTGCGAGAAGGGGCGCGGCCCAAAAAGCCGATCCGAGTCTGCTCCCAGCCACAGGTCGCTCGCGCTCGCAGAAGTACTCAAACGAACATGACGTCAGTAAGTCCGCGAACGAAGATGACGTCAGCAAAGGCGGAATTCTCTGCAGCGGTTTCGATCGAGCCAGCCCGAGTTCATGCGCGCAGGGGAGAGGCGCGGCCCAGAAAGACGTCTTGCTCCACGGCATCGGCCCCTCACTCACGCTTGCAAAGCTGCGCAAGCGAAGGTGACGTCAGCTTAGGCGAAAAGGGAAAAGCGGCTTTGGTCGAACCATTCCGTAATTACGCGCTCGCGGGAGGGGCGTTGCCCAAGAAGACGTTCTGCTCCACGCCCACCGGCCGCTCGCGCTCGCAGAAGTACGCAAGCGAAAAGACGTCCAAGCGCAAACATAACAAGAACGATCTCGGTCAAGCTCACTGGAAATTGGGCACCCGTGGGAGGGGCAACCTGGTTGCGACCCAGATAATATACGGCCACCGGCTGCTCCCATGAAACACTGCGCAAGTGAACGTGACGGCAGCAAGCGCGGATATGCCACCAAAAATGTCAGTCGAAACTCCGGCAGACAGAACCCTGCTCAATACCTCGGTCGGCTGCCACCTTCCCTTAGCTGGGTGCCACGAAACGTGGCGACTGTTGAGTAAAGAAACTGAATTTGGGCAGAGATGGTCGTAGGCTGGTAGCCGCAAAATGGTAGAGAAATTCCACCTAAGTTCCTCAGGTACCGGCAAAAAGAAAGCATTATAAATGTCAAATGAGCAAGCAGATGGTGCTCCGGTGCTGCATTGGCTGCGGAGGCCAAGGTTTCGAAGAACGCGCTTGAAGCTACTTTGAACTGGTTCACAGAAACGGACTCGCGGGGGAGAAGAACCTTTCGATTTACACGCAACCTCACCTGTCGCCTTTCCCAGGCTTCCCTCGACCCGGCCCCTGGGCCAGTTGATGACGTCAGTCTTGACCGGCAGGTCTCTTACCGTGAGCGTGGATTTGCGAGTAGTCGGTGTAGCCCTTGGACACCTTCCGCCAGGCTGGCGACGTGTCAGTCGAATTGACGATTACCCGGTTGTGCTCGTCTCCCAGGGGACCACATCGGTCGGTTTCGTGTAGATGACTCGAGCCACGCCGACAGGCTGAATGAATTAGGGAGACTATTGTTGGAGACAGATTCTCTATTACTTATACCAAGATCGTTTAATGCTTCCAGAATCGAAGTTACTTGCGACAGAGGCTCTGTTGTGGAATCTGCTTTTCGTCACTCTTCGATGATAGCAGTGGTAAGAACTTTCAGAAAGAAGACTTTACCTGTTGTCAAGTTACTGAATTCCAAACGTGTCAACACATTCTTGTGGCTGAGAATGGCACGTCGAAAGAGGGTCCCAGATCTAAACAACCAGGAGGAGTAAGTGCCTAAGCGGCTAAGGGCGCAAGGGACAAACCCGACTCGGAATGTCTCCATGCATAGTGTCCAAAGTATGAAAAGAACCTTCAATCGAGGACAGTTCCAGAGAGGCGCGTTCAACGGGTATGTAAGGCTTTGGGAAGAAAGGGTCCGAGCACCAGGAGCAAGACATTTGGGTGGACAGAGGATCTGGAGAACGAGCACCGGCCAAGCAAGTGAAGACGCTCAAGCCAACAGACCTCTATCAGTGGCAGATGAAGGTTCCGTTTAGCCGGAACCCTTCAGGCAGATCATTCCGGTCAAATCGTTCCGGATCCACCTTGTGCTGCTAATGGTGAGCTTGTCAGTGCGTTACGGCACACGCCCATGGCTGCATCTGCTGGCGCGACAGGCTCTTGCTGGTGTTCACAACCTCGAGCGCGGGCTTGACTCCTGCCAGATTGATTAGCAACAGCTTGCCGCAGTGCTGCGCGCGGCCGCCAATTTGCTGGATTGCGCGATGTGTTTTCGATGGAGACCTAGAGAAGGGACACGTGTCAGAATCCTATTGGGAGGAAGAAATAGCTGGTGCAGCAAGCACGCAGCCTCCGCTTGCGCCGTCCTGCGCGGTGCATTCCACAATAACCTGCGAGGGGACGGGTTCGGAGGTGAGGGAATGAGTTGCTGGGGGCGGCAGGCAGGTAGTAAGCCTTTCCAATAGGTGCTGCCAAGCACGTAATTAAAGTTGCACATTTGAACACGTGGCAGGAACTACGCGTCAGCCTCCAATGGGGGGAGCAGATACTGGCGCTATGAGCAAAGAAGTGCTGCAAAGAAGTGCTGCAAAGCACGTAATTATGGAATGGGTTTGAGAGGGCTACTTCCACAAGCTTACTGTGGACTGTTACTGCGGACGGTTTGTTTGAGCAGACGTCGCGTTTCCCGCAACCCTTAAACCAGCATACAGGCACTGCGGATAACGGCTGCAACCATGTGACCAACATATGCGAAACGCGGATAACTGCTTGTCCTGATTGCTTCATGAAGGACCCAGCAAAGCCCAAAGGTCACAGAGCTTATTCTGCAAGAAGTCGAGGAGATCTGCATTGATAAAATAGTCAGGGGCAGTTTGCTGGACAGTGAAATTGCATGGCCTGGTTACAAAGAATGCGAGAATACTGCGGACAAATCAGAATACTGACCAGTTTCGAAAAGGGGGTCCCCATACTGCGAGAAAAATGGACTTCTAGCAAACCTTTGTGAGCCCAGTTGCCTGTAAACGCAGGAGATCAGCTGTTGACGCCAATTAGACGACCTTTTCTACGATCACCAATCTGGATCCCAGCCAAGGTGGGTCCACGAAAGCTTACCAGGAGATTGCATTTCCTTCCATACATCAACTGCAGCAACTCAACGCCAATCCATGCAAGGGCTTCCACATGGATAATTCAAGGTCGACAAGGGCACAGTAATGTTGGCAGCTTACCTGGAGGGCCACGATCACGAAGCCTAGATCCCGCATGCTCCCCACCTCCATGTGCGTCTCTCTCGCTCCTGTGACGCCAGAATTACTGACAGAGGCGTTGCGGGCCTCCAAGTCCACCACCACCAGGGGAACCACGCTGTGGCAGAGGAACGAGAACCAGTCAAAGTCCGGTTTAAGGGCCTGACTTCAGCAGCTCATGTCATTGCAATAACACATCTCGGAAGCACCCTTCTTTCTCACTTGTGACTTCTGGCTTGTCCGGCGATCTGATGCCGTAACCTGCTTCTCTTGGCAAAGCCCTCGTTTTTCCAAACTGAAGCTTTGCTGGCAGATTGCTCCCAAAAAAACCCCGGCGAGAATACCTCATATCTGGTCAAAAGAAAAGCCTGCATTCCTAACAAGAGTGCTAAAAGAAGCTTCCAATACTATTAAAGAGATGCAACAATGTAAACCATGCAGCATTGTACATGACAGGATGCAAGTTTCAGGGATAAGATATATGCTGGTGACGGTATAACTGGGAATCATGTATGATTCAAGTCCTGATGCATCAACAGTTTGACTAATCACTTGCATTTGCTTGAGAGTGACGAGCTGGTTACTGGCAGAGGTAAGAGAAACACATTTCAACTTGTGTGTACGAGTTTTCAAGTGGTCACACAGATTCAAAACTGTGGTGCGCTCACCTGCACCCTGCGCTCTGCATCCCCTTGTCCTTGTACCTTGCATTTCAGATAATCCATTTTTGTTTAGGAATCTGCATGCCACTAAAGCCCTTGTCCGCAACTGGCACTCCGGCCTGGGCCTACTTTTGGCATCTGCTGCTGCCACCATTGACACTCTCCAAAGGAGCAGAAAATGCAACCGTGCTGCCTGGTGCCGCCGCTGCAGCACAAATTGAACATAGAAAAATGGATGTTACTTCTGAGAAGACAAAGCGTTGCGCACGACACGCAGTGTGGCCCACTTTGCAACAAACTTTTTGTGTGAGCTGATTATTGAGCTGGGAACTTTGGCAAACTTTTCTTGCTTCAGCCTGAGGCTGCAGTGCTCATGCAGCACTAGGTCCGTACGTAGTGTGCGAGGCCGCAAGTTTCTGGCAAAGTGTGGCGCACCAACCAAACCCTAGCTCCGTTTGGCAGCCGCGATTAGCATGAGCGTTTCATGCTGCGGCGAGAATTTACAATTTTGACGCTCCCTCGGAGTTCTCAAAATTGGTTGTAACGTCTATCCCTGCTATGATTTACCATTCATGATTCATCAATTGACATTTCAAATTTTAGACCAAACCTGCAGTGATACATGCGCAAAACCCTCGCGGGCGCGGTCCAGCCGCCGCACGAACGGCGCGGGGCTGCCTCATCGACGTATAGCGGCCTGCCGCAGCCTGGATTCAATCATAGAATGCTTTTCTGCTTCGATCAGAAATATCGTCCCAGGCCGGGCCGGCCGGCTGCATTCCTGCAGGCTACCCGCCGCATGGGCCGGTGAGTTGTATTGCAAGCCAATGCTTGGCGCAGGCTGGGCCAAGCCGAAAACGATACCGATGCGGCACCTAGCTGCCCAGTACTTTCGGGGAGCACAACGCCTCAGCTGGTCCACGGCGCCCGGGGTGAGAACAACCAATTCTAGTCATTCTAGCACACCGAAGCTTCCATACTGATGTCAGTCTTGTTTGAAGGAGTTGAAAAGCCGCACTTTACTAAGAGCGGGACCGATCTGAATTTCGTGGTACGTTGTAGGATCGCTTGCGCTCTTAATAAAGAGCTTCACCCGTTTTATAATGAAGAGCGGGGGCAGCCTGAAAAGGAGACCGCTCGAGGATTCAGTACGTTTCGTACTTGGTTGTCCGGTCTTGACCGCTCTTCAAACGGGTCATGGTTTATAGTATGGATCTTTCAAACAAAAGCTTGCGTAGAGACTTCTGAATACTTCAGCCTCCGCTAATGTATCTGCAAAGATCTATCACTTTGCTCCACCCGGCAGGCTCAATGCGCTAGTGAGTGCCACAAGTCAATGTCTCAGCGGTGGCGTCGGGGGTGTGCTTGTACGTGCTGCGGCACTCATCCGGGTTCATCAGCCCCGCGTGCTCCACCGGGTCCCACAGCCGCAGCCGTGACGCTGCAGTACACGAGTAATACACACTGTCAGCCACAACCTGAAGCTGTCAACGCCCGGACCAGTGAGAACAAAGTTGCTTCAAGGGCTGCTTCTCAAATTGAAACTCCAATGCTTCGCAAAGCCGAGAAGGCCTACGACTGGCCACGACGACCAGGCTCATTTCACAACCGCCGCCACAATACGGAAAGGAAAGGCTTAAGGCGGCTATATCGAAGGACTCAGCTCTTTGTCGCCGCTCTGAAAAGAAAGGGCTATGCCCAGAATTCGAATCTCTGAAAGCGGAACCGGAAATGCTGGATACGCAATGCTGGCAGCAATAAATATGCCGGGTGCCTCAAAGCGTGCCGGTCCTGCATCAATGATAGTTTGCGCGTGCATGGCTTCTGCATATGACGGCGGAAGCATGCATGGGGACTAGTACGATTTTCGACTGACGTTTTACAGAAAATGCATCGTGGCAAAAAGTATGTAGCCACGAGTACAATTCCTCATAATCTTTCCCATGCAAACTCTGAAAGCAGTCGATAAAGCAATGTTGAATAAGCTCTGGCCTGAAAAAGCATAGATAACAGCGCCCCCCGTTTCCCAGGGAGCTGTTCCACTGTTTGCCGAATTGGCAGGGCTTGGCGTGAACATTGTTGCACGGGGCGCCTATGAAGTCAGCACGATTTCGCTTCCGCCAGCCCTGCTCTAGTTGCTGACTTCAGCCGCGCTCGTCTGTTTCGCCCTGGTTGCTTACGTCTTTGTCGCTCCTTGCCTCTGCTTATGCTGACGTCAGCGCCGCTCGTCGGCTCATTCGGCTGAGCACGACTGACCCCCCCGGTCCGCTCACGTCAGCCGCGCTTGTCTCCCCCGCTCTTACGACTGACGTCACTGAAGCTCCTTTACGCTCCGCTGCTGACGTCAGCGCCGCTCTATGGTGTAACCGGCTGAGCCGGAGTCAGCACGGCTGACCCCCCCGGCCCGCGCTTGCTCTTTTTGCTGGAGCGCTTCGACGACGATTTTGAGATGCGGGCCCATCGTCTGCGGACCATCCTTTTGGCCATTGGCCAGCCCTCCACTTTCAGGAATACGAAAACGTCGACAGACCTGCGTGGGACAGAATAGTATACTGTCAAGGCGCTACGAAATATGGGTCGCTCTTATCATGATCCTTCCCAGCAACCAATCCAAGTTGCGCACCGTCAGCGGGACGGCTTAGACTTCAAAACGCAGCAGGAAGGTTCACGGAAAGCGTGTATTCGGGCGGATAAAACATGAAGGAATGGCTCACGAGAGGAAGACGTACTTCGGCAAATTTGGGGGCGCCCGCAGCGCGATCGTGACTATTCCCACCACTCGATTTACGTAGCACACGTTTGGACGTTCAAGACATCAAATCAAGAATGAGGTTTGATAAATGACCAGAAGTACAAGCGAGTGAAACAGGGGGGACTGGCTTACAAGAGGAGTGTGAAGGCAAAAATGGGCAGCGCCTACAGTGCGATCATGAGGTGTCCAAGCGCGCGATTCAGACCGACGAATCTGGGGCGGCGATGATTCTTAATCCAATTGAATTTTTACTTGTCACTTGTAATAAGATTGTCATGCATATTAACCAGGGAAAGGCAACTCACGAGAGGAAGTTGATGGCGAAAATTGGCAGCGCCTGCAGCACAATCATGAGCGATCCCAAGAACGCGGTTGGGGCCGCGGACCATATTTTTTGGACAATACAGACTTGAAGAAATACATGAAACATCCGAGAAGAAGTATTCGACCGGCCAAATAAAACATGGAGAAATTACTCACGACAGGAAGATGATGGCGAAGACGGGCAGCGCCTGGAGCGCGATCATGACGATCCCGAGCGCGCGTTATCCCAGCGCGCAAAATCTGGGACAAATATAAAAACAAAAAAAGATAAAAGTTTTTCGGCCGATTGAAACATAGAATCACTCACGATAGGAAGATGATGGCGAAAATGGGCAGCGCCTGCAGCGCGATCATTACGATCCCGAGCGCGCGGTTGGGGCCGCGGACGCCCGAAGCCGCCATCGCGAGGAGCGCGATCGCGATGGACGCGGACGCGACGTCGGACACCGCGTTGATCAGCTCGCACAGCTGGGGGCCCGCCTCCTGGAACGGCTGCGCGCAGTTGAAAAGTGACGTCAGCAAGACTTCAGCAGGTTCCGATGACAATCAGCAAGGAATTGTGATGTCATTGAGGAGGGCGTAAAAGAAGCGACCTTCGCACGCCCTGTTGATCAGCTCGCACAGCTGGGGGCCCGCCTCCTGGAACGGCTGCGCGGACAAAACAGAAAGCTGTGACGTCAGCATGACGTCAAAGAGTCGCTTGAAGAGCAAGTTCTGTGTGGGTTTGATCCCAGCCAGAAGCGTGTGAAGGAAGGACGTTGCAGAACGTATTGATCAGCTCGCACAGCTGAAGGCCGGCCTCTTGGAACGGCTGCGCGGGTGATCTACAATCTTTGCCAGCATGGCGATGTCAGCAGTAGCGATGTCAGCAGTGACGATGGAAAATGTGGGAAAGACTATTGGGCACCACCACCAACGGTGGCATCAGCATCTCCGGCGCGAGTGGATGATTCAGTAAATGATGCGGACGCGAGGTCGCGAACTGCGCGGCTCACCATGAAGAAGAGGATGAAGACTGCGAGCAGCGCCTTGAGGATGAAGATGATCGACAGTTGCGTCCAACTGCCCTCGTCGTTGGGGAAAGACGCCAGCACCACGCCCTCGACGCCCTGAAAGAACAACAATGCCTCTTCTAAGTAGACTTTGGTCAGATAAAAAAGAAGCTGGGCCACTTTGCATTTTATTTGGTTAGCACCGCAGCCAAACCAGAAGCAGTCCTTTGCAGGTGGCGATTGGGTTGAGATCAAGAACGAAAGCTGCAACTTCACTAAATCTTTGGATTGGAAGCGGAGGCAACCCATCAAGGCCTCCGTCGTGGCGGGCTTTGATTGTGAACGTATACTCACGTTGCAGATTTATAATATTCAGAACAGAGTCCTATCCAAACGGGCATGATTGGTTGGTGACGGACTTGAAAGCTGGCTATCGTTCACAAAATGCAGCTAAGGCACTCCGCGAGACGGCCCTAAGGAGCCGAAAAAGAAGTACTTACGTAGAAGAAGAGCTGGAGCGTGAAGTAGTACGGCCGCAGGAAGCCCCCATACTCCTGCTTGAACTCCTGCACTTTGGCGGAGCCCCTGCTCAGGTTACGCGAGACCGCGTGCGCGACGCCGGGCCGTTTCGGGTTAGCGACCAGTCGCGGGCTCGGGTTTGGGCTGCCCCAAAGGAGGTTTGAAAACGGGTTTGGCTCCGCTGGTGCCGCAGTTTGTACTGCGCCCGGCGCAGGATTCGCTGCCGGGTTTGATCTCGGGTTTGCTGTGGAGTGTGCAACCGGTTCCGTTTCTGGGTTTGTCAAACCTTGTGCGGGCGTATCTGCGGGTTCGATCTCGTGGATTGGGCTCGTCCCTTCGTAACGCCGGCCTGGCGAGGCAGACCCAGGGTGACGCTTTTCCGACGGCATCGAAGTCGCTCTTTTCAGGGCGGAATGAATCGGTGGCCGCAAGGGGGATCCCCTTCCTGGGCTGTACCTATCACCGGTCAAAAAGTCCACCGGGCGCTCCAACCGGGGCCTTTCCAGCGCCGCTGAGGAGTCGGGGGAAATCGACACGCTCCTTGCGAGTGGGGGCTTCGACGGGCCCGGCAGAGCCCGGGGGGATCCCCCTGGGGAGTTGAGGGCCTCCCACGTGGGCGCCACGTGTGACGGGAGCTGCGTTTGTGCCGCAAGCGACGCTTGCTGTTTTCGGTACACGCTACTTCGTCGCCGGCTCCGACTTTTCGTCAGCACCGGTCCCCCCCCTCCTCCGCCCTGCTCATCGGCCCCCCCGGCCGCAACATGCGGGCTGACGTCACCATCCGACCCCACGTCGACGTCAGCGGGCGGCGCGGCCGCTGCCGCAGCGCGCGCAAGCTCGCCCGCGTCGACAGACGCCCTCCGGCCCGCGCCGCTGACGTCACCCGCCCCGGCGCTGACGTCACCCGGACCAGCTGCGGTCAACAGTGCGCCTCCATCGGACGCGCGCCGAGAGAGCGTACTGCGCGCGCCACCGACGTCAGCGGTCACGCTCCGGCGCATGGACGGCACGTAACTAGGGTGGCGGCTGAGTGTGGCGTCGCCGATCCGCTCCATTGGCGTTCCAATGAGGTCGTCGAAGAAAACGCCGTAGCGGGCTGTGAAAGGGGTACTAAGATTGTTTATAGGCAAAGGTGTCCTTCGGGGCCTAGATCATTTAAAAGGCGAATAGTAAGACCCGCTGAGCAGGTTGCGCGGTCGTTTGTCCAGATCATTGGAACTACCGTAGGACTCTTTGAACCGCACATACTGATCCATTGAAGCGCAGGAATCCTCAAGCTCAATGATAACCTTCTGAAAGCGACGAGAGTGTGTGCGAGAAGCGTGGTAACTTTCTCCTCAAAGTCTAAGGTCCTGAAAGCTTAAAAAGGTTGAAATTTTTACAAACGTACCTGTAAAGAAGCGGTGGCGCTGGGTATGAACAGGCTCCCACTCGCCCTGCGCGTGCCCGGAGAGTGCGCGGTCACACCACTTGGCGACCGCGCGCAGGCCGCGCGTGGACGTGTTCTGCGCGCGCACCTGGCCGCCCATGCCATCGTCCATCTCCTTCACCACGAAGGCGACCGTCTTGTTCTGCACAACAGCCAGATGGTCGCCGTAAGCGGCTGTTCAAGGAAGCAACCGTTCGAGAATCTGCCCGATATGAAATGCGAGAGACCACTAGAAGGTCACGCGTCGTTTATTTTGGGTCCCGAAGGGCTTGCAACGAGAGAGACACTCACATTTGCGATTGAAAATAATGCGGAGTTGCAAAGTGACGCAGGACTGAGATCGAAGAGTAGCACCGACCAAATTGCACAGCCTTGAATGATGGACGGACTCAGTTGATCAAAGCAAGCGTTCGAATTCGAAGCAGAGTCCGATACCTTTGCGTGCAAGCCCCACTGTTCTTTGTTCCGAATCAGCGACAGAAATCTACAGAACAAGAAGCGAGGACTTTCAACAAAGATTGAGTAGATTTGTAAGAATGCCTTACCGACACAACGTGATAGTAGACGTAAAGGATTGCCCAGATGATGTAGAAAACCACAAGCGCCAAAACGACGCCTCCGAGGACTTTACCGAGACGGGTGCCTCCTGCAAGGCGGAGGGATTGGGATTGATTGGTACTTTCTCCTTCGTTTATATTGCTACTGTGGATCGTGAAAGTCTCAGCATGCCACACAGTGAGGCAAGACAGCATGAATGAGACTGATCCGTGTCAATGACAGCAAATCCAGAACCTTCTGGCTTCTGAAATAGCTCGAAAAGGGAGACTAATCAGAGCCTGGCAAAAAGCACATGCGCCTTGGGCCAGAAGTCGATCGTAGTGGCCGCTTTTGCGTAAGAAAGATGACCAAGAGAGAAAGCTCCTCAGAAAGGGGAGACTGTAGGGCAAAATAAGAAACTTTGGGGAATATGTACGTAAAAGAACGCGCAGAGATCAGGCAGAGACCTTTTCCAAAGCGCAAACCTCCTTCTTCAAAAACGAAAGCCATTCCGATTTCCGTGTCTACTTCGAAGCAAACTCACGAGACCATCTCGGTCGGCCGAGAAAACTGAAAGAACTAGAGGCGCGGCACTCACCCATGATAACGCCGATGCTGGCGGTAACGAGCCCGATCACTGCCGCGTTGACAAGGATGAACTCGAGCGCCGGGAAAACTAGGATGTCGGGAACGTTCTTGAACTTTCGCATCAGGGGACCGGTGAGGACCCGGATAAAGAGCATCACCAGGAGGAGAGCGGCTATCCAGAACAGGGCGCAGAGGAACGTTTGGAGCCTGCAGGCAAGTGTCGGAAGATTGGTAAGTGGGCTGGAAAGCGCGTTTGAGTCGCGCGGTTTCGGTTAAAGTGTTGAGTTTGCAGAGTGGACACTTTATGAATGTGTATTGGGACGCCATTTAACATGTTTTGGGGTCAGAAATTTGTCGGGACCCTTTCTCGAAAAGGATAATTGTTTTCGAGCAAAGCGGTTTGCTGAATGAGGAACATTTCTAAGATCGACTGACGGTAACGCGAATCTAGCGAACCGGAGAAGATTGGCCCCCCGTCTGGGGCTTAAATCCAGTTGATTCAGTGCGCGACCACTAATTTTTTGAGTGCTTTCAAGAGCCGAAAAGTGTTCGAACAAAAGCGCGCGCTTATTGTATTGCACAAGCTAGAAGACACGCGCGGTCAAATAAGGAGCGCCGGACTTCGGAGAGTACATACCCTTCATTTGCGGTATCCGGCAGATTCCCCTGTAAGAAATTGGAGACCGCTTTCCCGTCCGTCAGCAGCGTCTGGTACAGACTCTCCATCAGTTCCGTCGACGTGGCGTTTCCCCCAACGTTACTCGCGACGACCGTAACGCTAGTACTCTCGTTCGTCGGCAGGCGCGCGGGGACAGTCCTCGCCGCGAACTGGGGGGCATCGTCCCCGGCCAAATTCCAACCCCCCTGAAGGAGCGCCCGCCGGTGGGGGGCGGATTCTCCAGCGGAAAGCTCCCCCCGGGCCTGGTAGCTCCGCACCCGCTCGAGCCTTTTCACACTCTCGCCGAAGCCTTTCCCGCAGAGCGCGCGCGCGGCTAAAGAATCGGCGCCCATGAGCCGGCGCCCCTTGGTGTTAATACTCCCCTGGAACAGCTCGGCGCTGGTTACACCCCCCGACGGCCCGGCCGGCGTTCCGTTGGTCTGGTTCGCCAGAAACGGAGAATCCGGGGTTTCGCCGGAATCGGTGAAGTCAATCGCACTGAAGGGGCAAGTCCAGTGGAAAAGCGAAAAGGAGACGGCTTGCGTTGCGTCGACGTAGACCGGGGGAAGGGGCGTCGCGAGGTTCTCGCTGGCGGCCCAGGCGGCCATGTTGGAAAAGGCGCCCTGCGGAGGGGGGCGGGTTAGTGGTTCGAAAACCTGGGGGCGAGTAGAGACTTGGCAGCCCCAGAAAACGGAAGTAATTGTGAACGGTTGACCATCAATCTCTTGCCCTAGTGGGTATTCTAGGCACGTAATCTAGTCAGGCCTATCAAAGATGCAAGAACTGTTTGCCGCGCTGCTCTTAGAGAATACAGGCCGGCCTTCGACGGCCCTTGTTGACCCGCTGCGTTACCTTAACCCGCGTCGAGCGTCTAGTGAAAAGTCGATTTTGCTCTCCGTCCGGTTCAAAAGCTGGAACACACTGACTGTACTTACTCAGTATACTATAAAGCTCAACATGTCGGCACCTTCGACGCAATCCTGTTATTTTCCAAGCTTTCTTTGGCCGACCCAATCGTTTCCGCTAAAGACGACCGTTATCATTTGGATCAGCCTTTTCTTCAGATTAGCAGGCTTGGTCATAATAAAATTCTGCGGAGACTACAGAGCAGTACGATGTTATTGATTACATATGCTTACCCCAAAGGCAAACGGCCCCGCAAACGTGGCTGCGACTCCCGACACCACGAGCGCGGTCGCGGCGGTTACTTGCACCGTGCGGGTTACCGCGGGGTCGACCTCGTCTGCGCAGCAAACCAAAACCAGGTTTGAGGGCAGTTTAAAAAGAAACCGATCTCAAATCCCAACATCTCGTCACGATTTAAATTGTAGCTTTGATCCCAATGGCTTCGAATTCGCCGCATTTGAAACGAGGCGCTTCTGATCTGGCTCTCATTAATAAGATACGGTCTGGCTTCGTTCTACAGCCTCCGCCGAAATTCCAAAGCAATCGCTGCCGGCTTATATCCTCTTTTGCTGAAACACCGCAGGTCTACTAACGGGTTAGCAAGAACCTAGAACGTGAGTTCTGACGCCCTCGGCAGAGACAAAACCCATCCAAAAGCTGGAGCACAAAAGTAGCAATCAATGTCCCACAAGATTGCCAACGAGGCAGCACGAGAGGGCTACTCACAGTTGAGAACCTGGAACTCGTTGGAGGGCAGGTTTGGGTGTCCCGCGTAATCGGCCGACACGTTCTCGGGGATCTGAACGATGAGGGTTTGGGAGGGGACGATGGCGCAGTCCAGCAGGTAAAGCTGGCCGTTGGTGTAAGAGTCGTCCTTGGTGAAACTGTGCAAGAGATGGAGAACATGTTTTGCAAAAGTAATAAGCTTTGTTTAAGTTGAAATACTCACCCTAAGCTGTGAAAAGGTGATTGCAGTGAGCACTGAAGATGCAGTACAAAAGGCAGAACTGCCTATCGATGTTAGGAATCATTCTGGACGAAGCTGCGTAAAGAGTGGGACAAACTTTCCTTTTCGTGACATGTTTCTCGTGAGATTCATTCCAACGATGGATTCGAAACGACCTCAAGAGTCTCATTGTGGAGCACGTCTTTGCCGCGTCCAATCGCCTGAGAACGCCGCTTTCGCACTCCCTTAAATTCGGCCCGTCCGCTTCATTCCAGAGACAGACGGTTCCAATCTGTTATCTGATTGTCGCCACAAGCTGGCAAGTGCGGCTGACGCCCTCCTTCCGGCGTCCTCTTTGACCTAGTATACACTTGTCCAGCCAGAACTCACAACATCCACTCTGAGACCATGAAACGTACAAACTTACCCTATGAGCGTGCCGTTTCTGACGTCAGCTCCGGACGGTCCGAAACCCGTCACGGGCTGTCCGAAGTCCACCAGCAGCGTCACGTTGACGTCAGTGCTGAGACCCGGACGCCCGCTGTCGGCCCTCGTAATCTTTGGGGTCGGACGTCCGGAATCTGCAAAAGGAAACGGAAGTTGGATGAACCTTCGACGCGAGGCCAAAAGTTGGGGGAAGGCCACTGAGAAGCATAAGAAAGTCCTCACTACGCAAATAAGTCCTTTTCTCTCTTGTTACGTACGTTTCCCGTACTAGATTACGACCCAGATATATTTTCACGGAACCTACTCCGCGTTGCCATGCAAACACTGTCGGGTCTTCGCAAGCGGACGTCGGGGCAGCAAGATTAAACTGAGGATAGGTTTGGAACAGAGCTTTTCGGATTCACGGGCTCCAATGTAAACCATCAATCTGCAAAGCTCAAAGAAATCTCAGCTAGTGTTCTTTATGAAGAGCGTTTGCGCAGAGTTTCTTTGGGGGTACGCGCTGATCAGTGTAGCAAAGAGTAGCTCCAAACTTGTCTTTTCCATGCTTATCAAAGTTCACCGTAATATGCTGTGAATGACGAGTCCGCCGTAAGGTTGACTGGGTTGCCCGCCCGGTCCCTGAAGCCGCCCGGCTTGGCGGCGACCGTCATCAAACTGGGGCCCGTTCCCTCCGGAACGACCTGCGAAATGGCGGAATAGCGGATAAGTCCCTATAGCTCTTGTTACTGGGCAAAAGTGTCTGCAATACCAAGAATGAGGTTATCCTACACAAAAAAAAACTGGCGCGCCTCTGGCCTACTGCAACTCGCGATCAATATCCACTTGCAGCTTTTGACTTTTAAGATTATGACCACGACGACACTGGGTTGTTGGAAAGCGTCGCTTTAGCTTCAAATACTTTGACGACAAAGTTTGGTTAGCTATTGTTACCTTCGCTCTCCGGTTCAAAAAATGATTGCAGATAAACGTAGTGGGTCAACTGAGGCAAACGTAGCGGCTAACGTTCCCTCCTTGAAGACTATTCCAGGCAAAGCAGAAAGTCCCGTGCCCATGCACGGACTCTAACCCACCTGAAAACGATACCCGGTAGGCCCATCCCCGGTTATCGTCCCCCAGGTTTGCAATAACCGCCTTCGCGCCTGGGTCGTCAACTGCTGGTCAAACCTCAGGTTCTGAAGGGATCCCCCGCTGAGCTGGAACGCGCTGGACTCCAACTGGGGGCAGGGTTCGCTGATTACGAGATACCCCGGGCACGGTTCGGGCACGTCCCAAACCAGGAAGGTTGTGCTAACCCCGTTCAGGGTTTGCTGGCTGATCCGGGTTGTGCCGACTTCCAGGGCGACCACCACGACTGGAGGAACAGGGTCTGCAAAAGAGGTTAAGGACAGGGTTAGCGGAAGCTGCTACCGTCGTAAAAGGGAAATTTTGCGATCATTAAAGCGAACATTAACGCCTGGCGAGGACGTTCTAGTCACAGCGGATTGCAAACATTCGGCCTCGCAGGGACGAGAGACTAAAAACCTTGTAAGACTACAAAAACTGCTGCGACAAACCTCCTTTTCTCACTGATACCCTCAACCAGAACAGTGCTAAGAACAGAGATCAAGAGCCACTCCAATAACAGCGAAAAGGCCGCTTCAGGAAGAACGCCTGTGACAAAAGCTCGACATATGGGCTCGACAACATGAACACTGGCGAACAGTGACAAACGCCTCAAGTTCTTCTAAGATGGCTTCTTTAAAAAGCTCTTCGAAGCTTCTCCAGACATCGCTCACCGACTGTGAAAAGTACGCTTCGAGAAGCGACGAGGGAACCAAACCCGTCCGTGGTCTGGATCGTGAGCCGGTGGCCACCGACCGAGAGGCCCTCTAACTGGAGCTGCCCCTCTCCCGCGCCGCAGGGAACGGGGGCGTTGTCGTCCAACTGCAGCGAAAACAGGGCCTTTATTGAACCACTCAAGGTCAACAAAAGCATTCGATGTAAATCCTTGAAAAGAGCGGAGGTCTTGCGAGTAGTGGGTAGGAGTGCAAGCAGGAAGAGTGCGGCACTTAAAAGCAACGAAGGTCCGCGAATAGTGACAAATGGACTCGGAAAGGCGCCCAGAAAACAGGGAATGGCTGTCTGAGGCAAAGCCTCGCCTGCTCTCTGAAAGCAGAAGCTGTGGCCGTCGCGAGATGCAGATCATCCAAATTCCTTAGGGTACGTTCGAGACCATAGTAATAAACCTCAGCTTCGATGAACTGCTTGTAGGCTGAGGCTTTTTTTACTCCTGTACATCAGTGATCATGCATTATTGGGGTGCGCTGGCAACATGATTTGCAATCGTCCAAAGCGCTTCTAAGCAACCCACGCTGAAGGAAAGATGCCTCTGCATCAAACACCACAAAGCTACCTTACGCGCAAGCAGAAGAGACCTCACCTGGCAGGTAGAGACGCAGGGCGTGTTCACACAAGCGGCCGCGCTCCCGCCCGTCAGCTGGAAGGCCAACCTCCACTGGTTGGTGTTAATGAACTCGCCGATCGGGGGGTTTAACACCATGGTTCCCAGGTCCGCAGGCGCCGCGATTGTGTACGCAGGAGTGGTGTCAAGCGTCCGGGGGAGTGACGTCATCATCTGCTGGACTGTCCGTACCATCTGGGAGTCCGGAGCGGGGTTGATGATCTGCCCGGTTGACAGCTGGATGACGTTACTTGAGGTGTTAAGTGGCACGGTGACGGCAGAGGGGACGGTACCCGGGGGGTTCGTACCGGGCACTGTGGTGGGCAGGGGTGAGGTCGGGATGGAAGGGACCGGGGCGGGCGAAAGGACCGGGATTGGAGTACCTGTAGACGAGAGGAACATGGATTCCATTAGGAAAACAAGCGAGGAATACTTCAGAAGAGCAGGACGGCTAGTGACCTTCGACCTCGATAAAAAGAAACGACTGAGTTGGAAGCCAAGACTCTCGAGTAAGATTGGAGTATCTGAAAGAAAAAGGAAAACGGGACCTGATGCACAAGGGGCTGACGAGAGGTTGGAAGACGAGATCCGGCTTGAGCCGAACCCAGTGGTGTGGGTCAATAAGTCCAAAGCTGCCACGCAGTCCGATCGCTTGTTAGTCTGTGAGACCAGGGACGTCCGCTCGGGAATGTGCGCAATTCTAGACTTTTCTTGAGAGGATAAAAAGTTGGATCTCATGTAAGCCCAGCCAAAGCCAGGCGACTCCTTTCGAGACCGACGCGACGCTTAACTAGTAGACGGAAGAGGACCCGAAGTCAGGAGGCGACAGAGGAATATTCAATCACGCTTCTTCGTACTTGCAGTTTTCGCAGCCGTCTCTGAGCGCATCTGGGCCGAGCCCACCTCTTTCATCATTACAGCGAAGAACTTAACTTCTCTTTATCGTTACATCGAAGAACAGAACTTTAAAACAAGACGATGCGCACACAGGCTAAAACACGACCAGTTCAGATTCCGTCAAATGCTTGCCTGTCTGCGCCAGAACAGCAGCCGGGGAAACGGTCGCGCCCGGTTGCGTCTGCTGCGGTGCAGGGAAGCTCTGCCCGGGGGGGGCAACCGGGGCGTTCGTCGACCCCCCCGGCACTGCCAAAGTCGGGCTCGGACTTTCGATTGCAAAGTCTGGCGCGGGCGTGGTTTGGGCGGCGGTTACCGTTGACCCTACAGAAGGTGCGGCGGAGCGAATTAGTGCGGCGGGCGGAGTGACTGACGGGGTGGTTAGTAGCGGGTTAGTGACTGTGGTTGACAGCGTTGGTCTGGGTAATGGAGGGTTAGCGAAACCCGTTTGGAAAAAGGGCAGTGGTGACCCGATGGGTAGTTGGTTGAAGCTCAACGTGACGACTGGGACGGGCGAAGGAATCAGTGGAGGATTAGCAGAAGTGGTTAGCGGCGAATTAGTAGGAGCGGTCAGTGAAGTATCCGTAGAAGCGGGCAAAGCTAAAGTGCTTTCAGTTGGTGTCAGTATTGGGAGACCGGTGAAGGTCGTTTGGACTAATTTGGGTAGTGATGACCCTGGTGGGTTCTCAGTAGATAAAGTGGGTTTGGTTTGGGCAGTCGACAGCGTTGACGCAACTGGAGTTTGTGTGGGGTTAGAGACACTGCTTAATATTCGTAATGACACCCAACCGGCGTAGTCGTAGAAATTGCTGGAGGCCCGGTAGAACCAACCGGGAAGACGGTGACCGAGTTAGGAGCAATCGGGTTAGTACCTTGCGGAGCGGGGGTTCCAGCCGGGGTTAAAGTCGGGGTTACTGGCGCAGTTGTCGGGCCGAAAGGGACACTGGTTAACGTGCTGGGGGCAGCCGTTGAGCCCATTGGGGAAAGGGTCGGCGAACCCGGGGTTAGAGTTGGGGAACCCGGGGCTGATGTCGGCGATCCTGGAGCATTGGTGGGTGCGAAAGTTGGGGGACCCGGGGCACCGACTGGTGTGCCCGGCGTTAGGGTTGGCAAACCTGGGGTTAGGGTAGGTAACCCTGGGGCTAGCGTCGGCAAACCCGGGGTTCGGGTCGGCGAACCCGGACCAGCGGTAGAACTCCCCGAGGATGACGTCGGGATGACCGGGAGGGGAGTCGAGCCGACAGGGGAGGTTGGACTCGGGGTAGCGGTTGGTCCGGTTGGAGCAGAGGTTGGAACTGCTGGAGCACCGGTAGTACGGACCGGGGAAGGAGTCGTGCCAACCGGGGCTGGAGACGTGGCAACCGGGGGGAGAGTGGAACCGCCCGGAGCAGGGGTGGTACCAACCGGGGCAGGGGTGGTACCAATCGGCGAAGGGGTTACGGGTGGTAGAGTAGAACCACCCGGGGCAGGGGTGGTTCCAACCGGAGCAGGGGTGGTACCCACCGGGGGAGAGCTCGGGTCAACCGGGGCAGGGGTCGTGCTAATCGGGGCAGGAGTTGTGCTAACCGGGGCCGGTGTGGTGCTAACCGGGGCCGAGGTTGTGCTAACCGGGGCAGGGCTGGTGCTAACCGGGGCAGGGGTGGTGCTAACCGGGACGGCCGTCGTGGGGACCGGGGTCGGGGTAACAGGATCCGGGGCAGGTGTGGTAGGAAACGGGGTCGGGGTAACAGGAACCGGGGCCGGTGTGGTAGGGACCGGGGCAGCAGTCGTTGCGACCGGGGCAGGGGTGGGAGGTCCAGGCGTGATACCGTAAGCCACGTCCTGCAAAAGAGAGCCCGGAAAACGGATTCTACCAGCGTGGAACAATGCTTTGGAATTCATTGTGGCGAGCCTTGATCTGATGATAATAAGGAATGGATCGTCTCGCAAGGAGAAACGTCTCGCAAGGACAAAGGTCATTACAATGCGATGGCGACTGGTCTGAACGGGCGAGCAGATAAGAAAGGCTTCCAGAGCTGATCCTCCCGTACAAAAACAACTTTTCGTAAGCCCCAGATGGGTCAAATCGCGCCGGTGCAAACAATAAGAATCGCACCGTTCGAGGGTTACGCTGCTGTAATCTTGAACAAGATTGTCCGGGCTTGGAACGCTCGTAGTCGACAGCTTTCTTCTCGGTCCTCTTACACCTTTCACCACAGAGGCGCGCGATTTAAGCGACCTTTCAGCAGAGGCGCCAGCCAAGAAGTCGCCGGACTCTCACCTGCTGCTGCCCAGGTGCAGCCGTGTTGCCCTCGTAGATACTGCCCGGGTCGTTATAAGTACCGCCGGCAATAAAGGCCGCCCCTCCGGCGCCACTCACCTGCATAGATGGTTTTGCCAGGATTACGTTGTGGGGTCTAAGGGATTCCAAAAACTCGAAATTCAGGACTTTAGATTTCAGCGTTAGGGATCACAGGTTTTGAGTCTCAGCTAAACTAGCGTTTCGAGGGTTTCAGTAAACTCAGTTACTGTGACCGCTGGACTAGCGCGTCGCATCAGCTCGGTTCGTCAGATTGCCAGCAGAGAATCCCAATCGGACGCTCACTAACAAACTTTATCATATCACGAGTCTTTTGAGAGCAGGGCTTTCCGAGTCTCTTGGCCATCCTGACTCGCACGGCTATCTCTCTTCTCTGGCTTTGCTAAACCCCTGATTTCACGAAGTTATTTCAGAACGGAAATCGACACTGGGACCAATGTACTCAGCCCTCTTCGAAAACGCCCTCTTCTTCTTTTTCGTTTTTGCTCCGAAGGCGGAAGAGCGTCTCTGGGCTGGCTTCTTCGGACTGTTCATGAAAGGCCCTCGCAGTGTGCCAAGTGATTCCCACACCTCTGAGAGTAGTATGCGTCGACTTGACACTCCAAAAAGCGTCAATCTGAGGAAGCTTCCGAATGGGACCGCAACAATGCGTCCAAACCAGCCTTTGATACTGTGTCCGAACAGACTCTGACACACCGTTTGGACAATTTGGATACAACGACTGAACGGAGAATCAGCAAACCCGCGCCCAAGCTGGGTGTATATATTGTTGATGTTAGGTGCTTAGTCAGATCAGCGTCCCGGCAACACTTACCGCTGAGTTCGAGACGAAGCTGCAACTGATGCAGTTCGTGATTCCGCTGGATTGGTAGAGGGCGCCCCCGCTCTGCAAGTTAAGAAACGGAAACGGATCGTCAGTGATCCCCAACACGTCTCGTCGTTGTGCGAGACTCTTAGAAACAGCCAACATAAGGAGAACGATGACGTGAAGCTAAAATCGATTGAAAGGAGAAAATTTTCTGCCCATTCAAAGGCGCGCCGTTTGACCAACAGTTTGTCTTTAAGCCGGGTGTCGGAAAAAGCCTTTGAAAGTTTTGCAAAATGAGGGACTAGGAATGGTCGTGGATTGGCGAACGGAAGGTCCCTCCTTTTGAGAGGACAAAGAAGGGTGGTGACCAGACAAAAGAGGAATATTAGGGTGACGAAATTGGAGAGATCTCGATACTAGTCACCGTATCTTCCTCCTGGACTCAATCGTGTCGATAGGTTCTCCCTTCCTAGTGGCTTCCAAGTCGTCACCTCGTCATGGTTGTCAACATCGCGTCGATCCGTCTCAACGCGATGACAGCTCGCGCGGAAAGCGGAGCACCGACAGAAAACGGAGCGCCAGCGGAAAGGGAAACAGTCGCAGGCGTTACTTCTTTTCGTTCTGCTTCGACCCCGCAAGCGAGCTGCTAACCAACTAACAAACCCCGAGGAAGAAAGGAGACCCCACGGACCGAGCGAGCTGGGTTGAGCTTTACCTGGTCTGCCGTGTTGTACTGGAAGTAGCAGTTGGTGCAGTTGAAGGTCCCGCCGTCGTTGTAAACGGCTCCGCCGTTCTGCGCACAATTGCAAAAGTATGAGATTTTATTTCTTTGACGGCAAAGACATTTGAAATTCTTGCAAAGTAGAGAATCAAGGTTTTGGGTCGGCAGGGTTCACCAGAATAGATAAGCGAAGTGCATCAAAGCGAAGGAGCGGCTCTAAGGAAGAAAAGGCGATTCGAGAGAAGGCAGCATTCGACGCTCGACGGTGGTTATTTCTGTTGATTGAACGCTTGCCAAAATCCAATTGCACGATAAGAGTCGATGCTGCGTCTGACCCACAGGCCCGAATATTCTTCGATTCGCTTCTGACACACTCACCACTGCCTCTTGATAGAACCAGATTCTCTGCCGCCCCAAGACCTTCTTTCCCGCAGACCCTTTTCCCGCAGAGTTCTTTCCCGCAGACTCCAGATAATTCAGATGTGGATTAGCACGACACTGGGCTCAAGTCTTAGAGTAGAACAGCTAGAAGATGTCGAAACAGTGTCAAAAGCGGGACTTACAGTAGCGCTCCCCGAATCGAACTGCAGATTGGTGCCGTTGAAGGTCCCCCCCGGAGAGATATACAGCAAACCCTGCGAAATGCGAGGGGAATAGCTGATATGCGCCGCAAGAAGCCTCTTCAATCGAAATGGCAGCTCTCTTTACACCCGCAGAAGAAACTTCAGGTGCAGGCATCGTTCAATCAAATCAGGATCGCGCCCTAGAAGGGCCACAAAATCAGCAAAAAGCAAGCAAAAAGCAGCAAAAGATACGGGGGATTTGTGATATCAAGTAAAGATTGAGGAGACCCGAAGGAAAAGAAAGCCAAGGAAAAGAAAGCCCACCCCGTTTGTGCCCTGATACCCGTTCCCTGCTAACGTCATGTCCTGCGCCGACACCGTCATCCCAGGGCCCACTACAAAGAGAGGCCCTGACGTCACTTGCAACAGCCTCCTGCTCGGTATCTGTGGCGGACTGCCAGCACCGAAAGAGTCTCCCCCAACCGGGGGGGGTAGTGACGGGGAGCTCTGGATCCCCCCCGAAGGTGTGGCAGTCGGAGGGGGGGACGTTGGAGTGGGTGTGGGGGTGTCAGAAGGGGGTGGGTTCAGAGGGGTTTGCGGGAGGAGGGAAGAATTTGCCGGGGTTTGGACGGGGGGAGGTGAAGAACTTTCAGACGTTTCTGAAGGTGGGGGTAGTAAGGGAGCTTGAGTAGTCTCTACAGGTGGGGGCGTGGCCGTAAGCGAAGTTGGGGTCGGGGGGGCGAGAATATTGGAGATGCCGTCCCAGGGGGGGGATGGGCAGCGTTTCCGGGGGGCTGTTCGTGGAGACTTCGTCTGCCAGGGGGGGAGAAATGTACGTTGGCGGGGGAGGATACGGCGCAGTTTCGAGAATAGGGGGGGGTGCTGAAAGCGCAGGGGGTGGAAGTTGCAAATCCTTGGAAGGGAGGGGGGACGCAAGCAGCGGCGAGGGCGCGACGAAAGGGGGGGGTGGCGCGGAGCCTTCTATCACGATCGTCGAGCCCCACCCCAGGAAGGTGACCGTCCGCGCGAGCGGCGGAAGGGGCGCGGAAAGTACGTAAGTCCCCAGGGCCATGTACACCTCACAAGACCCGGAAGCGGCGCAGAATATGAGCGAAGTGACGTCAGCCACCTCGCAAATGTCGTCACAGGCGGGGAGCGGAAATGTGGGGGCGGGGGTGGGGGAGGGGGGAGTGGGACGAATTGCTGGGGGTGGGAAAGCGGGAGCGATCGCCGGAGGGGGAAAGGCGGGGAAAGGGGGTGGTAACGATGGCACGGCGGGTGGGGGAGGGTTACCTAGGGGTGGAAACGGAATGCGAGATGATGTGGTGAAAGTGAGGAAGAGACGACAGCAAGTGGAGGAGAAGACCTATCGTAAAATGTTGAGCATCGCAGTGCGGGCACTCAGGAAGCAGCGAAGAACAACAAGAAGGAAAACTCAGCATCGGATCTCAGCAAGAAAATCAGCAAAGGAATGGGCACATGTTTGAAAACCCTCGGCGAGCATTTACCTCGTTCTTTTTTGAGACAGACTGGTTCACGACTCGTGAGCAGCAAAAAAGTGCACGGAAAAAGCGAGAATACGGTATTAGCAGCTGAAAGAACTCACTTTCTGCCGGTATTGGCGGTGGGCTCGAGAGCGGGGGGGGCACCAACACCGGGGGAGGAAACGGCACGCTCGATGGGGGGGGAGGTAAATTTGGAGGTGGTGACGAAAGAGTTGGGGGGGGCGCTAGGGGGGGGGGCTGAGTTGGAGGCGGATTGAGGAGGAGAGGGGGTGGGTTCACCGAAGTTGGGGGCGCAAGAACCGGAGGGGGGGGGATACTTTCGGGGGCGGAAAAGTTGAGGGGGGGGCTGATTTGGAGGCGGATTGAGAGGGACGGCGGGGGGGTTCGCCGGAGGGGGGTGGGCAAGAACCGGAGGAGGAGGTGATACTTGGGGGGGTGGAAAACTGGCAGGAGGTGGTAGTGAGCTGAGAGGGGGCGGAGGGGAAATGAGGGGCGGCGGGGGGGATCGGAGCGGAGGGGGGGGAGCCACTCGTGGTGGGGGGAACTGGGGAAGGGGGGGGGCGCAGGATCTGCGCGGAGAAAAGAAGAGGCTCAAAAAGAGAGGAGGGAGACTCGAAAAAGGTGCATGCGCGTGCAAGAACAAAACGAGCAGGCAAAGCTTCTGCAAGAAAGAAAAGCTCTAACGATTCCGCTGGCTGACCTGGCAGAGCATTGTGGATCAGTCCGGCTAACTGACATTGGACAAGAGCCCTCTTTCTTTGAGGAATCAAACAAGGGAACATCAAACAAGCCCAAATACGTCAACATCAGACACGTGAAGATAGCCCTACATAAGTGGTTGTTTTTCCGAACAGAAACGCTTGCGATATTTGCCGAGAACTGGAAACTCACACAAATCGCTTTCCGTCGCCGCCACGTAATCAATCACCGCCCCGTACGCGCTCGAGGTCGCGTCCTCCTCATAGAACACCAGCGTCGTCTCGTTGCTGACGGCAGCAAACGTCAGCCGCTGGAGCGTATACAACATGTTCGTGGTGGTCCGCGCGGGGTCGAACGGAACCGGAAAGTACTGAGCGGATCCCCCGGTCAGGTTTCCGACGTCAACTACCAGCGTCTTGACGTCCGTGCTAGAGCTCTCGGGGTTTCGGCTGAGGGCGAAGGAAAGGTCGTAGAGGGCCCCCGGAGTAGTGACGAAACTCTGGCGCAGGAAGAAAATGGGTTAGAAAATCTGGTTAGAACCTGGTAAGATGCACCCTCATTGAGGGCCTCGGGGCCCCCGAAGCTGTGTTGGAATTGCGTCGCAAGAAGAAACGAGTCAGCTGATCCGGTTAGAAATTGGTTCTTTGCTCCTACAACAAGCGCACACGTGCAGGCACACGTGTCTACCAAGTTCAAGTAACCAACGGCACGCGGCCAGGCTTCTGTGCATAGAAAACTTGCGGACCAGTCAGAAGTTAGTGGGTTGACAAACATCAGCAGAAAGTGACCCGCCTATGACATTAAGAACCCAACATGAAGACCGAAATGTGCAGAGTGGTTGCTATAAGTTTCAATGCCGAAGCGGGTATCCCAATGACTCACTTGCGATATCGCTCCAGGGGTTTGGCCAGCCATGTCAATAGAGCGCTCTCCCGAATACGCCTCTGCAAATGGGTGCGAGGTGAAATTGTTAAAAATCCCTACCTGATCCGCCTTTATATATAGTCCAGCTTCGTACTTGATGCAATGCTCACAGAAGAGACACGTTGTTAGAGGCAACTGACGGCCTCTGGACACAAGCTGATATTGATTTAAAATGCCCGACTGCGGTGTCAGGAGACGTTCATTTGTTTCTCACACTTAGCTTGTTTCCTGCGCTCCTCAGTGCCGTCTTTGACACTGACCTTTCGTTTTTTTTGCAAACCAAGAGCCCTTTTTTCCGACTGCCGCTCGACAGCAAGCGGAAAATCATAACAAACACTCGTTCCTTGCAATCAGTACCAGCTCCCACGGTCTTGCGCAAAAGAGACGCCCCTTACCGCCACAATCTGCGCGGAACGGACCCGGAACGAACCGGAACGAATCGGAACGAAACCGAGGGTTCTGGAATCACCCCGTAAGTGTACCAAGTCACTAAATGCTCTCATGAGCGGAACGGACGAACGGAACGGAACGGAACGGAACCGAGAGTTTTGTACTCACCCCAGTAAGTGTAACGGTTCACTTCGATGCTCCCAAGGTCAGTCCCGGCGTATTGACTCCGGCTCGGGATAACATCCCAGTTTGCCAGCCAATATCCGGTAAGGTTTCTGGGATCGACTCTGTAGAACCTCTCTTCAGTGAAGGGGGTTCCTTCCTCAAAGTCCGGGTTGAGGAGAAGGTTCCCGGTAACCGGGGGCACTGAGAAAGTCGGGTAAGCGTGGGTTAGCGGTTAGCAGTTGGAAGAGATGGTCATCATGCAGTGGTCAGGAATTTTGCGAATTAAAGGAATCGTGCAAAGAATGGTTTTGCTCACGCAGCAAACTCGACGTGCAAATGGGCTACGAGAACGTACTAGGGACTCAGACATCCTTCCAGTCTGATAGTAGGCCTTTTCAAACAGCTCCTTCTATGAAGACTCCGGAGGTACAATTCAGTGTGAAACGTTCGAGAAAGTGAGAAATAGAGATTCAAGGAACATCGCACAGACTTTCCTCCAGTTAAGCTGCATCTAGTTTTACGCATGGATCTCTGCTCCACTGAGACGCCAGCTTTTGAAAGGCTCCTCTTAACACCAGAATGCATCTTCAACGCTCCAGCTCCATTGAAATAGTTTTGAATGCGAAAAAGCTGCTTCCAGCACTTGTCTCTTTGAACCAAGATTGCCAACAAGCAACAGGCCCGGCGAAAATAGCATCGAGTTTGACGGTGGCTTACGTGAAGTTGGAGGAGGTGCTGCAAAAACGCCATATTAAGACCAATGTCAGAGATCCGTTGTTCTAAGATGCTTCCATACTCAATTCTAAGGGTCTGTACTTTGACGGGAGGAGCCGACCGGAAAACTCAAGACCCGAACCTGACGCGCCAGTTCAGACCCATACATCCATAAAACGTGTTGTCGACCTTTGACCTGTAAGAAACGGATTCTCAACACTCTGATTGAAGTGTCAGGAACTAAGTGCAGGGTTTGCGAAAGCAGCCGCGCCGCGTCAGGCAATCTACTCCGCTCCATTTATATATGGATCGTCAATCGTCAACCGTCAACAATAAAGCCCTTCAGCAACGCAACCTGTAAACGCTCACCGCTGACGAACGTCACGATCGCGCCATCGATGACGCAACCATAACCGTCCGCGGCCGTGTTCCCGCCCTCCGCAAACAGCAGCGTCGTCACCGTTCCGTTCGCCGTGAACGGAACGGTCTGAACGGAATACTGCATGTCGGCTCTGGTCGGGCTCCCGTCGTTCGCGCTAACCGAAAACTCGACCTCGGCGTCGCCTACGGATACCTCCAACCAGCGTAGGCTTTGGTCGTTAGCAAAGTTGTCGGGGTTTCGCGCGAGCGCAAACTGGAGCTGGTACGTAGCCCTCGGCGCCGTTGAGAAACTCTGCGAGGGGCGCACGTCGAGCTTCCGTTTTTTTAGGATTGTGAGTTTGGAAGTTTTGAGCTCTGGGGAAACCGGGTACGTCCATCTCAAGTGAAGATTTTGAAGAACCTACAGAGCTGAACTTCCGACACTGAATGCCAGAAGCTTTGCAAAATGTTGGGCGTTTCTCAAACCACTATCCAGGTGTGCAAGGAGGTGAGTACTTTCAAGATCAGCTGCAATTTGAGTTCTGCTATTCAGGGCGCACGACAGGAAACTTACTTTCTCAGATTTCAAATTTTCAGCGATGGCTAATCAAACGTCCGGACTCTCAAATGTTGCAAGCTTCAAGCACCGCTATTCGCTTCGTTCGAATGAGTGTTGAGCCATATACGCGCACGCGAAAGCATCGGTCAGAGTATGGCCCTCGAACCCTCGAAATGATAGAGCATTAAGTGACGAATCGAGTAACGGTTCGGGGGTGCGACTCACCTGGCGCATCGCCCCCCCTGATGTTCCTGCCATGTCGATCGAACGGTTGCCCGAGAACGGCTCTGCGAAAAGGTGCACACAAGAGGTGAGCAACTTTGACGATATCTGATTAGTCGTGGTAACCCTCGAAAGCCCCAGCTTTGGCCGGACTATTTCGCCAAGGGCAGCGGAATCGTAGCAGACAAAATTCCCCTGAATCTGTGGAAACTGGGCGGCGGGACTGTGCAGAAATCGGAACGGGGGGACGTGGGCAGCTAGCTGACGTGTCCCTTCCGGCGACCAGTCGTCTGAGACTGCTCCTCTTTGGTTGCTCAGCGGTTATGCAACTTAATCCACATTCCGGGGGCGTTCGGAATGGATGCTTCAAGATTCTTGCCGCAAGCAACGTGAAGCAGATGCTCTCTGTCGATCAAGCGAAAGCGTCTGAGCAGACAAGAAGAGACGCGCTGATATATAAAAGCAAAAGATAGTGCCGTGAGCATGCACTCGGTCTAACAAGAGAATCTCATCGTGCTTCCAGATTTGTAAGATCACAGCAAATGCAAACTCACGCCATTGGAAGTTTCCGTCGACCTCGATGTTCCCCCCGCTGGGGGTTCCGTCTGGGTTATACGGGTTATAGATAATCTCCCAGCCGGTTAAGTACGCCCCAGTCGAGTTCCTCGGGTCGATTGTGACAAACGTGTCGCTTGTCGAAGAAGCGTCCTCGAAATCGCCGTTAACCAACAGGTTATCGCCGCTTGGGCTCGGCGAAAAGGGTGGGTAAGGCTGGGCGGACACATTCACACTGATCCAGCCCAGCAGGAGGAGCACAATGGCCAGCGGCCAGTGTGAAAAGGCTCTGGGTCGCGCCATCGAGCCTGCGCGAGGGTGGTGAGGAAATCGGGGGCAAGAAAAGCGCAAGGAAAACAGGAATTCGACGCAGATGTTCGGAGGGACAAAGAAAGAACAAGGCTTCGCGAAAACCGGATTCCTGCATGTAACTGAAGAGCAATCCTCACAAACATCACAATCAGAAAACGAACAAAGGGTAGGGAAGAAGATGTGGAAAACATTGTCAGAATTAACACCGGTAGAGGAGTTTTCTTCTGCAAAGTGTCTGAAAGGTGACCTCTGAGGAGCCATTTGAAAGTATAAACGCAGCGCTAGCCATGCATGAGCAAATTTGCACTCTAAATTAGGGAACGGTTATAAACCGTTGGTTGACAGTGCGACGATGACAGCAAGATGACAAAAGCGTTGTTTTCCCCCAAAAGCTCGACAACAGGTGACGCACATGTCTTCTCAAAGAAGAGGTCGCTCCGACTCAAGTCAGCAGCGCAAGGCAAACGATATGCCGAATTCGGTGCGCCTAATCGGGGTTGCCTGTTGCTGGACCCAGTGAATTCCTTGTCGGACATGGATGCGCTTACCTTCAATCCAATCGGCAGCAGAAGACTATCGTCCCTCCGACACAAGACAGTTTTCTCTCGAAACTTACGTCCATGTACCTGCGAAAGAAAAGGGCGAATAGGTATGTGCTGAATCAGAAGGACTCATGTGCCGTTTGCAACGTCCATGAACACTTCCGTCTTGATGGGTTCGATCTTTCGTGCCCTCGAAGATCTCAAGGTGTTGCAAGTTCAGCCCGTCGTTCCTTTATGACCGAACTGCCAAAGCCCACTAGCTGAAAACCACAATACGGAATCAGAGATATAGATATTTACAATCAGAATGCGAGTTAAAAACACTGAAGTTTTGGGGCCCCCGGATGCAGTCGTCGCCCCTTCTCCGAAAGATCACCTGTTACGTCGCTACTCGTTCCACCAGAAAACGGCAGTGCCGAGACGCCTGCTAGCCAAGTTGCCGCCTTATGGTCGAGAGAAGAAGTGAAACAAATCGTTCCTTTAAGATTTTCAGCCGATACTCCTCCTAGCTAATGCAGCAGGATGCGCTGCCAAACGAGGTGCCCAACGTTCAGGATCGGAAAGGTGTCTTCAAAAGGGTATCGTTAAAAGAAACCAATTGTTTCTTGCTCTGCTGAGGTAGACACAACGTAGCGTCTAATGCTTCGCTGGTTTACGAATACAACAACCTCTCCTTGAGGAATAAAGGGCTGCTGATTTTGCATCAAGCTGTGACGCATGAAGCGCCGTGAGATACATCCCTGAGCAACTTTCTGCAATCACTAAAAGGTTAAAAGATTACACACATACAGGGGTAAGGGGAGCTCATGATGTTGAGCAGATTGAGCTGGTTAGATTGTCTAAGAGTGCAGGGTTAAGGAAAATGGGGTTCAGAGGCGCCGGGGATAGCCATGCAGTAGCTTCAGATCACACCTTTTCCCTTAAGCACCTACCATGCATGCGGGGTGGTCAACTGAACACTGTCTAGGTATGAAGGACAGTAATTCCTATTATGGAGAATATTTCCTCCTTTTCCATTGGATCCCAACACTCCGCACATCGCCAGCGCACTACTCCAAACTACGCCGCCAAACCAGACCCTCTCCAAACCAACGCACAGCATTGTAAAGGCACGATATTGGTGGAGCTTGATAACCGCGTCTTTCATTTCCATCGGTGGGATTGGCTCCCACCGCATTTCAAAGGTGCGGACGCATGCAATGCGCAAAGTGCTGCCTCTGCTAGAAAGTAAACAATCAGCACAGCGCCCTAGAAAATCCGGCCTGCCCACCCAAGCGCAGATCTACAAGTCTAGGGGCCTATCCACAAACCTGAAGTTCCCCAGAAACCTCATGTGCCATGCGTGCCGCACACATACAGCTGGCTGGTTAGCTTCACCCTGGCGCGCAAGCTCTGCTGAGAGGATTTGGCCAAAATACATGACTGCCCGCAGCTTGAAATCCTAACCCCCAGTATCTGGAATCCAGCTGCATTCCCCACAGTCACATCTCTCTTTCACAGCCCTCTAACTGCCACAGGGGTTTTCTCATTCTGGATCTGGCTGTGTTTTAACATTGGTAAGGCCAGGGGGAGAAAATGCCACCAAGGTTTTTGGTGAGGATGTCTGTTTAAGGGTTTTTGGTGAGGGTTTCAGGTCTAACGTTTTCCAGGAAGCAGTTCTGCTGAGGGGGTTTGGGCAGAGGCTTCTTCAGAAAATCACCATGTTTGACATCCCAGAATCCCCCATTGCGCCTGGTCAAAGAGTTGAGCTGTCCTTTCACGGATGGCGAGTGAAGAGCCCAGCGGTTCACTCCCGAAAATGTCAAATCTACAGGTAGCAGAAGGGGAAACTAATTTCCATTTGCAATTTGGGTGTGTTACAATCACTCACTTCAGCTCCATGCGTGCAACTTTCCCCTCCGGTGGCGCCGCTTTTAAGTCCGCTCTTGAGCCCAGTTTGTTACACCCCGCCCAAGAAGCCTTGAACTGAAGTCCCTTACGCAGCGCTATACATTCTCTCATGCAGAAGCTTGTAAGGAGCCACCCTTTCCGCTCTAGTGCTTCAGGCAACAGTGCCTACAAGTCTACAGGGTGTCTCTGTGCTTGAGAAATAACCACTTACTTAAACTTTCTACTCCTCTGCACACAATCAAAACCGCCCACGATCAGGCGGAACTGCCCGAAGGTACCGAAGACGCGTCCGAGCGTAATTTCAAAACCTCCCTCTTGGGAAGTTCTACACTTCTCCAAACAGCTGTTGACTTCTATCAACAACTTACTATTCTCTTGGGCAGCTTGCTGAAGCGCGCATGGAGATCTGCTACGAGTCCTAAGCGTGGCGGAATGGCACATGCCAGCTTTTCTCTAGTGAGATCCTCTTTGAAGCCCGCTTTCTCGCGCTTGCGTTCCCGCGCTTTTCTTCGCCATTCCCATGCTCAAGAGCATGCAACAGGACCATGCTTAACTCCTGAGATGCAGAATTGCAATGTCATGTCAAACCTGGCGCATCAAGGAGCGTGTTCCCTGAGATTCAAAAGAACTAAACCTGACAATGGTCACAATGGCAACAACAATGAGACGGCCCGAAGTCCTGCCGGGGGGGCCCTCGTGATGCTGCACAAATCGCCACTGACTGAGAAGTCTCTGGAGCAACGTGGATGACAGAACGCCTAGCGGGTTAGTCGGTTTGGTCGTGTTGAACGTTTGCGCGAAAGAATTTCTAGAGTTGCACGTTCAAAGGCTATTGAATTAGGTCACAGGTGCGACTTTATCCCACTTGCTTGGGAGTCCTCCTAAGGACTCGGGGACGCTTGTGTACCTACAACTGGAGAAAAGAATCAGCACTCAGTGCTCATTCAGTAACTGTAATATTTACACACCCTAGTGGGCATGTAGCAATGTACCTGGTACCCGCTCTAAACTAGGTACATACCGCAGCAGTCTCAATTATCACCTTTCGTTAGGGGACAGGCATGGTACCGGGCCCCGGCCCTTTAGGATATGATATGTAGGTACACAACTTGCAGGTGTCGGCGACGTCTTGAAACGGCAGGGCGCCGAGACGGTCGCTGCAAAGAGCACGGGGACGACCGAGTGGACCGGATATGATTGGTCAACCTTAATGGCCGGTTTGTACAATGATTGAACCCATCAGGCTGGATTGGAGATCTGGATTTTTGAAGGTTGCATTTCACTCGTCGATTTGTCAATTTGTAATCATTTGAACGGTTCCTGAAAGTCCACGTATTATGCAACAAAGTCCAGGTTGAGAAGTTCTGACAAGTAGCATGATTGCCAAACCTGAAACCTGCTTCCTTATGTTGTCATCTTGAGCTGGGACAACTAGGTTTTACCCAACAAACCTTTGCATGCGCTAACGGTCAAGGCGGACTGACAGTGAGCCAGGCTGAGGGCGGTAAAGGTTAATCGACGTGAGAAGAATGTGCGAAGCTGCCACGAAACCTTGCCAAATATGGTCACATACGGCTTGCTCCATGTGGCAGATCCTGAATGGTGAAGGTCCTTCGAAAAGTAAATGTGGGCGCACCTGGGATTCCGTCTGCTAACGACGGACCTATCCGGGCCGACGTCATTTCGGCCGAGGCTCCTACTGTGCTTCAATGGATACCCGCTGTGAATGGATTACATAGCTACCGTATGTAGCTTTGAGCGCTGGGCGTAGAGGCGAATGCAAGTCGCCATTGCTGATTGAGATGTTCACAGCTAGTCTCTGCAGACGTCAGCAGGTAGAATTGCTGCAACACTCAGGAGTCCAGCCGCAGTAATCTGCTCTAACAAGAACCTTGCACAGCTCTAGATTCCCACCGTGTCTTCGCATTCAAAGCTTTCCGGCTGACCTCGCTGATACGCCTTTGCATTTGGTCACAATCCCCTCTCGTGATCAACCAAATCTACTCGACGTCGACGTCGCTTCACATTCTGTCACATGCTTCATTCTCAGCTCTCATCACTTCACGCCGCTCCCTTCCTTCCTTTAATCCAATTCCAGCCATCTAGATCTCCACATTTCCAGCTCAAGCCAGCTCGACTTGTCAGCTCGACGGTACATACCATGGCTGCCAGAAAAGAACCGGCTACCGGCTCCAGCTTCGCTGAGAAGAGCCACGACTTTGCTGGGAAGACGCTGCATTTGCTGGGCGCAGGTGACTTCTTCTTGAGAAGTGTTCAAAGAAGTTCCCTGGAAATGGCCCCCTCTTGTTCTTGCTGCCACGACGTGGCAAGGAAGTCGCACGTTAGAAACGCACTCTTTTCGTTTGCCCATGCTAAGTATCTCGACTAGTAAGGTGCCACCTGCAGCCAACCCTTGGGTTCATGTACCAGGACTTGACAGGCATAGATAAGATTTTGGCAAATCACCTTTCCCCAAAAAAGAAACGGTGTCATGGGTTTTCGAGGTTGGACAGGATGTGAATGCTGGGGGTTTGTAAGTTTGGAAGTTTCTCAGTAGTCGGCTTGAGGTGATCCAAGAAAATTACTGCAATGAATCTTCAAAATTCTGGGGGTCATATGTAAGTGCGGTTCACAACAAGAAGCAACACCCCAGGGACTCTTTCTTTCACCAGGGTTCTCATTCAGCTTTTTGTACAGTAGTACTGGAGTGCCCGTTAAAGAGGTGACTGGCGATCCTCCAACAGAAGAATTCCTCAGTCTTCTTATCTATCCTTCAGAATACGTTGGAGTGTTGTATTACGATTCCTTTTCAACGAATCTTTCTTCAACCCCCAAAATCTAGAGACATAATCCAAACAGGATGTCGAGCTGTCGTGCCAGTTGCCAGTCAGTTTTTACAACCCTATTTGCTTTTGTCCATTTTCTAGTACAAAGAAATCTAACTACCGTCTCCAAACGCAGGCGTAAGGGAGAGGAAAGTCGGCTTCATGACCGTGAAAGCGTTTGCTCTCGGGTTGTACATCGACGATGAGGGGCTTCAGCTGTTGCACCGCTTCAAGGGCAACACCGCCTCCCAGCTCGAAAAGTCTGAGGACTTCTACAAGCAGCTCATGACAGGTGGGTAAGCTACGGGACTGGTTCTCATCCACGGAACCAGAATGAAGCACTTAAAATTCAGACTGAAACACGCAAGAACCCATCAAAAAGTTGCGGGCACGGATGCCTGCCAACCTGCTTTTACTTTTTCGATTTCCAGATCTTAAAAGCTCGGAAACTCCAGCGCACTCCAGACGTGTCAGGCTGGCGTGTAGAACATGCTCGGGACTTTTCCCCGGGCAACAGCAAGCGGTTTGAACGGAACCCAGGGCAGGAACCTGTCAAAGTCTCTTGTTCTGGTCTACCATTTTTTTTACCAACAGCGCATCATTCAAGTTTCTTTTGCTGACATGCAGGCAACTTCAGCAAGCAGTTCGAGATGATTCTCCAGCGCGACGCGACCGGCGAGGACTTCGGCAAGAAGCTTCAAAAGTCTCCCGTTCTTAACAGCATATTCAATTCTTGGGCACGCGTTTTTTACTCTCTGTTCCTCCAACGCAGGCAACTTCAGCAAGCAACTCGAGATGATTCTTCAGCGCGACGCGACCGGGGAAGACTTCGGCAAGAACCTGCAGGAGACTCTGAAGCCCGGGGTATTGGCGCACGGGGGAAGCGGCGCCGACTTGGATAAGCTGAACGCCCTGTTTAAGGGCAAGACGATGAAAAGCGGCGCGGGCATCTTCATGGCGACTAGGACCCCGGGCGTGCTGGAGGTGGGTCGCCCTCGCAGACGCTCGAGAACCGCTTTCCATCAGTTTGTACGAATTCAGAGGTTTTGCATTCAGCGACGTAAGCTCAAGAAAGAGATGTGTCCGTTGCTTTCCTTCCATGAGTCTCCTTGCAAGTCTGTCTCGCTTTCTCAGACCTACCGTGACGAAAGCGCGAACATCTAGTTGCAAGCGCGTACCTGGTCTCACCAGTGGAACATGGGGACTCTAACGGTAGGCTTGCCAATGTGTATGGTTACCGACGCTTCGAAGCTAGTAAAAATGCTTCTTTGAAAGGCTTATCAGGACCAAAACTCGCTAAAGTGCCCTTCGTTTTAAGTTGCCTCTGGTTGTTTTCGACGTCAAAGATGACGTTCGGGATCTCAGTCCACCAGGTCGGTACGGCTCAGGATCCGCTTCCAAGCTGGACTCTTTTGATTGATGACGCTTCTAAGCTGGAGCCCCTGAATCTGCTGGTGTGCGATAGTCTAGGTTTCTTTACCAGAAGATTATAATGACGTCTTTTGCAGAATACAACTCACCAAGCAATTTCGAGAACGGAAAGTTCTTCTCCTCGTTCTAGGTCGGCTTGGTTGACGACGCGTCCAAGCTCAACCCCGTTAAGACCCTATGAGCGCTCGCTTAGGTATCATCTTTTTGGAACCCCAGAAAGGTGGTTGAATTACGATCTTTCAAGAAACCCAAGGAATGGTTAAGGAAAATTTTCTCTCTCCTCGATTGAGGTCGGCTTGACTGACGACGCTTCCAAGCTGGAGCCCCCTTCAAACCTAGTTAGCGCTTCGTTCAGTCTCCTAACCCAGAAAAACATGGTCGAACAACACAAGTTCAATCTAATACTGGAACGTTCTTGTTTTTTATCTAGGTCGGTTTGGTTGAGGACGCTTCCAAGCTTGAGCCCCCCGCCGCGCCCCTCGGTTCCGTGGAGTCTCCCCCGGTGGTTGCCGCCCTTTTTGAGAATTACCTGGGACCCAAAGCCGTGTCTCCTTCCGCCAAGTCCGCCTTCGCCGCGGGGGCCGCCAGCCTGCTGGCAACCGTGTGAATGCTGACGTCACGATGTGACGCAAAAATGCTAGATAAGTTTGTAGTTTTAGCCAGTGCGATTCTGAGAATTACCTGGGACAAAGCCGTGTCTCCGTCGGCCAAGTCCGCTTTTTCCGCGGCCGGGCGCCGCCAACTTGCTGGCAACCGTGTGACTGCTGACGTCACTGTGAGATGGATAACCATGCTGGTTGGCGCGGATACCGGCGCTTCTTTCCTTAAAGGGGAGCGATTTTGGGGAGTACGTTGCCAGGCGCTGGAATTGTTCGGCGGCTCTTGAGTTTAGTGTTGTGTGACATGGCTCGTCAGACAAAGTCGATGCAGCCAGCTTAATTTTTGCCGCTAAGAGACCGTACCAGTTGTCAGGTGTTCGGTAATTAAGACCGAGAGGTGTACGTTATAAAACTTGGAAAGTTTTGCCATTACGATTTGTTATTTCTGAGCATATACAAATCCTTTGCTGGCTTTCAAATCAACCGTGTACTGTGGTATACCGGCGCTGAGTCAATTACTCAAAAGCTGGCTACTACTATAGGCGATATACCTACCGGCCCTCCGCATTGCGCGTAAAGTCGGATGCACATGCACGAATACAGAACATGCAAATCCGATCAGGGCTTATAGACAGTAAGTACGTTTAAGTGCAGCGGCGCTGCATGTACGGTCCTCCCGGCCATCACGAATTGCATGCTCCTCAGCGGCCGCCTGGCCATGTTGTTACCGTCCGAAAGCACATGTGTGGAGTCAGATCGACGAGTCATGCATGCCATCCAGTTAATGATAGCACTGAGGTTTGCTAGCTGCGCGCTGACCGACCTAGCTGCAGCGGATCGCGATTCGACTCGATCATGTGGCGTGCACGTGCCAGCGGCAGAGTCATGCGCACTCGGTAAAGTGCGACCCCGCATCCTCTCTTGACAGTGACCCTAACCAGACGCAATCCTGTGGCAATGCATCACAGCATGACTGTCGTGACATGCTTGAAAGATGATTCTAGGCTTTGAATCCAAGGCGAGTGCGCTCCTCAAGTTTGTCAACGAATGAAACGGACCTCACCGTACATTTTTGCAGAATGGATTTGACGAGCCTAGTCCCTTGCATACGCTGATACACGACCCCTCAGTGTTTTACCGACTCCGTGCAAGTATCTATGACCTACCATTTCGTGATGCGTTTAGTATCAAAAGAATGTTATGCAAAACTCTAGTAAAAATCCCGGACGCCAGCGACCTGTATTCTGTACACACTCAGAACGAAGCCCTTTCAAACACGCGGCGCTCACAGCCGCTTTAATGCCCTTTTCCTATCCACAACCTTTTTCTTGTCCGCTAGTTTCGTGACCGTCTCGCCTTTTGGCTTCTTGGCTGAGGGAGACGAGAGAACTGTGTTCGGATCCGCAGCCGTGGGTGCACCTGACAAGCAACAGAAATACCAGAATTTAGCTTGGGCTTGAGACCTGACACTTCGCCGGAGCACCATCAGTGTTCCAGTTTGCAGAAGTCGAAACAGACTGAATCCGAACACAGCCAGTCACTCAAGGAAAGCTCTAACGTACGTTTGGATGGTCCGAGCAGAAAAGCTTGCATCTGGGAACATAACGTCCGAAAATCCAAAAGCAAGGGACGAGCGAATCAGTGGGACATCAGCAGTAAAGCTTCGAGACTAACCATTGAGCAATTTGAGTAATATCAAACCGTTCCCAGAGGGGCACCAGAGCGGGCCAGAAATAAGAGAAGAGCGGGACCCGGTAAGGTGGGGCAAACACTACGAACAGTGGGCACAATCCACAGGGACTCAGGTGATAACGAGAACAGCAGGGCAGGAACAGTATTGTGAGCGCAGAAACAAGGAAAAGGAGCAGAAACAGGAACAACGGGCGGCCAGAACTACTTCAAAAAGTAGGGCAGAAAGGACGCACAAGAATTGCCGAAACAGGGGGGCAGACATGACGAAATGTGAACAACTCAGAGCGGGGGCAAGACCAGACTGAAGCGCTCACCATGAGCGACCCCCTCCGCCGGCGCGCCCGCGTCCGTGTTCGCCGTATCCGTCGACAGGGGGGTCGTCGCCTGCCCGTCCTTGCCCCCCTCCGTGGCGGATTTCGTTGGCCCCGCCCTCGGCTTGAGTGCGTGGATGCTGGTCAGCAATTGCGCGTGCCGCGAGTAGCCCTCGTAATCCTCCATCAGCATCTTTCCGGCCTCCTCGTTCAGAGCGGATTCCGGGAACGGCTCGATGAGGAGGCAGCGGATCACGAGCAGGACGTGTCGGATGCCGAGAGTGGGCTTCCAGTCCTGGAGGAAAGTGGGTTACGAAAAGTGGGTAAGTGAAAATCGACTGCTTTACATATTTTCGACGAGGCTTCCAATCCTCGAGACAAACGGCTGGAGTGACTTCAGAAAAGACTGACATAAACTTCTCTTGCTAAAAGGTGTTCTGTTGCTAAAAGAAGGAAGGATGGAGGGACGAGCGAAGGTTCACAGTTCCTGGGGGATCTACCTCGAAGAAAACCTATGGAGCTTTCCCACTCCGAAAGCAACATGCGGGATCGCCTGCGGACCAAGAATCAGGGGCAGACTTTGAAATTGCACTGGACAGCCCAAATCCCTCTCTCTTTCCTGAATGAGATTGACATATTCCTGAGGCACCAAAAGACTACAGTGCAATGTTCTTATCACTGTACTGTAACAAGTCCAGCTATCCAAGACGGTTGATTGGCCACCAGTGACTGTGACCGACCACAAGTGTTCAGCGTAAGCTGTCAAACATGTTGATGCACAAGGATGCAAGCCGATCAACCGTTACTGCCTTTATGCCAATAACAACGGATCTGTAGAATGTAGAGGACTGTTTCTATACCTTTTTGAGCGTGTTGACGCAGATCTCGCCGCTCTTTGCAATGTTGGGGTGGAAGATTTTCGTGAGGAAGTAGCCCTTGGGGGGAACCTGGGGGAAGTCGGAGCTCAGGACCAGCTTCATCCGGAACACGCCGCCCTCGTACGGCGTGCCAGCTGGACAAGGAGAAAATGGCAGTGACGTCAGCATTCCGGCCCATCAGGGGTTTCCCCTTTTCGTTGCCCCGTACAGCCTTGCCGAAATACAAGCGGTGCCGGGGTCATTCTTGTTGCATTTCGAGGGAGAAAAGAGGGATCCCTCTATTCTTATCTTTGTGAAACGCCCATCAACGAAAGTGTTGGTTAAGAGAGCGAACAGTACGTGCTGAAAATTTTTCGCTTCTCATATCAGCAGCTCATGCCAAGAGTCTGCCCGTGACCGTCATGAAACTCACCGGTAAAAGACTCGCTTCTCCACCTCGCTCAATCATTCATCCTGAATGTCTGCTGTAGCACTCTAAGTACTCAACTGAAATTGCGAGGCATGTTGAGAACGCAAGAAGCAGAAGTCCCTACCTGGCCCATCGATTTCTGCCTGGACGTTAGCAAAGTTGTCCTCATTCACGATGATCCGAATCCCTTCCGGGGGCTCTGCGTCCAGCGACTTGATCTCTTTTGCCAGCTCCCGCATCACTTTGGGGGACAGGTTCTCGTTTGCTCCCTGCAGCATAATGGGGGCGAAACCAATTTAGAGAGGGGCTCTTTGTTGAAGTAGTTCAGAGATTGGTTCATCCCAACCGAAAGCTCGGAATTTCCAGCCTGCAGCAAGTGGAGGGCTAACATTACCAAAAGGGCTTTCTCCAATTAGCGGGAAGACCATTTGATACCCAAAGGACAGTTCTTCATTTTCAGCCTGCAAAACAGTCATCAAACACTTCAACAAAAGTTTCACATCCGCAGCCTGCGGAATGGTGGGGTAACGCCAGGATCGGAAGCGCTGCTGTAGAAGCAGGCAAGAATCTCGCAACAACTCAGTAGAAAGGTTCTCACTAGCAGCCTGCAGATACTACAGGACAGATTCAGAATAGAAAGAGTTTCAAATCCTGCAACTGAGCCCACCACAAGACAAGGAGAGACCTCGTCGCTGCGGTCAACAATCCAATATGCAGGATTGCAAAAGGGACCCCAAATATGGGAAGAGAAGAGCCACCACAACCAAAGTAACACGATCATTCCAGCATATAAAAGAGCATAGAGACACATCCGCTGAATTTACGTAAAAAGGGTTGGCACAGGGTCGCAACATCCATGTCCAAAGAGGACGCGGCTGGTTGCTTGGTAAAGTGCAACTGCTCACTTGAACCACCGGCACAACAGTTCACGGAAAAAGGGGGTAAAGATTGAGGAACAAAAGAAGTGATGCTACCCAATACTCAAGGAAACAAGCAATCTTCGTAAGCTTTGGGCCTTCAGAAAGGGGCTGATGTTCCACGAAGTGGGCTTTGGGGCAACTGCAGCTTGCAGAAGAATCTTACTCCCACTGTACCTGGGGCAAGACACGAGTCATGACTGCACACAGGGCTTGTCATTGGCAACAATTGCACTGGCTTGGGAGCACCAGGCCGCGAAATTATTCATTGCCCAAAGATAAGAAGCTGCAGAGATGATCTTATCAAGCCCAGATTTGCTCGCCGTCAGGACCTTTCCGAGAGATGCGTTTTCTCGTGCGACGAAGGCGAATAAGGACAAACGCCTTGTCAGGCGAACGGTTGCCTGCCCACGTCAGCACGAGCTCTCTCTCGCGGGGCACATTGAGCAGTGAAACGCATCCTTTCAGGGCGCTTTTATACGGCGTGAATGGAGATCACCAAGTGAGTGCTGTTGTGAGAAGTGGCTGACGCTCTCACGCCAAAAGTATCTCAACAATGTAGAGGAGAAGACATGGTGTTTTTCTGAAAGGGCAATGGCAAGCAACAGAGCAGCCCATTGATCTTGCAAGCGCTTTGTTGCAAAAGCATTCGTCCGTTTGGACAGCAATTGACCACGCTCACTTTGAGCAGTGACCGGAGTTGCTGCTTTTAGACAAAACCCTTTTTTATTTTGTTGCGACATATCAACCAACACAGCTGGACTCCATGCACAAGTGGGCACGAGCTGTGCTCTCTTCACCAGAAACGGTGAGCTATGATACAAGGAATACACTCATGGCACAGCATTGGGCCTCAACTTATGCGGCAGCAATACGGAGACGCTTTTACCAGAATCTCACTGACCCAGAACCATGATAAGTGGGCAAAAGCGAGTTGAACCACCGTACTGACAGACTGCATGCAGACCAAGCAAATGCGGGGCAGATTGACTTACGTGCTGTTAGCTCCTCTCTATATCGCGTCCTTAGGAGCACAACCCAAAGTTTAGAGAGCGGGCAATATCTACTTCAGATTCACCGGTTAGATGGACGGAGCGAGACAACAAAAGATGCAAAGAATTTTTGCGAGCTGTGATGCTGTATATCTGACTTGTGCTGTCTGGAAAATAGATGCTCCATGCATTGAATGCTTAACAAGCATGAAGGTGGTTCATTCTCCGGCGCTTTTTCTGCAGAAGGTTCAACAAGAATCCAGCTGAGACCTAGCATAAAGCTTGCCCATCTTTCCAAAATGGATTGTCAGTTTTGAAAGGGAGTTCCCATAAGTAGAGAGAAAAGGATGAAAAAGAAAAGAAAAACTGGGCTCCAGTCTTGCCCTCTTACATTAGCAGGAAAATGTCCACAAAACTGTGAGTCATGTATTGCACTTTTGAAAGGGTCAAGCAACCCCCGAAAGCAAAACGGCCCTTTGAAACCAAACCCAAGCACCATTCAGCAAAAAGCACTGAATATGAAGGGGAAAGGCTGAACTAGCAATAGCACAATCGAAGGTGTGCGATTACAGATGCAAGCGAGCACACCACCCGCACACCAACGAGTTGTTTGATAGTTCATTCGTTTTAGGAACTTACCATTGTGTGAAGCGACCCCTCCCTCCCTCTGTGAACGCCGTTGACTGCCCAGCTATGAGATCTTTCAGATGTTTAACACCTCGTGTGTGAGAAATCTTAGTTCAGAGGAGCCCACATGCCGCAATAGGTTGCTCTGTCGTCGCTAAGCCTCAGGCTGATTCAACCCTAACCTTTGGTTTGATGGGTTCTTTTAAAGGGCAGCAATAAGGTTCACTCGTGTCGATAGGAAGGGACCCACTTATAGACGATCGGTGGTTTGGTCAAAGCAGTGCTTAGATAGGACCACTAACCAGTCTCAAGGCTTTTCTGCTCCTTCTCTTTACACCATTAGTTTCTTCTCTCACTCTCAAATACATCCCCTGCCACGCACAGGCTATCGGTTTGTGGCGTCTATCGGGTAAACCAGTATCCTAGATTGACCTTGTGCACTGGTCTCTCCTCCTTCACCCAGCGATCACTTCTCTGCTTCAAGCTATGCCAAAGAAAGTCAAACCACAAAAAACCGCAGTACCCCCTTTGCGAAACAGCGTAGGAAACACTCCAGTTCCCACGCTGTCCGTGCCTTGCTCTTCCAAACTTGGAGCAAACTTTGACTTTGTAGCAGCCTTTCCTGTGATGCAGGGAGACCCTTCTCTGATGGTAGGACGGTCTCCTCAACGCCTGTTCCTGTTGACAGTGTTGTTTGGAGTGTTCCTGTTCCTCATGTCGGTGTTTTAGAAAGCTGACCCCGTGGACTTCAATTTTGAAACTCTCAACCAAACGATGTACGTCAACCATTGATAGCCCGTACATTGCGGGCAACTTCCAGCCGTTGACTGTTTGGGACGATGGAAGGCTACTGGCCCGTGCCAGAGTCCGAAACTTTAGTAGGTATGGTGGCAGTCTGCACCGATCAACGTCCGCAAATTTGGCCGTCCGCAAACCCTGGAAAGCCTAAACCCTGGCTACTCTGAAACAATCAGTGCGCCTCCGCGGCCCCGTGCGCATGAATGGCGCATCATATGCCGCCGATGATCTTACAGCGCTTCTGCATAGCACAGATAGCAGAGACGCACAAAAGCAGCGAGCCAAAGCAGAGCCAGAAGGCGCCGCCTAACCGGCCAGCCCCAGAGTTCCAGTTATTCTGGGCCCTGAGTACCCTTCGAGTACTTCCTTAGGAGACTGAGGAGGTACTCCACTGGGCCCAGTACTGGTACTCGGAGGATCGGAGCTGGAAAGATTCTGAGCTTTGATAGGTGAGTTTGCGGATACTGAGAGAAGCTGGAAACGATTGATAATATTACAAGGCAATCATGGACAACTCAACAACTGGTCAAACAGTGGTTTTGTTCTTGCGCCGGATCTGACTCGATTGCCCAGAAACCTGAAAAGACACCTGCACTTCTCAGGTATAACATGAGGTGTCGACTTAGAAACCGTTCTAGCATTTGAGCGGAAGCTGGTTTCCTTGGCTCCTCAACTTTGTTTGTTCAGGTTCCCGACTGTCTTCAACGTTCAGGCTTGCCCATAAATCCAGAATATCACCGGCTAAGTGCATAGTACTTCAGATAACGCGGACAGTCTTGCGGCACTGATTCAACAAGGATAGCAAGCGGATTTGTTGACAGCAGTTACTACAGACGTCTCAGTCACCCACCAACCAGTGGCCCACCAAAACAAGTGGAGCTTACATCGACCGGCTCCCTAAGTCAGTGTTCTTTTCTGGCGGGGGGTATTGACGACGATACAAATGACTCAAACGTTCAAACGTTTGGAATCTCCATAAGCGGACGCAGAATACAGCCTTAACAGCAGTTGCGTCAAGCTGCAACTCCATTAGCCTCAAGCAGGCTTGGATCGCCTCTACTTCATTCCAAAGTTTAGCTTGCTTTGGTGAACGATCAATCGCAAGCAGGGGGATCGGTCGGCAAGGAATACACAATTGCTGACATCATGCTGATGCTTAGCGGAATCTGCTTCTGAAACCGCTTACCTTCCTGATTTGCAGAACGGAACGAGAATCATGGCCGGACTTCTGGGTGCCAAATGGCACGAACTCTCGTCAGAGCTTGAAAAGAGAAGGTCCGGTGAAGGTGGATCTGCCGAATCGGATGATAAGAAGAAGGAGCTCTCCTTTTTAATGAGGCACCTTAAAATACTGGACGTGCGCGCAAGGCTGCACGCCAGATCAGGGATCGACTTTGATACACGTTACAAGCACGGGCGCAAAGGTGAGAGAAGGCTCAGCAAATCACAACGGGCCCTGCTCTGGGCAATGATGCCATGCAGGCATCGCGACGTTCCTCTTAGGAGTGGTTCAACCAAAAGCACAGATCAAAAGAAAAGAAATGTTCCGGTAGGTGGAAACCCTATTTGTCCAACGGCACAAGATCTCGGAAGTTGATGCCGCGGACCTTGGGAAGTGCCTCATCCGTTTGGGTCTCCTCTTTGACATCGTTGATCTGCACCTTCGTCGAAACAACTTGAACCCACATCGCCGCTATTTTCTCACGTCTTCTGTTCCGTCCAGAGCGGAGCATCACATTGGGCCCCCATTGCCTAACGAGACCTACTAGCTCCAAATGGCCCGTTGACAAGTCGACCACTTCTGATCACTTGTCGATCGATATGACACTACTTTATCTTTTGACACAGGTTGACGCCCAAGAAGCACGTACGATTGGCTTTTCTCCTTTCATTCATCTGAAAAGAGTTACGTGCTTTTACAACCTTGGGAATAATTAACGATCATTTACTCCTGTCTGACACCCTCTGACCCTCTTTCTGGCATCTTAAAGTTGCTGTTTTTCGGGGGTGCAGACTTGTGAAGTAGGTAAAAGCAAGATTAATGGGAAGAATTTTGCTGCAAAGCGGACGCAGGCAGACAACAATCATCATCCTTCTCCTTCCGATTCAGCTTTGCCTTGATTTGATACTGATCAGGTATATCTGCTCGCCAAGATAGGATCGACGTTATGACGACTCGACCTCTCTGATACTGATGGCTTCAAATTTCAGACGTTAATCTGACAAACCCATCGGCATGTGTTTTGCAAGGTTCGGGCAAAAGTGAATACCTGGTTCAGCCACGTGTCATCTGCGAAGATGACACGTGGCGCTTCTTGGGAAACGGCCGCCTCGTGCTCAGCATAGACGTCAAGGACGGGACCTGTAACGCGGTTCCTGAGCACGTGGCAGTTGCCGTCAGCTGCATTAAACACGCCTGGATCGCGAGTACAGAGGAGCATTCCTCAGATTGGACGCACCATTTTGACCTGATATACAAGTGAATACCTTTTCTCGCTTCCGTCCCTACTTGAAGTGAGGTCCCTTGTTGGGCCTCCGAGCTTCGCAGCGTTCGGATCAACTTGCAAATGTTGTCCAACAGTAGGAGCAGCATAGAGACTTCATCGCCACAATGATTCCCAGAGCTTTTCAGTGGCATCACATAAGTGATGGCAATGTGATCTGAGCTACTATCATTCTTTCGATCAGTTGTTCAACAGTTTCTGTATTCCAGAACGAGTCCAGAACGTTCAATCGTCCTTTTCTTAACCGTCAGCCTACGCTTAAGAGCTGTCCCTCCCCACATCGTAAAGTATAACAAAGTAGAGTCCCTGCCGAAAATAATTTACGATGAGCACAATAGAACGTTACACCCTAACCCTTTTACTTCTGACTGCAGGCTGGACAGGTGCCGGACTCATCAAGCTTCAAGAAAAGGACGCTTTTCCGGACCGCTACATAGACACGATCACCCCTTGGTCCGCTAAAGAGCGGTGTGACCATATTGCGAAACGGATCCCGTCGGCTCTCGTTTTGTACCGCATGATGTGCCTCTTTCCAACCCTGGATGTGCCGACGGTCGATTGGTACAAGTGTCTCTGGGACTTCTCATTGAAACACAAAGCGACCGGATTCTTGCTACAGATATGGGAACACAAGGCCGGTTTGCAAGCCAGGGTGAACTCCTATGCTATCGTCCCGCTTTAATTCTTGGTCTGAGGTCCTCAGACAATAAGTGCTCACAAAAAAATGAAACGGGGTCTTGGCCAGGCCGAACAGAAGGGCAAAGAGGTTGTGGCCCACTTTCAGTGAACATTGTGCACCTCGCAAGCTCGTTCCGCTTGGGTAGCAGAGTAGTGCCTTGAAACAGATTTGTGTGGCGAACCTTCACTCGCCATTTGAATGATATACAGAACAATGGCGCAGCTCTCATCCTCGCATGTCTCAGAAAAATCGACTCGGTATACTTCAAAGAACAAAGACTATGCGCGCCTCGTCGTTCAGTTCTCTGCCAACACTGCAAAGCAATCTCAGCCGTTCTAACCCTGCCGAGCTTCATTCTCCTGCCATCGCACGTTTATCAAGTTAACATGCACTAACCCAAAATTCCGGTTCCGTTCAGATCTACTGGACGGGCAGCCTTGAAAGCCCTGGTCCGGGGCCGGAATGTTTCCAGGCTGACGCGTGCGCGTTTCTGGAGCTGCTCCTTTCGGACGAGTGCCGGCATCCCTGTGGAGTGGTCGCGGGTTCCATTGATCCTGCTCTTCTGGACACCTGCAGCGCAGCGGCACAAAAGGTGACCTAAATTTACCGATATTGCACTGCCTTTGAATTTTCTCTCTTGATGTTTTTTACTTCTTGATTTTGCTTCATATTGCGTCTCCCGCGGAAGGAACGTCCCAAACGCTGGAATACGTCACACTGCTCAGGGTCATTCCAATGCTTTCTTCTTTCAAAGTTTAAGTGGTGGCCTATTTGTCGCCCCTCGTCATTATGACGAGTTGGCTTTCGGAAACACGTAGGCTGGAGAAGGGTGCGACGCTGAGCAGCCAATGAGCAGCTACCGTCGCAAATCGAAAAGCAGCCAAGCAAGTTAGGACGGCGCGCTCTTGAACAGTAAGTTCTAGGGCTGCCACTTATTCGCTTCAAGTCTTCTCCATGCGCACGCATGTTCGCCCCACCTCTTTCCGCGTCCCCGTCTTCCAAACTCAATCGAATCACTCAACAGAGTGTATGTACGCTTGACAATCACAGGATGTTTGTTGTAGTTTTGTATCTGCAGCAGCGAAGATATATGGTGGACCTACCGCAAACCCACAGGGATCGGCTGACGCCCGAGGACGAATCGGCGGCGCGCGCGGTCAGAGATAAGTGGAAAGCCCTCGAAGAACCGGACAGGCAAGCGCTCCTGAGCTTACTATGGCGAATTGCTTTCCGCATTAATTTCGTGCGACGGCAAAGTTTCTTTTCCTGCAAGATGAGTCACGAAGTGAAAGATGGGGGAAAAAGTTTGGAATGGTCTGGAAAAGCGACCGAGTGCTGTGGTGTACTTTGGTCCCTAAGTCAAATTGTGGCGCCTTTTCGAAGGTTGAAGGCAGTAATGCTCTTTTCTTCCTCAGCTGCCGGGGGTTTGATTCTAACGAGGGTGCTCGAGGAGCTTCTTAACGAGTCGCTTCTTGCGTTCTAGAAAGGCACCTTTGCGTCACGTCTTTCCTCACCTGCTCGCCACAATCTGGTATCGCACCAATACCTCCTTCAATTTCTGATGCAGCGCCCCACAAGACGGTTCCGGTCGCTTGGAGGTCCGCTTCCGTTTCGCTACCAAATCAATCATCTTAGGCGACTTGGAGCCGGAATCTGCGGCGCCCAGAAACAAGAAGCTGAAGGCGGAAGTGGTGAGAAGGTGTAACGGTCCCCACGTTCCAACTTTCTTAAGCTCCACCAGTGCTACAGCAACATCAACGGTTCCTGACAAAACAGTTTATTCTCAAGCCTTGGCTGCTTTTGCGCTTCATGATCAGTCGTCGTTTCGCTCAATGCTCTTCATCATCGGTATCTCGCAGGACGGCAAGCACTGTCGTTTGAAGGGTGTTGCAGAGATGTATGAGCCCAGTGTAGGATCACGTTCTTCTCTTGATTTGTTCTGGAAGAAAATCTTGAGGAAACTTCTGCCCAGGATCCGTCGACCGTTCCCTTCTGCGTGACGATCTCCTCGGCGCTGCTGCTCTACCGTCTTCTCGCCCTCTTCAGCCTCCTCGACCGCGAAACGCGCCTCTCCAATGGATCTTACGAAAGCGTCCAGACTCCGGTTGAGATTCTTCGACCCGAAGTCCCTGACTCCGTCTGGTACACGGAGATTGCCCACGTGGCGTCCGGAACCGTCGTCCGGTTTGGCGACTACCGCGGCGCGGCAAGCGTCTGGGCGAAAGCGTCCGAAGGAGCTGACATGGACAAGCTCAAGGGGGATCTTGAGTCGTTGCTCGAGCTGCTGTGCGGCGAAAAGTCCCCGCATACGTACGACAAAGTGGTCGCCGGGTGTGTAGCTTGAGAGGCCCCTTGCGGTATTGCGGGCCCCGTGCATTCGTCCCCTCTGATAGTTCCCAACAGGAACCAGAAGCAGGTCGAGTCTGACAATATTCAAGACTCTTGAAATCTATGTGTGGATTGGACTCTTGAGTTCTACGGTGTGGACTGGTGCCTCCCTGCGCATGACAAATGACTGCCACGGTTTTCATGCAGCGGCCCGGCCCGCAAATGGCATAACGTCACGCCCCGCCGAGCCTATCACGCAGGCGCCAGTCTGTACATGTTAGTACGCAAATGAATGTGACCGGACTCGGTATTATAAGTACCAATAGTGCGATCCAGCTCAACGCAAACAACCGTCAAAAAGTAGGAGTAACTGGTTTTTGGTGGCAGGAGGTCCTTTTCCTGATCCCGTTCCTTATGGAGCTTTCCCGTGAGTGAACCAAGAACTATCAGAACCGAGAGGGCCGCCGGGTCTTCGTATCTCGCGTCGGCGGTCCGTAACCACTGCCCTGTCGCGCTCACGTCGCAGTCGGCCGAGAAATATTTTTCGCTCGCCTGCAATCGCCTTCGGTTTGGCCCGGGCGGGCTTCTTCGCATTGTGTGTCACCATGATTTTCCTCCTAGCCAGCCACTGCCACACCTCCGGTGGTCAACCTGCTATCATACTTGGTTCTCAGTCGGGTGGTTCGAGATAGGCGTCTCTCGGCTCGACTTCAAGTTGAAACCGGCCGTCAGTACGGCACCCATTTCTGCTCGCTACGGTGAGGTGACGGGCAGCGCAAACACCGACGTCTGCGGTCGCCTCTTTAAAGAACACGGCGAAATGGCAGGTGGCGCTCGGAACGGACGAAGGACGATTGTGTCGTCTTCCGCGTCTCTTTGTGATTTACAGCCTGGGTTGTCCCTTTTCATCTTCTGAGCTAGAGGATTTTGAGCGAGCCTGCCGCTTCGACGCGGCCTAACTAAAGTGTCTGCCTCTTTGCTTCTGTTGCTTTGTAACGTTGCACATGCAGTCCAGGCCCGCACTTGCCTGACAATTTGCATCTCATTCAATTCGTGTGCACCCATCATATTGCAGTCTGGCGGTCACGCACTAGCCATCATCAGAAATTTGGACGTTTACAGGACTATTACACCATTGAACGGAAGATGAGCCTGAGCGGTCCCAAGCGCGTCCGCAAATTTGGCCGTCCGCAAATCCTCTCAGCCGTCAAAACCCTGGTGCGCCTCCGGCCGGCGGCGCGGTATCTCCAATATTCCATGTTGCTTTGCTATCCAGTAAGAATAGCGCAGCGCACATATATAAGCAGCGAGCTGCATTCACGGACTCCAGGAGCTAGGCGCCGCGTGTCCAGACACTCCATTGACCCAGTCGGCTCAGCAAATTGCTGGAAGCTGCCGGAAGCATTCAGAGCTGGTAAGTTTGGAGAGACTGAAGAGACACCTAAAAGAATCTTTCCGAAGACCGTCTGCAGTAAGATCTAAAGTCCTTTGTTCCAGATAGGTAGATCAGAAGAACGGTGACTGTTATGATTCGCTTCTTACAGCTTTGGCTTGTTCAAGGTCGGATCAAGTTCTCGTCTTCTGTGCAATGCCATCCTCGGGCCCCTACTACTTGAGTCCAATCAAAGACTGAAATGAGTGCTTGAATCATTGATGTCCTAGTGCGGCTTTACTGATCCAAAATGAATAGAAAGCAATTTTGCTGCTACTTATTATTGCAGACATCCAGTCCAAAGAAACGTACCAAAGGAACATTGCACGTTTTGATGGCATCTTTTATCCTTGTGATACAACAAACAACAGCACTCAAGAATGTCGGGATGCTCAGTATCTCACCTGACGCAAACCTTAGCCTTAAGTTGTGTCAAGCTACACTCCAAAATCCCAAGTAGGCTTTGATGGCCTTTGCTTTCGTCATAGGCTTGCTAAGTCATAAAAAAAGCTGAGCAACAGGATTCGCCAGGGACTTGACGTCTGCTGACGTCATGCTGATGCTCAACAGAATTACCTGCTTCCGAGAACGCTTGCCGTCCCGATTTGCAGAACGGAACGCTAGTGATGGCCGGACTTCTCGGTGCCAAATGGCACGAGCTCTCTTCGGAGATTCAGAAGAGAAAGTCAGGTGAAGATGGTACTGCAGACTCTGATGACAAGAAGCAGGAGCTCCTCTTTCTAGAGAGGCACCTTCAGACACTGGACGTGCGCGCAAGGCTGCATGCCAGGTCAGGGTTCGACTTCAGTACCCGTTTCAAGCACGCGTGTAAAGGCAAGAGGACTCTGAGTTGAGCCGTAATTTTACCGAGAGTGTGGTTCAATTTCGTCGCGTCTGATGAGACTAGTAAGATCATTATTCTGAATCTTTCGAATCCTGAACGTAAGCCAGCAATGTTGGTTTCTCTACAAATTCTACTTCGTCGCAGAAGTTGAAATCTATCTTTTTGAACCGTTAGCAGAATTGCATATGCAACATGTACAAGGTGCCATCCTGTGTTGTATAAGCTGCGCCAGGTTTCTGAAGTCGACGCCACCCTTTCGAAGTCCTCTCTTTGACATGGTTCACGGAACTGTCAATCGTATCTGCAACGGAACAAACCCCGTGGCTTGCTTTCGTCAGCTCACGTCTTGGATTATAATGTGGAGTATCGGGAGTTAAAAGGTTTCTACGAATAGGAGCTTGCTGCATATCAAACAAAACATCAGCCATACCAAGCAAGAACCTTGCATGATCTTTCACACCAATTAGATACCAATTGCCCGCAGCAAGAGGACTTCAAGTAGAGATTCTCCTGCATACATATAACTTGAAGGCTTTCAATTCGTCTTGGTGTTGACATAATGAGACCAACCGATCAACCCGCATATGGTTGCAAATTCCAGGAAGGAATGATGAGTATCTGGTTCAGCCACAAACCATCGGCCGTGATTCGGCCACGTGGAGCTTCCCTGGAGGAGGACGCCTCATCCTCAGCCTCGACCTCAAGGACGGGACCTGTAACGTGGTACCTGAGCACGTGCCTGCTGACGCCAGCTTCATCAAAGACGCCTGGACTGCGAGCTCCGAATGGCGTGGCTCAAATTCGACGCACAACTTCGATCTGATATACAAGTGAGTACCTTCTCGCCAACGTCTGCGCTTTTCTTACCTCGCCTCATAGCGTGGAGACCAGCTCGCGAATAAATCCGATCCCGCCTATGATGAGCATATTCCCAGCGTTTTAGAAGCAGACAAACAAGGTTTCTAGGTTTTCCATTGATCCGGAAGGCTCTTTCATTGGCAGCTTCCGCGTGAGCAAGGTCCCGTACGCTCTCGCAGCCAGCGCAGAACAGGTGTTGAATTCGATTGAGCGCTTCAATTGCGCACTTTGATTGCTCAGGCCTAAATTACAAGCATAAGATTCGCTTAAGTTGCACAGGCCTCAATTACAAGCGAAAGATTCAGTTAATTTGCAGCTAATTACCATGATCGAAGGGCATGGCAGATACAATTGGAGCTTCTGTTAGTCTTCATCGGGTCTTAAGCTCTCGACTGTTGCAGAATCTCTAAGATCAGATTTCTGGACAGCTCCGAAGCAAAGTGAGGAAGATAGACCATACAACTTGATTTTCAAGATCCAAAAACCCTTCTTTTGATTTATTCTTTCAATCCTACTGGAAGGCTCGACACCGGTTTTGTCAAGCTCAAAGAGAAGGACGCCCTTCCCGACCCCTACATCCTCACGATCACGCCTGATGCCGCTCGAGAGCGGTACGAGCACATCGGGGAGCGGATTCCGTCCGCTCTCGTTCTGTACAGATTGCTGTGCCTCTTCCCGTCCCTGGATGTGCCGACTTATGACTGGTACAAGTGTCTCTGGGACTTTCTGCTGACCCACGAAGCGACCGGCTTCCGGCTGAAGATATGGGAGCACAAGGCCGCGCTGCATGCAATGGTGAGCTGCCATGCGCGCGCAGCCGCGCTGATTCGTACCGCGACAGATATCTGCCCCTCATCTCCAAAAACCTGCTTTAGCACCCGCAAACGGAAGGCCAGAGAGAGTGTGGTTCTCATTGACTTCTGGGTTCCTCTTCAAAGAAGTTAAACTGTTCCGCCACAATCAGCTATTTAAGCCTTCCAGGTTGTTGTACTGTCACGTCGGGCTCCGATATCCCCCTGCCAGAGTTCAAAACACAAATGGACATCGGCAAGGAATTAGTTCAGGTCGTAGCACCCTCCTGCCAACTTCATTTCCATGCCAAAGCCAAAAACATCGATGCACATGCACTGATTAGCTTAGATGAACGTGCAAAGATTCCGTTCAGGTCTTCTGGACGGACACCCCTGGACCGGCGCCGGAATGTTTCCAGGCAGACGCCTGCGCTTTTCTGGAGCTGCTCCTTTCGGACGAGTGCCGGCACCCCTGTGGAGTGGTCGCCGGTTCCATCGATCCCGCTGTCCTAGACAACAGCACCGCGGCGGCACTCGAGGTATTTAGGCATCTTTTGGAGAACTGGGTCTCCTTTTTCTAGACCTTTCCGGTTCAACATCGTAGTATCTATCTTTCTAGACCTGTGCTGAAAGTTTGTGGTTGCATTTTCCGAGGCGGCTGTTTGGAATCAGCTGCTGTTCCGATTGAAGTGGAACCACAGAAGGAACGTCTCGAAGGCCGGAATACCTTGTTTTGTGGTTAGGTTACTTGTGCGTACTCTCCTCCTCTCGTTAGCGCTTTGAACACCCTCCTTACAACGTGCGGCTTGTGAAGGCGGCTAGACGCAAACTCGTAGTCGTATCAATAGTGCTCAAAGAATTATTTCTGAGATTGCTTTACTCAGACGCCCGCGTGCAAGCGGGAGACTCCAACGTATTCTGAAACCTCATCCTTTGCTGTTCAGTCCACTTGAACTTTTAGAGATCATATGACATGTGATCTGGTTTCCCATCTGCAGCCACGTAGGTATATGGTAGACCCATCGCAGATTGTCAGGGACCGGCTGACGCCTGATGACGTAGTGGCAGCGCGCGCTGTCAGGGACAAGTGGAAGGCTCTCGAAGAGCCAGACAGGCAAGCCTTGCTGAGCTCTTCGTGGGCAAAAACTCCTAACTTCTTTTGGTATTGCAGCACTCCCTTCATTCTAGCAAGGTCGTTAACCGGATGTATGTGAATCCTCGAGATGCAAGACAAAAGCGATCAACCGCTGTGCACATCAATCTGTTACCCTCGGGTCCTGCTGGTTCAAGAGTTCGCATCATGCATCGCTTTTCCTTGAGGGCTGCGTTTTGAAGAGACTGCCTGATTATGACTCCGTCGACTTTTCAGAGCGGGTTGCAACCACTTGCCCTTCCCATTGAATTTAGAGGCCGGTCGTATCTTCGCACCCATGTCTTTCTCACCTGCTCCGAGCCATGCTAAGATATCGACTCGGTGACTTTTGTATTCTCGGATGCAGCGCCCCACAGGACGGTACCGGTCGCTTGGACGTCCGCTTCGGTCCGGCAGCGACAACAATCATCTTGCCCGACTTTGGGCAGGAACTTACGGCGCCCGCCAACAAAAGACTGAAGGCGGAAACGGTGGGTTATCGTACCGGTCTCGTCAAGCTCATTCTTGAAAGAGCAGCCGTTGCTTCAGTAGAATATACAGACGATCCTTCTGAACGTTAGAACTAGACTTCGCTATCCTCGTGCTTCAAATCAATCACCTGTGAATGCTGCTTTGGTGTCGTTGGCTTTTAAAGTAGCTTTGAAGCAGTCTTGTCAAAAAGCAGGCAAGGACCGCGCAAAATTGTTGAGGGATGAACTCATTCCGGAATGCTTTAAACAGAGGGCGTCGGGGGGACTGGTCCCCCCTGGGCGACAAGCAAAGTGACCATAGAGCCAAATCGGTCGCTCAGGACAGTATTTGAGATGGAATCTGGTCCGTCGGATGAAACTTTCCCTGAGGACTCAGATGCACGAGTCCTTGAATCTGACGCCCTCTCTAAGCTTGCACAGTTTTTGAATCCAGATTGAGGCTGCGTGACTCCCCTCCCTTCAGCAGAGCAATTTGTCAACCCCTTCCATGCCAGGACCCGTCGACCGTTCCGTTCTGCGTGACGATCTCCTCCGCTCTGCTGCTCTACCGCCTTCTCGGCCTCTTCAGCCTCCTTGACCGCGAAACCCGGTACAGTAACGTCCTTCACTACAGTAGCGTCCAAACACCGGTTGAGATCATCCGACCCGGTTTTACGGATTCCGTGTGGCACACGGAGGTCCGCCACATGGCGTCCGCATCCGTCGTCCGATTCGGCGACTACCGCGGCGCTGCAGCGGTCTGGGCGGCCACGTCCGCAGGAGCTGATCACGAGGAGAAGCTCAAGGAGGATCTCGTGTCGCTGCTCGAGCTGCTTTGCGGCGACAAGTGTCCGCATACGTATGACGAAGTAGTCGCCGGATGTATAGCCTGAGAAGGTCCTTGTGATTTGAGTGCCAAGCCCCACTCACCTGGTCGAGCTGTGACTGCTCCGCTGTGCTTTCACTTTCACTTTTATTTGCAGCACATGCAGTAATGCTGGGCGCCAGAGTGGAGGGCCAACGAACATGTCAGATCAGAAAACTTTCGTATCAAAACCACTTTGCTGACCAAAACGATCTTTGTTGATCCTCCTTCAAGTCTTCCTTGACGGTTGCATCTGCCGCCAAGCCTTCTAGCGAATGTGGGTTATCGACGCGTTTGCCAGCCGGCATGTAAGTTCGCCACCGGCTGCATAAGTGCTGATCGTAATCGTCTGTTTCAGGACATGGCAAGCGGACCGACGTATACTGCTTAATGATCAGCTGCGGCTTACTGCGTCAAACCGCTGGATCCTGGCCGGCAAAACATATCTAGCTGCTGCGCTGCCAATATACAGTAATTGTCTTCTGCAAACATTGGTTCGGGCATGGCACGCCGCCCATACAGTCTGTCATTGCAGCGAGCTTGCGGCCGTCGGGCCGTTCTTGTGACGGAATAAGATCGCGCCACATATGTCAATCGACATTTTTTCTGCCTTGACAAGCGACCGTCGGTGTAATACTATACTACAATTCAAATTCTTTGGTCTGGTGGCCGCCAACCGCAACTTAATGAAGCTAGCTGTCTTGCCAGACAACATGGGCGAGCCTGCCTTGCAAAGCTTCGCAAAGCGCTTGGGCCATGCACCACAATTATGAATATATATGCAGGCTATAGATTAGAGTACGTTGACTGAGCCCACTGGGTTATGTATATATGTGTAATTCGACATGTGCCATGGTAGTGGCAGTGAGAGCCATGGCCGTCGATCGAGTCCGCCATGCTTTCAGCTCATTTCGAGCGCTGGCACATCAGTGTTCGAAGATACGTATGAAACCAAAATTAGACGAAGCTAAGTTTTAACGACTCAGATTATACGTTCGGATGGTAGATGGACACCAACCATAATTCATGTCTACATTCCAGCTGCGCTCAGTAGGATAATCAGCGGCAATGAGGTCATTTGCAGCAAGTCAACAGGCTGATTGGCTCTGCATAACATTTTGATTCATAGGGACTATGTTCGGTGCCTGAAATCAACAATTTGTTCTGAATTCAATAATCTGTTTTGAACTCAGAAAATCTGTTCTGATCAGCTCGCTACTGCGGCTTTTTTATCGACCAACGCCATCAGCTCGTCGATCGTCACTCCGTCCATGTCTCCATACACTGCCGCCGCCCCCTCAAACTTCTGCGACGCCGTTGACGGCGTCGTCGTGATCACGCACGACATACCGCCCCCCAGCGCAGCGGCGAGCCCGATCGCGCTATCCTCGATGACCAGGCACTTCTCGGCGGGGATGCCCAGGCGCTTCACCGCCTCGACGTAGATCTCCGGGTCCGGCTTCTTCTTGTTGACGTCATCACCGGCCAGGAAGCAGTCGAGCGACTCGAAGCGGTCCTTCCCGATGAGGTTCGAGAGGGTGAAGACGCACGACTCCTTTGTCGACGCAGAGCAGACCGCGACCTTCAGGCCCGTGGCACGGGCAGCGTCCATCACCTGACGTCGGCAACGAACAAGTGACGTGAGCAACGGAGTTGATGCTGACGAAGGAGGTTCGAGAGTCTTATGGATGGCGTAGACGGCAATCTTAACGTCCGTTACTTGACACCAGAAGGGTATGTATCCATCAGAGATAGATGGCACGTGCAGTTGCCGACGCAAAATGCACAGACTTCTTCTTCAGGAGCGGGACAAACAGTGAATGTTAAGGCATACCGCGATCTTCGTGAATTGAATTGCGCAACGAACGCCACACCAAGCGGAGAAGGAGTAGGTTGTAAACAAACAAAGGCTCCTCTCTGGAGCTCTTCTCTTCCGACACTGTAGGATAGGTACGTAGCAAAGAGCGACTACTTCTTCAAAGTCGCAATTTAGCCAATCGCCCGCATACTTTTCAGTAAATCCTTCTGAGAGCTTCGTCCAGATTGCGTTCTGGAGTACCAATTTTATACACGAGTCAGCGAGTCAGCGCAAGTAATAAGTGGGGACTGTTACGAACAAATACTTTCAAAATCGCTGCACAAACATAGATGCCATGACAAGGAACATAACTATGGATGGGTGGCTTTCTTACAATGAGCACATCTGAAACGGCGCTTTTCCGTTTTGCACACATAGTCGCGCTACTGAGCTTCGAAGGTATAGAGCGACCAAACGAGTCTAACGGGCTTTCAGACTGGAAAAGAGAAGAACGCTTCTCAATCGGGCTGATGGTGATGAATGCGGCGATGAGTATTAAACCCAAATGAGGAAACCCTGTAGCGATTCGAGAATGAAGGATTCCAAGCGACCGCACTGGACCGCACACCCTTCTCTCTAGACGATCGAGGTGACAGGCAAAAGAGAGGAGACGAGAAGAAAAGAGATAGGAAGAGACCACGTCAAGTCAAAAGGAACAAACACCAGGAAAAAGCAAGAGGGCGAAGGACATCAGGGATATCCTAGAATTCAAGAAGGAACATACAGAGGGGTATCCTGGAGGTTAAGAAGGAACATACAGAGCAAAGCAACCGAATACATAGGAAAGAAACGTTTTGTGAGTCACCTCCAAAATCCCCGGTCTTGGCTTCACGGACCCTGACCCAATAAAGTCCCGGAACTTCGCAGACTTCCAGTCTTGCAGCGTGTCGACCAGCTTCGCCTGCTCCTCCTCGTTCTTGGGGGCTTCCGGCAGAATGGTCGAAGTGGGCCAGCCATTCTTACTGAAGTACCACCGCATCTTGGGCTTGCCGCCCCCTGGAATGAACAAGCAGATTGTCAGCGCAGATTCTTTGTATGCATCCGACGGTCAGGATTTGCATGAGACTGACACTACGCTTTTGAGACAGTCATGCCAGGAGTGCGTTTGGAAAACAGCACGGTGCGCGGCCTCATGTGACACTGAGGCAAGTTGCAGATGCATGCGATGCCTCAACCAGCAGCACTCCCGTCCCACGTGATGTTCTGACTGCAGTCTGCCAGGAATTTGCGGATTTTGGCAGGACAGGATCATGATTTGGGTATAATAATCCACAACAAGATGAGCGTTCGATTCCACTTGTTGAATCTGGACAGCAGTGCTGCGATTTATTGTCGCCCTCGTGTCATTCCGTAACTCTGCGGTCTGCCTGTCCTGGGGTTGCTCTTTGAACTCTTCCACATCCTGGGGCTCGAAGATTCCCCCAGCAAGACCAGAAAGGTTCAGCAGTGCGTTTCATAAAAAGGTTAGTACTTATATCGAAGAATGTGCATGGGTCATCAACAGAAAGTATGAACAATACAACAACACAAAGGGTTGAAGCATGTATCTAATGACACCCCAGCACCGCAGACAAGTCGACGATTACTTGGACTAAAGTCAGGCTCTTCGATGCACAAGATCGCAGATGACTGGCGACTCTGACGCAAACAAAAGAAAGCCTTCAGTCTGTATAAAAGATGGTCCCAACCCTCACGCACGGAAGAAACGAATGTGTTTGGAAGAATAGTCACCATTCATTTGGACCAAGATCAGCTATTCTACGCAAGGTCCTGCCTAGTGAATGAGTCTGATGCGGAGGAGGGAAAGCTTCCGTCTGTAAAGAAGATAGTGATGCTCACCGACAGTGTTCTGCAGCATGTCATAAAAGTCGGGCGTCCAAACCACGGCGCCGTCCGGTGCGTTTGGGCACCGCACATCAAATTCCTTAAAGGCAGCATTGTACGCCTCCCTATGCAGGTCTTCTGACTCCAGGATCACGCCGTCACAGTCAAACACAAGCGCTTTCAGTGCCGCACAGCAGGGGCTGCGTGTCCCTGCTCCCCGGTGCGCTTTTCTCTCGCCTCTAGTTACTGCATGAGTGAGCTTTGTGGAGGACCAGCCGCGGGAATGCTGCAAGCTTCTGAGGAGGGGTGCTTTTGACGTTGAGCCCGCTTGTTGAGCTGGCGCTTTGGAAGGGATATGACTTGTGACTGAGGCAATGCAGGGGCACTGTGGCTGCGAGCTGCATTCCTGAGAAGGGCGCCTCACCGCATGCGAAATGCGGGCGGTTGAGAAAGGGGAATGCAGAGCGTGGACGCCCGCCGCCATCTTCGTAATTTGCGTTGCTGATCTCCCCTACGATGATCTGGCCTCAAGTTCCAGCGGATTGCAGAAAGTGGTAATCAGAGAAGCAAACGGGCACCAAATTGATCCCAAAAAGTGAGGGCTGCAGTTATTGTTCTCCATAGAACTTCAAGCTCCTGTCTCTTGAATCTCAAGGCATCCTGGGATGTGGCTGGCATGCACTGGCAGTTGACTCTTGGAACAGCTCACTCAAGTCTCAAGATTGAGCTGTCTTGACAGACTTGAGCCCTCGATGACTGAGCTCTGAGCTCCAGCCCTGAACCAAACCAAACCCAAACCTGCAGAATTCAACCTAAACCTAGGTGGCTAGAATTTAAAGCTTCAGCCCTGAACCCCCAACCCTAAATTCTAAACCCTGATCATGACGGAGCTTAATCCCTTGATTTCCCTAACCGAATCAAGAACCAAACCCTAAACCCCTGTCCCCTTGAACACACCGGGTTTAGCAGACCAAGAATATAACTGTAACAACCAAGATTAACCCAAAAGTTCAACCTTAAAACCCCACGTTCAGCTGAGCTCACGACTGCTGCTGCCAGCACCATGGCACTGGCACTGAATCCAGCTGAATCAATGTGAGCAGGGCTGCAGCATTTTTGAAGGTCTTTCCGGCTTTCTTCTTTTGCTTGGAGGTGATTGGAGGGGCTCACATTTCAGCGTTAACTTGTGAGGAGCATTGTCAGGATGGGCAATTGTGCTTGCCTCCCGGGCAATAAGCACAGGTCTACGGCGCTGGGACCGGTTCCAAAAGCGGTCAGTGAACTCTTTCAGGCGCTGTCACAGGGGAAGGCTACTCTGACTGAAGAAGTCGTGCGGACTTACCTAAAGGCACAGGTGTGGTTTCATGCTGATTCCAGGTCACCGTCCGATTTTCATAGTTTTCTTCCACACGCACTTGTTTCAATAGTGGTACCCTTGTGTTGCGAATAAGGTGGTCGTGAAGCACTCCCTTTGCCGGGTGGAGGTATCGTCCTTCTACTAACGCCGTCAGTTTCAAGGTTCGCATCCAATCAGCGAGCTTAATGGTATCTCAAGAAGTCTCTGCAATAGCCTGATATAGTTGGCAGTGTCCTCCCAATGCCAGTGCTGAAGAGAAGAAGAATAAATGACAGACTCGAAAAGTTAACTGGGAACTTCAGCAACCGAGTGCACCATCATTTTGTTCAAAAGCCTCCCCTCCTACTGCTAAGCAGAGACAACAGGTCTTGTTCTAAGAAAAGCTGGTTTTCTTCTCACAGGCACCTTTGTTGCCTCTTAATACCCCCCCAAATTGTCAGCAGAAGTAGATCACCCCTTTATCCACCTCCAATGTTCAACCTTAAAATCTTAACGATACATAAAAAAGGCCACTTCCAGAGTACACCTTGAGTCCAGCGGGTTTCCCTGCCCCCAAAGTGTGGTTTGGTTGACCTGGCTGACTCTGGATACGAAATGGTGAATGTCAACATCAATCATTATTCGAACAGCTCTGGGGAGCCTCAGTTTACTCAAAATACTGGCCCTGAACATGAACAAGCGGATGAGTTGATCATCGAGCTTGAAAACAACAAAAATGTGGACTGGAGCGCATGTACTTATCCGGAAAGTGATAAACGAGGGAGCCTTTGGTCATATTTTCAAATCAAGGTCCTCTTGAGGCGTTCTGGCACCCCAAGGACTTTCATGGTCAGCAGATCATTCTATGATGAATGATACTGACTTTAATCAAACCGCTCAGCTTTTGTTTTCCTCCTAACCCCGGCAGATATCCAGTCTACACGAGCTTTTGTTCAATTTTACTGCAGGGGGTTGTTTCTTCTGAAACAGAAGTTCACCACCTCATTGCCAGTTGCAAGCAAGCAGTGTCAAACCGACGAACGTCTGGCGCCTCCGAAGCGGGCCCTCTTGATATCGACCTAGACGAATTTCTGGCACTCCTACAAGACACCGATGTCAATGCTCTCCATGAGGTTGGGAAGGTGAGAGGAGGGTCTCATTCAGGGTGCAGTTAAGCTACACAATAGGAGCAGGCCGACTCTTTCTGAGTATGGCTGATGTAAGGAACACGCTACATGCTTCGGTAAACAACGTAGAAATCACGAGTTTTTAGCGAGGAAGTTGTGTTTTCAGCGAGGAAGTTCATTGATTGATCAAGATTTCTGAGATAAGAAAGGGTGATGTTGACAGCGGCAGGACGTGCGCAGGACATTGTGTCCTACTGTGCACACAGTTGGTTTGGATCCACTAACCAGCCCATTCTTTTCATTTCAATGCTAATCACTGTCCGCTTCCAGCTTCGGTTGTGACAGAGTCCCCTAGAGAGTCCGAGGACCACCCTTGCGATAGCTGTGTGTTAATTTCAGATGGTCGTGCCTGATCATCGAGTGGGCCATGTCCAGTATCTAGTGGAATCCTTCCTGATGAATGGAGTCAGCTGCGGTAATTGCAATACAACATCACCGTATTAGCGGCGTTGGTAAGCACACTCGGAACTTTGGTCAGGTGCTTGATCCGGCCGAACTGCTGACTCCCCGCTTGTTATTGTGCAGGTCACCCATGACATGAGCCTGCCTCTCTCCCATTACTATGTGGGTCAGTTGTCCTTCTATGTGACTTCGTTGGCGTTGCATCAGACCTCAACTTGAAATGACCAACATGAGACCATGTTCTTTCAGGGGTTTGTCTCTGCACACAACTTGACTGAATGTAAGTCGATCTGAGGTTACGGAAGGATTCTCCGTTTTGCTGGTGTGTCCAAGACGTAGGGTACTCTTCTCCGAAGAGATTTGGGCCAGCAGGACTTGACATTATGCTGACAATTGATACGACTGACTTCGGAAAAATGACATGAAAAAGACCTCTCTGTGTTGATTTGGTATACGTCTCTATCCGCTGATTGTCCCGGCTGTGGCCCAATAGAAAGTCCCCCTCTGAATATATGGGATTCGTTCCTACCGGCCAACTTTGGCTCTTCATTTCTGTCAGAATACTGCCTTCATGGGTACAGACCCCCGAACAGGTTTCCCGCTAAATGCCCTTTTCCCTGCACCGTTCTTTGCCTTGCTGATACACCTGGGCCACAAGGATGAAGCTAGGTGGCCATAAGCCATGAATCGCAACTGACTTTGGCGATTCTGCGCTGGCAACTTCTACCCTTTTGAAGAACTCGCTTCTCGGAGAAAGCATACTTGTTGTTCCAATTGATCTGCTCCAATCCGTACCTTTTCAACCAACACTGACGTAATTTTTGAATCGCTTGACAGCCAACTACTTCTTAAGATTCGATAAGCCTACGGAATTGACTTTCCTTCGTCCAGTTCAAGCTTTACCAGCATGAAGAGCTTTTCGATATAGTGGGATCTCGTCGGCAACAAACAGACAAGCTTGCTCAACCTCGGTTCAACAACGAAAAAGCATTCGTACCTTCCAACATGCAGTTGACCAGTCTCCCGCCGAAGGGGGATGTTGTCGGCAACAAAGTGATAAGCATTTGAACGCCGTGCATCTTTCCTACCCAAAGAAACAAAGACGCGTCGTTTAAGGCTTTTCTTTTTTTCCTGATGGGAGTAACTGTCCAAAGTGTTGTCGTTGAACGATATCTTGAAATGCTTCTTGTGCAGATTTACACTGGACACAACTCGTATCTGTCTGGAAACCAGCTGAACAGCGACAGCAGTGCCGTCCCCATCATCGATGCCTTGAAACGTGGGTGTAGAGTTATCGAGCTTGACTGCTGGCCGGATGGAGACGACCAGATCAAAGTGGTGCACGGCATGTGAGGACTACCGCCTGCAACCTCTTTCCGTTAACACGGACCTTCTTGGAGCAATCGAGCGCTTGAAGAAGTTCTCACTTCCGACATCTTTTCAGACTGGAAGAGACGTTCCAGAAATTACTTTCAGAAATCAATCTTACACGCGCAGGCACCGATTTTCATGTTTCGTGGATTCGTCAGAGTTTTTGAATCATCACAGAGTTCTCCATCAGCGTGTCTCCTGTTTTCAGCTTCTGATTCATTGTCTTTGTCGCTTGGCATGCGCTCCGGCGGCAAGCTTTGACCGCGAAAGCAGCGGAAGAAACGCGTGAGAATGAAGCACGTGAGGAAAAGAGCATTGCAGAAAGCTAGCTTACCAGACGCGCCCGGGGGGACTTTGCTGCGTCTGCTCTTTGCTACACTTGGTGTCGCTTCTTGGTCAGATCTTCGTCGAACATGCGTTCCCTTCTTTCGCCTCACTAGTTTGTACCTGATAAAACTTAGCTCAACAAGCGGCCCTGAAAAGAAGGGACAAAAGGTTGCAGCCAGTGAAAACTCAAGGATTCGATCCGCAACCTTTCCTTTCCGCAGTAGCCCCGCAAGGTTGACCCATCCCTCTTCGTCTCGATAATTTCTAGGGAGTTTTGGATCCGCCTTTCTATTCCGCTGCTCAAGATTCACATGAGTGAGAGCAGAATGAGTAAGGGTAAGTTGTGGTTCGGATCTGACCTCTGGCCCCTCATCTTACCAATAACCGAGGAACTGTGACCCCGCTTCTAACCCCGCTTCTAACCCCGCTCTAACCCAGGACGCTGTGCAAGCCCGCTCCAGTTTTGGAGCTGCTCCACGCCATCAAAGAGTACGCCTTTGTGGCGTCGGACTTCCCGCTGATGCTGACGATCGAGAACCACCTGCCGGTGCCGCTGCAGAATCTGCTCGCCCAGGTTAGGACGCACGTACTGCACCGTTTTCAAAGTCCTCGTCACCAAATCCTGCTTCCAAGAAGGCGTGACTTAGCTCCATCTCAAATGGAGAGCTTGTTTCGAGTAATGTCGCTTTGGAGCCTTCTTGGAACCCGAATTCATGCGAAGCTGATATTTGATGACCAAGTTTGGCTACAAACCCTCAAGCAGGTTGTTAGGGGCAGCGTTATTCGCTCTTTCGGGAGGGACTACTGCTGGAATGGTTCAACGCACGTGGTTTGTCTGTTTGTCCATACTTGAGAACCGGCTTGCCAGTGTTGTCAAGAACTGGACAGACCGTCAGACGGACTCCCTGGACAGACTACTGCTTCGAAAGTCAGAACTTCTAGTCGCACCAGGCGGTTTGAGAGTGGAGTCTGTATTCCACAAATCCGAAGCCTATCTGGCACACATCTCCAAGACTTTGTTTCCCGCCAGCTGCACACGTGGCACTTAGCCGCGCGTTGAAGCGTGTGAGGCACAAGGGTTCTGCGCACCGCTCACCAGATGGGAAGAAGCACGAACAATCATGAGTGCGGCCGTGCTTGTTAGAACACCTAAAGCCGGATGAGGAGGAGCACGAGCAGTCGAAAGAGCTGCGACCTGGATGCGTGCTGACGCATAGAATGCCGCACTATATCTTCGAGCCCGCAAACCTTCAACGGATCTGCTTTCTGTCTGCAGCATTTCAAAGACATCTTTGGCGAGCAATTGTTCACGAAGACGAGCGACGGCCCCCTCCTGTCGCCAAACGACCTCAAGCGACGGTTTCTCATCTCCACCAAGTCGACGAAAGAGACGGCGGAAGGCGTCAAAGGGGCCAAGAAGCCGCCCCCGGATCTCACCCCCGTGGCGGAGGGAGGGATCCCGGCAGAAGAACCGGAAGACGACATAAAGCGTGAGCGTTCCGTGCTTATAGCCGGTGCAACGCGGTGCTAAGAAGTCGGCTATAGGTCTGGGGATTAACCTGAGCTTAAGCAACCTGTCCAGAATAACAGGGCCTTTGCGGTATGAGATAGCGTTGGGTTTTCCTGTTTATGGCGTATTCCAAAGAGCAGAGGTTTTCGGAAGAGGGCTGCAGATAGGCTCAAATTTGGCGCTACCAGCAGTTTCTGGCGCCAAAGTCTCGCTGTAATGGTTGTTAAGGAGACGGGGCTTTCATCAGCTCTGTTTGATTCTCTGAGTACAGACACCAAACACTTCTCAGATGCCGCTCTGCCCTTGTACAGGGACGGGGCAAGGACCAGAGGCAGCGTCCAACGGACACGAAACCGCTGGGAGCAATCCAGGTGCGCTCGCTTACCCTCCATCCAGCCGGTTGTTAGAGTCTGCCAACGTATACCTTCCGTGTGTCTCGACAGCGGTAGTCAGAGGTGAATCCGTTATACGGATTGTGTGTGCCAACGTGAGGTTCTCGAGCCGCATGATTCGTCTGGAAACACCAGGCAAGAAATCCTTCTGGGGGCTTCGTGGCAAGGAAAGACTTAGCTCAATTTCCTGTCGAGCATTCGCTTTCCAGGACTCCGTGTGTGGGTCCCGTCTTGAAAGTTGTCGCTGGACATTCGCTTTCTTCGAACACCAATATTGTAGTCTTGCACTGGGTGCTCCTGCCAACTTTCAATCAGGAGACGACTCCCTCCGTAATTAGGGAATCGAGACCTTACAGTGAACTAGCACTTAGAGCTGGGAGGTCGAGGTTTCTGATCTGTCATTGCTGGTCCCCCGATTACCCTGCCAACTCCCGCAGTCGTTGACCGCATAGAGCCTCTCGAGCTAGCCACCGAAACGTTTATTGCCTTACCCAACTTGTACACCAACCTGTACACCAAACGCAACCAACTTGTAAACCAGCTCGTAACCCCTTACAGGATCCAAGCGGCCCTCTCTTGCCGAGGTCGACGCCGAGGCCGTCGTTGCTGACGTGGCAACCCCGAGCGACGCCGCTGAGTTCGACAAGAGCCTCTCATCGCTTATCTACATCCCCACTTTAAAAAGCAAGCTCGTGGGCACGCCGGCGAGTGAGCGGAAGGCGATACGCGCCAGCTTCAGCGAGCCGCAGTTCGACGAAGTGGCGGAAAAGGACCCCCTTGTCCTGACCAAGTGAGGGATCCCTCTTGCCAATTGTTTCTTTGGGGGGCCGTTGGACCCTGCCTACCCCCCCCGGGTTTTGGCAGGGTTGGACTGTGTCCATTTTGTCACTCATGAGAGTTATAGAAGTCGAGGACGTCTTGAAAAGGTACTTAAACCTTTTCATTCGTCGCATGCCGTCAGGCGGACGCCTTCTTATGGTGAATAACATGGGACATTTGTTTTCTACTCGTTTAAGTCTGGCTGTGCCGTGCTTGTCGAATCTGCAGCCGCCTCTTTTTGCTTGGCATTCTCGTGGTCTCAGGTTGTCGATTCGAGGCCTTAGGTCAGGTCCAGGACTTGTTTTACGTGTCTGTCTCCGTGTGAATCTTGCTTCGTCAACCTGTCTGTCTGCTGATAGCTGGTCGAGGCTCCAAAAACGAAGCAGGCTTTAGAGTTCCGAGATAGTCTAGTTCATAAGGTCAGCGCGGATACAAGAGCTGATCAATATAGACTGTGAACCATCAGGCAGACTATATTCGGTTCATGATTCCAACCAGACGTCGCAATCTGCTGCCAAACATAGCCATGTGGTACTCTTGCTCAGTGTTACACTGAACAGCCAGCCTGAATGCCAGCACTGTTTGGCTGGTCCGGATGAACCAATCATTACCCTGACCAGCTGAGATCAAAACAACGAGAAAAGAACCACTGTTGACCATCGCACGATCTGCTAACGTCTTCTTATGGCGTAACAAAGCGCAAGGGCTTCCGCTCTAATCTACCAAAGAAGGTCTGAAGCACCCTTGCGAAGCAACGGACGTAGACAGCTTTCAATATTGCTTTCGAGCCGACCTCTTCAACAGTCCGGTGTGATCCAAGCAAATCTTTGCGAAGTACCCGCTGTGCCGCTGATCCGCTCTATCTTCCCCGGCAGGTTCTCCCAGCACAACATGGTTCGGGTGTACCCTTACGGCCTCCGCTTCGATTCATCGAACCTGGACCCTGTCAAGGTGTGGTGCCACGGGGGCCAGCTGGCAGCCATGAACATGCAGGTACGAATTTCCACCGACCCTCACATATTTCTCTCCGAAATATTCGAAGCTTTACGTTTGGTCGTGAAGGACCGCGCCATTCTGGAAGCGGAAGTGGATGTTATGCGGGGATATCGGGTGCCACGAGGGAGCGCCATGAACTTGCAGGTAATCAATTTCTCCCGATGTAAGGCTCCGTTTCTTTCAGAAGTTTCCGTACTCCTTGGTTTGGTTTTTTAGCACCGCGGACTTGTGGAAGCGTTACACCTAGCGGGAAGGTCGGGCGCCCCGGCGGGCCATATGGCAGCTCTGCACATGCAGATATAAAGAGCCCTTTATATTCGGAATCCTTCTTCTCAAACCTCTACTTTAGAAATTAGTACGTACTCCTGCAAACGATTATGTGGATTTTGTCGAGTATCACAGAGGGCTGAAAGCACTCCCTTCAAAGCACCAGCCACTTAAAATTGTCAAACCGACTCCCGATCTTTGTCGCTTTGCAGGGATACGGCCGTAATCTGTGGCTCGCCCACGGTTTCTTTCTTGCAAACGGGGGGTGCGGTTACGTCCGGAAACCAGAGTTCTTCTACCCCCCTTCCACTGAAATTGCCGCTAACGGCACTCCAGTGGAAGCTGTCTTCAATCCTAGGCAAACTACGCCCGTGAGAACAACGCTAAAGGTAAGATGGATAGAAGGCGGGGGTCGTCGATGTCTTGACAGACAATCAGTCAATGTGGTCAGACGTGCTTGCCACTCCCTAACCGAAAGAAGGGTCTGCTTGGAATCCTTCGTTGCGTCGTTGCGAACGCTTCACGACATCCGCTGCGGTCGTGTCAAAAGCTCAGACAAATACTGAAGCGCACGTTGCAGGCACAGCAGATTTCTGGTTCTACTGAGGCTATAGTCAAGCGCTCGTTGCAGACTCCGCTTTTAGGGCCGTGCTATCGCCCTAGCTGCGCTTGCGGTTTCCTGGCGTTCGATCGTCCGGGGGGCGTGCCAGATGCTCAACAAGGTTGCGCGGGCGAGAATCGGTCAGCAGAGTTCTTGTCACAATTGATGCTAACCAGACGCCTTGTTGCTGCAGATTCGAATCCTCTGGGGATGCGATACGCATAAGCGCTTCGACGCCATGAGCCTGCCGGACTTCTTTGTGCGGGTGAGTGCCTTGCAATTGCGAAAAGCATTTCTGTGGCTCTCCAAATCGTCGAAAGTGCCGGGCTCAGCCCTGCGCCAATATCTGCAATGTTTTTGGTTATGCGTGTTGGCCAGACACTTAGAAAAAGAGAGAATCTTCTCCGAAGGAAATAAAACACGCGGTTATTGCCGCCTCTCCCGCTGCTCGAAGTATAGGCTCGGACAACGACCGTTGGCAGGGAATACTTGCTAGTAAGTTGCGGGAAGGCTTACCAGTCTAGGACACGCTCTCGAGATGCGTGCGTGATAAGTGCATGAAGTGGTGTGCAGGTATGACGTCATTGGAATATTCTGCTTCGCTTAGACACGTTCCTCGGTCTTTTTCCCACGACACCTTGGCACCTTTGTTTGGGCTCAACAGTCATTTGTTCATCGCATTCGCCCACTAGCACTCTCCGAAGTATCTTTGTACAATCTATCAGCTGCAGTCCTAAGACGCGCCTTTTGTGGCAGGTCGCGTTGTGCGGCGTTTTTGTAAGATTCTGAAACCCTAGAATAAGAAGTGCCATCCATCGCAGGTTGCGGTGTGCGGCGTCCCGGTGGACACCAAAAAGTCCCACACGAAGGTGCACCGCAACACGAACCACCCGATCTGGGAGAACGAGCTGTTTGAGTTCCCGTTGACGGCCCCCGAATTAGCGATCCTTGCCCTCGAGGTGAGCGCTTCACAACCAAGTCTTCTGGTGTCTGCTCTGGGATCTGCGTTGCTAGGCGTATATTTGAGAGCATTTTTTTTATACAAGTGATCCGGAGCTGTTTTTGGATCCTTCGGACGGCACAAGAAGCTGGCGCTCCGCGCACTCGAGGTGAGCGCTCCTGTTCGAAGCTCGTCTTTTGGTGTCTGCTCTGGATTTTGCTTCGACCTGCATGTACATGTTCTTTTGTCTAGGTCTCTCGAGCTGTTTAGGGGTCCGTTTTTGACACTCAAGGTAAGCCCTCCGTTCCAAGTCTCTTCTTTTGGTGGTTGCTTGAGACTATGCCTCGCCAGGCGTGCTTTTGACGGCTTTCTTTCTTTGTTTATTCCAAATCTTGGAAGCTGTTTGGGATCTATCTGGCGGCACCGAAGCGCTTCTCGCACTTGAGGTGAGAGCTCTCTCACGTCTTGCCTGCTGGTGTCTGCTCAGTACTCCGACTCGCCAGGCTTTTTTTGTCCCTATTATCCCGAAACTGTATCAGGTCCTCTCTTATGGCACCGAAGCTTGCCACTCCGGCGCTCGCCGTTAGCGCTATGTTCCATGTCCTTTTATCGGTCCAGTTCCGATCGCTCCTCAGCAAATAGAGCGTGGGAGCTTAGTCGATTTAAGTGCTCAAGCTACTCAACTTCGCTTGACGGCACCGGCCATGGCGCTGCTTGCGTTCAAAATTAGCGCTGTGTTCCTAACTTCTGTAATGGGTGTGTCCCGAGATTTGCCGTCGGTTAAGCGTGACTTTGGATTTTTTAGGAGGCTTCTTCAGTCGAAAGCCCGTGTTTTTCCTTGACGGCACTGGGCTGGAGCTTCTTGAACAGGGGTTTAAGCGCTGCATTGCTGCGTAGAGTCTTCCGTGTACGTCCGTTAAGAGATTTAACTCATAAGCTTACATTTCGCTTAGAGAGTTCTCTTTGTCGAAGCGGCCGGTTGAACAGGACCTTGCTCGTAGTGCCCAATGTGAGAGGATTGTGTGAGATAGCGTTAGCAAAGTAAAGTGAAGAGGCGCTAATCTTCTACTCGGACCGTAGCCGTACGATCTGGGAGGTTTTATTCAACATTGAATGCAACTTTCAAAGCTTGTCGGAACTGGCGTATAGAACGGGCCAGGTATCCAAAGCAAAGCTCCACGCAGTTGCTAGGGTCCGAGTCCGAGCTTGCAAACCTTTGAGCCAAGTCGAAGCTCAGCGCTGCAAGCGTCAAACGTCCTTCCATGCCCTCGTGCAGGTCCGTGAATCGGACACGTTGCAGCGCGACGACTTTGCTTGTCAAGTTTGCATACCCGTCGCTGAGATGCGTACGGGGATCCGTTCTGTAGCGATGAAGGATGCGAAAGGCAACGTCATCCCTGATGGCCAGGCGAAGTTGTTGGTCCACGTAGAGCTCTCCGCTTAGTAACCCTCAGTAGCTTTCTTGATTATCACTTTCCTGAGACTTGAGCTATGTCTGCTTATTATTTTACTATAAGTCTTGACACGAAGCAAGTCCGGAAAGCGGATGAGAGACCTTCAGTCTATCTACGTACAAGACTTGGCAGGAAATGGCTCGGTTTGATCTAAATGAGGGTTGACATTGTCTAGCGAACAGCCTAACGCAAGAGATCAAGTAAACAGGTTCAGCAGCCAGATTAGAAGTCAAACGTGTGCTCATGATCTCAGAAAGCGCGCACAACTGAATTGTTTAAAGGGCCGTTCCTCACTTGGCGACCATTGTGAGACGTCTGGTGAAAGGCCCGTTGCCACATTTATTCAGCTTTCGATTGATTGCAGCTTTTCCGGCATGCATGTGATCTTAAGCTCAATGTCAATCACTGCTAACTTGAATATGACATTGAGATAGTGATCTGTAACTTAGTGTAGTGCCTTAAATGTCTCAGGCCTGCGATGGACAAGGCAGGCTACTTGCCATAAAGCTTGATGGCCATATAATCATCAACGATGTACTGCGCCCGAGCGGCGCGCGCGGCCGTGTTCAAAATCTGTGTATCATATATGCAATGCAGATCATAGCTCAGAGAACCTACTGCGCGCATCATACCGGTGCTCGCGTCGGGCACACACACGTCGATTTTAACTTCGCTATGCTAGCTAGGCGCCAACGGGCACGACCTGGCCGGGCGCCGCGCGCCTTATGCATGACCATGGTGGCACTATATGGATCGCATGCATGCATTCATCACTCCTGCTATAAGATGAACCCGACCTAGTACCGTACTAAGTCCATCAATCACAAGTACACTTACCGGACGTACGTAGTGACAGAGCCAGACTCGATCGGCGAATGATAGGTAGTGCATGGGCAGTACTGTATTGAATTCAGCTGTCGGATTGATGGGCTTCACAATGATGGCAGGCTTGCTACCATCATTGTGACCATGGCGCATACCAGTTATTCAGCTGTTGATGATCAGTCGAATGCCATCGGAATTTGTGAGTCAATGATTGGTCGGATTCAAATGAATGCTGGCGCGTCGGCCTATACGTGACTCTATTAAACTTCATTCGAGGTATGTCTACATTATGGGTTTTTAGATGGAAGAAGCTCTATAATCAAGTTCATGGGTCCAGCTAGGTCACAAAGCCATGACAAAGCAGCGAAACCTTGTCCCGACCCGTTACGAAGATGGCCTACTACAGTAGTACTTGCTGAGTCCTGCCATGTCAACCAAGCTATGTACATGTGTCGACCTCGCTATGTACGTCCCACATCTAAATCTCCAGTGATTTCTCCCGAGTCCGTACTGAAGCCACAGCCCACAAAGATCAATACGTCTGTCCAAACAAACCACGTCGCCTCTCTCTAGCAACCTGAGGAGGACAGTCTAAGCTCTGCACCCAAGGACCGGCGACCTAACCCAACACCGAGGCGCGAACCAAAACACTTCAATATCGACACGTCCCCGTCGCTCAAGACCGTTATTCAGGGCAAGTATTGCGAGGCGCAGCTCCGGCACGGCCTCTTCTCCTCCAATTCCGCTTCCGTTGGGGTCCCCTCCCGGATCGGAACGTCGGGCCCGGCCTTCGCCCGGCAGCAGCGGTCGGACACGTGGTAGCACCGGAGCATGTCAGTCCAGTAGACGAGCTCCCCGTTGGCCCTAGCGAGCGCTTGCTCCAGCTCACGCACATTTTCCTCCAAAGCGTCGTTGCCCTGGGTCAGCGTCTCCATCTGCTCCTTGAGCTCCGCCTTCTCTTGGGTCAGGTCTGCGACCTTGCGCTTGAGCGCATCCACAGTGGCGGCGTTCTCCTTGGTCTTGGTCAGAGAAAGCTGCTCCAGGTGCTGAATCGCTTCGGTGAGGCGGTCGAAAGCGGCAGCATATTCCGGCCCCAGGGTCGGGCCGGCAGAACTCGAAGGGCCCCCAGTCTCGTAGGCTGACCCCTGCAGGAGAAGAGCAACGCTGAATCGCTTCACTAAAAATGTAAACCTAAGAGGGTTCGACTCAGAAGGACTGAAACTACGGAAAAATCAAAGCCAGCTTCTGCTTTATGTTAACTGTACTTTGGTTAGCATACTTTCAGAGGACTGGACAAGGGTTAAACTTCCAGAGCAAGGGCAGAAGGTCAGCAGGATCTGACACTCTGGTGTTGATCCCCCTAGCAATCATGGGCACTGAGTTTGAGAAGGGAGTCTTTGAGCGAAGTGCACAGAATCCGATCTGCCTAAGGACAAAGACATCCAAGGATTGCAAAGATTCCGGAGGGGGTCGAACACCTCGAGCTGCTGAAGTACACTAGCTTCTATACATTGACAGTGTTTTCTGAACAGGATCCTTCATCGCAAAGGACATAGCTTCGTTCTTGGTGTAAGGTCAAGACTTATACAGTACATACGAGAGACATAAACATCTCGGACAAGACAAAGCTCAGGTCCAAGATATGCTCAAAGAAAAGTTCATTGTTCACGCTGGCCACTATGGCAGAGTCTTCTGGTAACAGATTCAAGGCGGGTCTGAGGGACCAGTCCTGTCAGGGTAGTTGGGCGTCCAAATAGCTCATCACAGCAGGAAGATTGAAACGGGTGGAAAGACTAAAAAAGCTATGCCCAAAAGGTGGCAAAGATTCAGACACCTTTCTCCACCCCTGGATCAGAGAAACAGCGAATAGCGTGAACGTGTGACCAGTTTTGCACTTTCAGGGAGGTGTGACGTCGTGGTAAGTCTAATTTCTTGACAAAGGGCCCCCCAATTCTTGGGAAACCTTCCACCAGCCCTTCTGCAGTGGTTTTGATTTCTGTTAACAGTTTGCAGTGGTTCCCATACAAGATTGCTGTCAGAAGCACTGAGCGTCCTGATGTGACATAAAAGTGATGAAGGTCTCAGTTCTGAAAACAAGTTTCTCAATCTCCTCAAAACTTGTCTCTTCTTTACTTTTCAAAAGTTATCTCTACAGTGCACTGAATCAAAGTGACCAGGAGACTTGTCATGCTTTCGAAGCAGATAAGAAGCTAGTACGCTGTCCCAAATTGTCACCCAACTTCTCTTCATGATCCATAGCCCTGAAGCTCTGTCCTTTTTTACCCCCCAGATTCTGGGAGCCAAGGAAAGGAAGTCCCACTCAAGGAAAGCCTAAGGCACATAGATAACGAGAAGGAAACAAAATATGAAACCGAATGCCTTACCCTAGCAGCTGGCGGAGAAGGCGTGGCCCCTTGAGCAGGATGGGTCGGGGGTGTCTCTTCTGCTCCCTCTGCAGAAAAAAAGAGGATATTTGGCATTCAAAACAAGGTAAATGTTAGGAAACCAAAGATAGTTTCTTAAGTAGGAATTTTGCCCCTGCAGAACTTCAGAACTCTCAAGAGCGTGTGTAAAAACAACCCTCTTTTGACCGACTTTTAGCTGTTGTGACCCCCTTTCCCTGAGCCCATGTCTGCCAAAACTGAAAGATGATGAAGCAAGATCGTTCCTGACCTTTTTGCAGAGCCCAGGTTTTCCCACTCCGTTTTCAGAAGTGAGAGAAGAAGTACGTGGGACAGCTGGAGACACGAAAGATCAAGGAAGGAAAACAATCAATCTCGAGTTGAGTTGACTCAAACTTCACCAAAGACTCACCTCCGTTTACCCTGGTCGGACTCTGCTGGCCCTTCTTCTCTTCCTTCTCCTTTCCCTTGCCAGCAGAGGAGTCCTCAGGAGACTTCTTCTCAGACATGATGGCGCTTGGGAGGAAGAGGCGCTTGCAAATTGGTCTGAAGGGACGCCTTAAGAGGACCTGGTAAGTGAAGAGTTTGGAGGATCGCGTGGAATGAAGAGTAAAAGCTGGTGGGTTCAGGCTTTCCTTCCAAAAAAGAGGGAACTGCAATTACCGGGTGCTTCGACATCAAGGTAGACATTTCATCACAGTGGAACCTGGATTAAGAAGATTCCAACGACCGAGGTCGACTTTTGGGAAAGGGTCACCGGCTTTGAAGACCCGGCCTCGATCCGTAGAAGAAATCCTACTACCCTTTGTGAGCCGCCTCCAGCCGGCTCCTCAGCTCTTCCGGTTGCTTCCCCACTCAACCGGGGCATAAAAGCTCATGAGAGGCTTCAATCAGATTTGCAATGTGCTGTGCGCTTTCGAAATGGGATGAACAAGCGGACCCAACGGACTTACCGTTGTTTTGCGGTCCAAAGTTCATCCTCTTTGCGTTCCCTCGAGAACTTGTCACATCAAGACAGGGCGGTCTAAATAGGTCTGGAACACAATCCACGATCTGAACCGTTGATGGAACCTTGAAGACCGCTGCAAGGTTTTCGAACCATACGATATGTAGAATAGAACGTTCTAGGCGCATCTTCAAGAATCTCGTACGTAGCATTTCGCTGCAGTTCATCTGGAGTCTGCCTCAGCTTTTCACTCGGAGCCGCCAAGGTTAAGAGCGGCGATATTTGTTTGAGGTGGTCACATCAATCAAACCCCCGCCAGGGTGAGCGTCCTGGATGACGTCACAGTCTCCTTGCACGTCCCATCAGGCTTCGACGGCAACCGTCTTCGGTCGAACCCTGCGGCCATACACCACACCTCTCAGAAGTACGGTTCCTTCACTTTGAATTCAGAAGCTGACGGAAAGCTACGACTTTACCCGCTTTGAAAGTACACGTCATCAGCTCGACCTGGCACCCGCTGTCCTGTCCACATATTTCGGGTATCCCTTCTATGCGCCCAATTTGCGCGCGCATACTACCGATCAGAGTGGCAAATGGCAAAAAGCTTGCCCGAGGTTTGCGCTCCAAATTTTCGTCGGATGGATGCAGAAACAGAAACGATTTGTAACGGTGCAGTAACTACATGCAAGCTGAGCTCAAAATGAAAGTGGCAAGAGCTCCGATATGCTTGATCCACGTGACGTCAGCACTGTCCCTACGGTCCACCGGTCACGTCAAGCAACAGGGGCTACTACGTCGTTTTGGCACCTGGAAAATTGCTCCTACGAGTTTGGAAGAGGTTGCTGTGGCAGATCTCTGACATGGGCTCTGGTCGAGAACACATATATCAACACGTCAATTACATCAAATACAACAATACATACATACGAAGTTTGAGTCTCGACAGAAGACTTCTCTTCCCAACGTGGGAGGATTGTGTCATTGAATATTCATCTCCAAATCTGTGCCGTGCACGAAGAGTATCCTGGTGTTCATCTGCATCCGCACAACAAAAGATAGGAGTTTTGGCAAGATAGTGACTTTATTGCGCATACTATTTCTGAGCCCTTCTAACGACTACGAACAGGATGCACTGCTTCGCTGGGGTCCAATATTGTATCTGAATCAGCTGACCAACTGATTATTTGGTCGCAAGGCTTCATTTTGGAACCTAGTAGCGGCCTGGTAAGGCACTCCTGTCAACGTTTGAAGCCCATGTAGACCAGATACCTTGTAAAGGTCAGCTTAACGAGTCTAGCACGCAAAAATAAGTAACTTGAATGGTGATCGAGTCGTTTTCGGCGGCTGGCTGATCAAGCTCGAGCTTTCAAGAAAGCTCAAAGCTTACAGCTCAAAGCTTACATCAAATCTAACTGAATCAGAAGCAAATAACAAAAAACTGCTTTGGGCTATCTCGACTGCGTAGCCTGCCCCTATATATGCAGCTTCTGGTGCGAAACTTGGTGGCAAGATCCTCGAGCTCCGCGGACCCATCCCTCAATGGTTGCATTCTACAGCCGTATGCAACTCTCGCATCTTTCTTTTCCCGCCGCCCTGGCTCTCTCACAACTCCCCTCGCTCATATCGTCGTTTGCTGAGCCGTTTGCCAGAAGGGGACAACCCCTCGTGACGTGATAATGGTCGCCGGATTGTTTCCAATAGATCGTCATTGTTTGAAGGACTCGGTTCGCTCGGCCAATTTGGGCTTCCAGATAGACGACCTGAGCACAACATGAGAAATCGTCAGGAACCCTTGAGCGTGCATGATCAATGAACGACCTTTTGAACCTATGACAATTGGGCCTTTTACCCAGCATAAAGGAAGGAGGGTACAAGAGACGTACCCTTGATTTCTGTCCTACCCGGCCCGGTGTGCTCGCTTGCGATGCAAAGCTGATTTTTTGATGCTTTGAATCAGAAGAGAACCGGATCGAATCTTGTAACAACGCGCCACTTAAAAGTTCTGAAACGTGAATCTCACACCATCATGAAATAGATGCACGAGAAACATTGTCGCCCACGTAATCGTCATCTAGCTAACATCGGCCATCAGAAGTCTCGGCTGCATGCGCTCTGGCCCTCTAAGTCTTGGGAAAAAGCAGCTTGAATGGAGCACTTGCAGCGTTTGGCAGCTCTATCATAATCCTTTGCCTTATGTTTTGTAGAAAGTGTTTTGGCTTTGTTCCAGTGGAGTTTCTGGATGCGCCTCGCGTATTTGACTTGCTGACATAAAAGCAAGCCGCAGATGTGGACACCTCGCAGACATTCAGGACGTCAGAAGAATGCGTTTATTCAATGTCCAATTCAGCCTCTGCACCAAAAGAAGGTACTAAGGGAGATGTCACCTGACTTCTGAGACTAGCCACTTCCGCGGAGAGTACTGCAGAGTTCCGGTTGAGCGCAATCAGCAACGCGGTCTCCAGTTGGGAATTAGATCGGTGCACTCGTTCCAGCTGTTCCAGTTGCTCGAGTAAGGTCTCGGAAGCGGTCTCGCCAGGGAGAAAACCAAACTGCCCCGGAGGTCGAAGGAGGAGCATCCCCTGACCCGAAAACGGGCCCTGCGACAGAAGGCGAAGTTCGATCACGCTGCTTGAAGGAAACGCCCTTTGCTGATCTGCTTGATGAGACGTACTCGCTAAGTGGGCAGAAAAGAAGAGCAAGCATGGATGTTGCTATGAGATTCTGCTCCATTCGATGCCAATGTCACTGAAGTTCAAGGGACATACTTAGAGTGCGAAACGATGAGGCTTGCAGAGTCTGCGAAGGAGCTGGTTGAGCACATCGCGATGAGCCCATCTTCAGCGTTTCGTTTAATTTGTTTCGTGTTTTGGACTGCGAAGTCAGCTTGCTGATTACAGCACAAGCTTTTCGCTGGCATTTTATTAACCACCTTGCACGCGGTTAGTACGTCTCCAGTTCATCCTGTGCTTCAACAGCAACGCATGAAGGTATCACACTCGGGTGAAGACCTAGTGGCTGATCCGAGGCGTATGTTGTGCGTCCTTTACCGGACTAGAATGGAACCGCATAAATCCCAGGCGAATGACAGCTGGCAGACCCGAGATGAAGCCGGCCAGGCTGTTAAATGACGTGACGCGATGCATGTTTAAAGACAAAAATTGCTTGCCGTTGCTTCTTGCAGAAAGGGCGTCCCTTCTCGTACTGGTGTGAAGTGTGGAGTTCCAATCCCTTCCTTTGTTGCTGCACCATCGGATGAAACACACCGGTTGCCAAAGCTTCCAGACCCAGATCCACAAAAGATGTTTTGGTTCTTTTAGTTCAATATGAACCCTATGATACTTTGACTGATCTCTCCTTTTTCCCCCGTTTGACAGCGTCCAGTCAGGCTCCCTTCAAAACGGAAGGGCGACGTGTTTCTAGAAATCCTCAGATCCCAGATGAAAAGACATCAATACATCATGCAGCCTAAAGCACTTTGATCTTGTTCCTAATCTCTGCAAGTGGACTACCATAGCACGCCCATGAGTCGGCGTCAGATCGCTTCTCAGTGCTCGGAACGTGAGTTCTTACCTTCGAGATCAGTGGGAGCCCGCTGTTCCAGATCGACCCCTGGATGTTCATCTTTGCCCGTGACTGCAAAGGACCATTCACCAGAGCGCTCGATTCCTTCGGCCATAGCGCACGGGCATCACCTGAATTGAATTCAGAGATTTTGCGAAGGGCGATTTGAAGAAAAGACTTGCTTGAACACACGCAAGCAATTTAATTTTAAGAAGAGGTAAGATGCCAGAGTTAAGAAAGGCGCCCCTTTTACATACCTTTGAAGGTGGAGTTGCACATCCTAGCTAAAAGGAGACTGGGGCAAAAGCTTTGAGTAATGTGCAACTCCTAGCTTTCAGTACTGCACAACCCAAATAGCCAGGCGACTCATAGATCTGCATGTCACGTCAAGAACACAGGCCGGAGCAGGCTTTGCATCTATATACGCGATTTGGAAAATGTTTACTACGTCATAAAACCGTATGCACTACGAATCAATTCTGCTTGGTAGTCAAATCATGCGAACCATCGTCTAGCACGAAATCGAAGCGGCCAGTGAGAGTGAGCGAGCTTGTTTAAGCTTGTCCATCCGGACATCGAGCTGCTTGAATCCTTATAACGCTTCCAAAGATCTTACCCTTAAAGATAGAACCCGCGGATTGAGGTAAAAAGAGCGTTCATCATAACCGCAATTTATTGAGGGAGATCTTCAATCAAAGCAAAACCAATCAGGGTGCCAACATCAGCGGAAGAACTACAGGACAGACATTTTGCGAAAGAGGGGGCTGAATCGAAAACACGCCCGGCGGCCGGCAAACGTCAATATTAATGTCCGTACACACGTGCGCCATTTGAGTCCTGCAAATCCACGTCAGCAGAAGGTCTACTGCAGGCCAGAGACACGTGTCAATGCGAGGGCCCCAATCATTGATATTTTCGGAAGTAAGCTGCAATAGGCTTGCTGCAATAGGCTTTTCCGACTGACTATAAGCTCTGGCGCAGACAGGTGAGCAAGCTGAGCATTTCAGTAGGGTTGCATGATTGTCCGTGGGTACGTAGGAGTAAGTTCAGAATGTAAAGACTGCTTGGAAGACAGCCGCATCCATATCCCTATCTACTCTCAGAAGCCCAGAACGTGCGAAGGAGCGCTCATCGATCGTTCCGACGCAGCTCTCCGCTCTCGACCTGCCCTCGCACCACCTCGTTTACCTCTGCTCCCTTCCCCTCGATTCGAAACTCGTTCAATAAGCGCCTCGTCTGTGTCCACGTCGCGCTTCCGAGATGGCGCCATTCGCCGGCGCCCCGGCCAATATTTCAGAAAAGCAGATTCAGACGGCTGCTCGATCGCCCAGATTAGCAATCCAACAAGCTCTGCCCGGCTCCGGCACGGTCCACGGGTCACTTCTGCCACCTTGGAGTCTGATTTTGAGGATACACGCTGATTGAGAAGAAAGAAGTTTCATTTTGGAGATTCGAGGCGGCCATCCAGCTGCCAACGGACTGGCCCCCCTCGTGTAACAGCGTGGTTTGTGTCTACGAACTGCCAGAATCGTGCGGGGCTAACAATCTATGCTAAAGCCGTCGTCACTGAGGGTTCGAGCGGTGGACCGCTGTCTCGCTCGAGGGAGTAGAATTAGGCAAGGCCCTGAGCGCTTTCGGGAAAACGGCGATCCACACGAAGGCAGTAAAGTATTCCCCGACGTGCAAGAATTCCGAGGTCCCCATTGTTGAGGTTTTGCATGTTCGCGCGCAGTACTAGACGATTAGTTCTCACAGGCCATCGTAACCCAGCTGGGGTCCAACGTTGATGATTTGAGTTACTCCTGTGAGCTGCTAAGCTTTCGGGGTGACCCTTCTCTTTGAGGGATTATGCTCGTGTCGTCAAACGTTTGTCAAGTCCGCACTCTGCTGCTTCTTGCGACTGCATGAGTACAGCTTTACAGCCTTGTACTGAGAGCCCTGAAAGACAGCAGCTTTGATAACATACAGAAAAGAGTATCTACATACCAAAGCAGTGGCCTTTACGTGTCACTTTTGCGCCGTTTACAACCCGATGCTTTCAAAAAACTCAATTCCGCACACTTTCAAAACTTTTGTAATTCTGATCTCTTGCCACAAAGTTAAGCGGCCCTCTTGGAGCTCAATTGGTCGTTCTCGGCTCACAGCGCCGTTCAGAGATGGCTTCCGGGACGATTGTCGCTTTCCTGACCTACTTATGGTCGGCGTCTTCGGGGCGGAGGTGGGTTATGACTGCTTTTTTCAATCTGCATGGTATGAGAAAACGAGCTGTTAGCATCTTCGTGCAACTGAATTCTATATTCCTATGATTAGATGAGTCCGCTCTGGAAGCAAAGTCCGGAAAATTGAAAAGGGAAAGCCCCTTATGGGCTTTTGAGTCACTGGTGTTCCCTTTCTCGTTCTCTGCTTTCCGGTCTTTGACGCGCGCTTTGGTTACGACCGAAAGGTTATTGTAGTCCACTTAGCCTGTCATCGTTCAATTAAGTCGGGTACTGTCTTTCGGTCGGGCACAGAGATGACTCAAGTTGCCATACATCAGGTCAACCAACGTGCGCCATTCCTCCAATTATGTTTACCCCTGTATAATATCGTCTCCAACGCAAGCCCCTAAACGTGCTGCAATGCATTCTGCTGTTAATTGAGCATCACATCTCGTATTGCAGTAACTTTCAAACTGACAGGTGTCCGCCAGTCTCGCCCTCACCCAGTCGGGCGGAGGTGCCGCCACTCAGCCCCGCCACACTAGTTCCACCGGCTCCCGCAAACTGCTCCAAGGTGAGCTTGGGCACTACAGCAACCCCTCGCTCCTGTTCGCTTCTACAATTGGTTGAGAGGAATCACCTGCAGTCAACCTGAACAGAAAGACCTGCTTTCAAATGACAAGCGCAACACGCGCGAACGGTGTAATTGCGGTTAGAGCCTTGTCCCTATCGATGTCCGTCCTGTTCCGTGCAAAGTCGACCGGAAGAACCTTTTACTTTCGCGCCTAGTAATTGCCCTGCTTCATGTCATTGATCAATTATCTTACACTCTCCTCGCAGTGCTCCCCCCCCGGTACGTCTGCTTGCAGGCGGGATTAAACCCGTGCGTGCTAGCGCCAGACTCTCCTCTTCTGCCAGTACTAGTTCCCGCTATAATTCCCGCGAATTTTACATTTTGCTGCCCCGCGCCACCTATGGTCTCCCCGCAAGCCACGGCCGCCCTGCCGGGTTACTGCCCCCCCTACACAAGAGCTTCGCAGCTTTTCGAGCTCTGCGCCTCTGCGTCCCCGGTCACCGGTCTTCCCCCAGTCACGCCAGCGCCCACTCCGAGTACTCCCGGAGGTGCGGTTCGAGTTCTGCGCCATGCAACATCCCAATATTTGTCCCGCATCGCTTTCCGGGATCGCCCCGTTTCCAACTTTCGCAATCCTGTGCGCAATGATGAGAACGCATGGGGCCTTCTTATATCATGCACCCCTGTTTGTTGGATGCTCCTTGCACTGACGGCTTCCGATTCTTAGAGCGATCACTCTCCTTGTCAACAGCCACAGCGTCAACAATGGTGAAAACGCACGTAGACCTGCTTCGACGGGTTTGATTTTTTCTCCCCCTTCAAATCCCGAAGTTCCGTCCTCGCGTTCGGAGCGCACGGCCTTCGTTTATAGAACATCGTCCCTTTCAATCTCCATCTTGTTCCGGTAAAAGTTGAACTGTTCACTTCGCGTCTAGTTGCCCTGATTCATGTCATTAACGAATCTTTAAAACTCTCCTTGCAGAGCTCCCCCCCGGCTCCGTCTGCTCGGAGGGATTGAACCCCTGCCGGTTAGAACCACTTTCTCCTCTGAGTGGATACTTCTCGAGCGTTCCGAATGTCAGATTTTGCTGCGGGCCACCGACGATCTCACCGCAAGCCGCGGCCGGCCTGCCGGTTTACTGCCCCGTCAGAGCTTTTTCGGACCTTGACCTCAACTGTGCATCACCGTTCCTGGCCACTCTTCCCCAAGTCACGCCAACGCCCACCCCGGGTATACCAGGTGCGGTTCGAGTTCTGCGCCATGCAATATCCAAACGCTTTCCGGAATCGACACGTTTTGACTCTCAACAATTCTGTGCGCAATGCATGATACGCCTGTGGCCTTCTTATGACATGCATCTCTGATTTGTCAATTGTTCCTTGCAATGACGTCTCCCGATTCTTTGAGTGATCGTTCTTATTGTCCAAAGCCCGGGGACAAAAGGCACAGCGTAGAAAAAGGTTACAATGCAGGAAGAGCTACTTCGACGGGTTTGGTTTCTGTCTCGCTTTTCTACTTCTAGAATTCCGACCCCGTGTTTGGAGCGCGTCCGGCCCCAAGCTGTTCCTCGCTCACTCTCGTTGCACTTCGACTAGCCGGTTAGCTTTTTGTCTCGACAGCGACAAAACCCTCATACGTACCGCGAGTAACCCCAAAACCTAACCCACAAAATCCAAAACTCTTCCCTCCAGTCTCTATACCCACAAATCCCTAAACTCACAAAACCCTGCCATTCCGCAGTTGTATGCCCGGCGAACTCCACCGCCTGTATCTTTCCGGGCCAGAACCCGAACGGCCAGCCTGTCTGCTGCCCGGGGACTACTTGCCCGGCCGCTTTGAACATGATGATCAACTGCAGTCCTCTTTAGGAGAGCAGTGCCAGCCGTCGAAGGGCTCGGCGGAGGCTACGGTTAAAAAAGCGCTGGACGGCCGGAGAACTTGACCTCAATCGTTGGAGTGAAGTTCGGGGGAACGCTTGGAACATGCTTTTCCGCATTAGTTCGTTTGTGTACCGTAGGGAGAGTCTGTAGACTCTAAGAATTGGCCGTGATTTCCAGGAGTGATATGGAAGCAGTCTTTTAGGAGTCGCTGCTAGTTGAGCTAGGATAAGCTGGGGCAGATCCTTGTAGCTGACAGTGTAGGTAACCATATATTCACGACGTTGTCATTCGATCGAAGATTGTGGAAATTGAAAACACGTTGTCAATCATTTTGCTCCCCTGTGTGCCACCGTCAATATACATACCGCGTTTGGTTACCTAGCTTTCACTGAATGAACTTCAGCAGGAAAGCTTCAAAGCGCTTCAAAAGTGGATGAATTTTGCAGACTCCGAGCGGCATGTATAATCTTCCACTGATCATGCTTGAGAGGACGTTTGGAAGATAAGGCGTAATGTTTGCACAGACAGCTTCATGTTCGGGTTCCGTTGTTATCACCAGCTAGTATGCCGCCGGTACTGTCCTGTTGTCTTGTGCGTTTTTGCTGGACGTTCCACATGCATGAGTTTACCCAGGCGAACACCAGAGGATTCTCAGCCGGTGAAGGCAAACGGGCTTCTCAAACAAAACGACGGAAACCCTGCCGTTGAAAATACTGCCCAAGCCGAGGCGTTTCTCTTTGTTATGCATATGGCAAATATCCTTTGCCGCCTCTTTAGAAAGAGGCGAAACCGATCAAATTTCCTTTTAGCCAAACTTGCCAGAGGTTGAAGCAATCGGAGCCGATTTGCTTGCTTCCATCGTCATAGCACCAAAAGAAGCGACACAGAATACTAATCAAGCGGGAAGACCAGACAGCATCCAGAATCGATCTTTTGATTTGTACCAAAGGCTTCCAAGGATTCTATTTCGTCTTAGCTACATGTCACTTACAGCGTCGAAGACTGGTATCCGTGCCGATCTGCCATTCAAAATCCACGGCCGCACATGCTTCGAGCAGCTTACTTTCCTTACTGGGAATCCGAAGTAGTTTGCGGAGGCTTCCAAAGGCATTGCCGTTGAAGAAGCAGAAGAGCAGAAAATTTGCAATGCAGAATTTGCCGCTTTCGTGCAGAAGACTTTGTACGGATCACTTAGATTAGAAGTAGATGCGATGAACCCAGGGTTTCAGAAGTTTAGCGGGGCACCTTCGAGAGTGCGCGGGCGGCCGCGTGGCCGGGCCGCAAACAAGCCAAGCTCGAACGGCCCGAATTTCGTATAAGCCAGCGTGTCGGAGCTTGAAAATTTTCAATCCAAAACAACGCCAAGCGTCCACACGCTACTCCGAACCTTCAAATAATATCTGGCGCAACCAAACGAGGACGCCCCGTATCCGCAGAACTGTTTCGGTTCTCGTTGTCGATGATCTGTAGGAGCTCGCTTGGAAGCACTTACTGCTTTGAAGGACAGCCGCCATCAATATTGCATTGTGTTCCACAAGATCCTCATTAATCCTAGAATCTTGTGCTTACTTTCTCGTATCCATCTCGTCAACCTCTGATTTCTTCCCCTCGCAGTACCTCGTTCAAATATCATAGCGTCTCGTACGAGGATAGGCGCTCAGCCGGCTAGCTAGGATTGGTGCCCCGGCCCATCATGGTAACGAAGTGCGGACTGACATGGATGCTGATGGGTCTTACTTCCCGATGACCTCTACCCGGCTCTTTCTGCTATTTGCAGATCTTAAAGTTCTGACAAATATTTCCAAGCCAAAATTGAAGAGGAAATCTCATTTGGGCGTATCTAAGCCGTCCAGTGCCAACTATCGGACGGCCCATTTTCGTGGAAAAAGGCGAGAAAGCTGTGAGTGGCCAGATATCAAGATTTTGTCGCTCCAAGCGCCGTACGAAACAAACATTTCCCAGGTATCCTTTTCTCACATTGGGCGCTAGCGCCCTTTATTCGAGAGAGTGGGATTGCTGCAACTCAAGCACGACGCTTTACAGCGCTTCCGCGCGTCGGAGAACCCATTGGGGCCCAAAAGTGAATCCCGACGGACGGGAGCATTAGACTCAGAATCCGAGGGCCCGGTTCGTGGGCTCTCAAATACTAAGGACGTGCGAGCGCTTACACTAGGGAGTCCTTTCTCGCCAGGCCGTCGCAATGCCTGGCTGGCCTCCAACGTTGCGCACTGACGTCGATCATGTGAACACCCCACTCTCCGAGGGACTCTGCTCTTCGAAGGCTCCTGTCTGTGTCCATAAGCATGGTCACGGCCGCATCCTGCTGCTGCTTGCGACCGCATCGGTAAGCCTTTGTCCACTCTTCTCGAGTGCCCTGACAAACAGCTGCTTGGCGAACCATACTGACGCGAGTGCAATGCAGTGGGCTCAAAGCTCCACGTTCTTTCGGGTATAAAAGTCGTGTTCTGCATAAGGAGGCCACACAAGTTCCGAAGCCCATCAAAGCTGATTGCTCGCTACAGCTGTAAGCCGCCTCCGATCATTTCCAGTCGCCAAGCGCGCCGTTAGAAGATGGCTTCCGGGGCGATCGTCGCTGTCCTTGGCTTGCTTCTGATGGGCGTCTTTGGAGCGGAGGTGAGTCGTGACCTCTTTCCTATTTTTGGTTCGGAAACCAAAGACAACCTTTGAGTTGTAGTATTTTCTAAGTAGCACGCACAATTTTTAAAGCGAGTTCGATCTGCTTTCGACCAAGCCTACTCAGGCAACAAAAAAAGGGAGTGCAACCCTGTGATAGTGCTTTTTGGGCGTTAAGAGTTATTGAGAACGATTACCTTGCGTCCTCTTCTGTAGGCGCTCTTTGATTGAAAGCTTTTCACGTCCATTGAAGAAGTTTACAATCATTTATCCAGGTTTAACCTCGATGGCTTGACTACGATTTCTGGGCTAATTGCCTTCAGTTGCTATCTAGTTGTCAAGTTCTCCCTTAAAAATACTCAGACCTAGACAACCTATGTATGCATACGCATCGACAGCTATGCGTCCGCGTATCCTTTTATCCTTGTTAATCTGGCAATCTGCATTAGTCGCCCCTGCTTGGCTTCAAAAGTAATGAAAGTTTCTCATTTCTGACAGGTGTCCGGCGGTCTCGTCCTCACTCAGGCGGGCGGTGATGCCGCCGCTCAGCCCATCGAGTCTAGCACTGGCATTCCCCGCAAGCTGCTGCAAGGTATTATTAAGCACTGCAAACGTTCCTCTAATTTGTGTCCTTGATGTTTTTTTCCTTGATGAATGCTGTCCCTTGACTCCGACCAGCGAAAGGCGCCTGAATAGAACTCTCAAATGAAAAGGGCCTCCGACGCCTTTTGCACTAGGTCGTCCTGTGTTCCTGTTACATGACGCCTTTTGTGCTAAATCGTTCCATATTCCTGTTACATGACGTCAAAATGAAGGAACGTTAACGTTGCTTTCGACTGTCCGTCTCAAGTTCCATGTCAAATTTCTCACGAAGTGATTCTTCACTCCTCGTCGCAGGCCCCCCGGTCATCTGCGCGGTGGGACTCACGGTGTGCACCGTCTCGGCGCAGCTCCAAGTAGCGCTGGGGACACGTTTCTCGACCTCCCAAGTGTGTTGCCTGGGGGCTATCTGCCCGACCGGTCTGGGGGCGACCGTCAGACGGTGCGTCTCGCCCCTGACCCCTACCCCGACGCCGACTCCGACTCCCACGCCCAGCCCTACCCCTGGTCAGAACCCCTTTTCGCCTTTCACCCTTATGTTCGCGTTTTGATTGAAGTGGGGTCTTGTTGAGAACCCCTTTCTTCTTTTTTTCGCTCGCTTGATTGAAGTGGGGAGTGCAAAGCCTTTTTGAAACTCAAAACTGTTGATCCTGTTGGGTTTTGGAAGTCGAGACGCTGGAGCGGGCGATAAAGGACATGGTCATTGTGGGCGGCTCTGTCTTACCACTGCCATGCCCCCGATTTTTTGTGAAACGGTGCTTCTAGAGAGTGTGAAGGACCTGAAAGTATTGCCAGGTGGGCTTCCGTCAAGCTTCTCTTCCCGCAATCGGATTTCAATGGTAATCATACATCTGGGTCAGTCGCTTGAGTTGCGTTTTTCCGGAACCTGGCTGCTTTTCGTTGACCGAGTCAAAATTGAAGCTCGGATGGAATCTAGCAGCCCGGTTCCTGATTTGCTTTTCTTCTTTTGGCGTTCCGCCCCAAGATAGAATGCCCCACTCTCTTCGTTCTTCCGCTCACCATCTCGCACTCTTCTACCCGGCCAGCTTCACCTTCCCGAAATCCCTACGACCCACAAAACGAAGACATCTCAAAACTCAAATCTTCGAAGCCTGAAAACTGGAGATCCGCAAGTTCCGAGGCTCTAAAACCTCCTTACCGCCCCTCAAAAACACTCCAAACCTTAAACCTCGAAACCCTTTCGTTCCTGAAGGTGTCTGCGGGGCGACCCTTACCCTCTGCACCTTCCCCGGCCAGAGTCAGTTCGCCGCGGCGGCCGTCAACATCCCGACGGTCGAGCTGTGCTGCCCGGAGACTCCTTGCCCGACCACTCTCGGCGTCGCGATTAATACGTGCAGCAGGCTCCCGACCCCTACCCCGACTCCGACTCCTACTCCGACCCCGAGTCCTACCCCCATTGCAACTACATGTGAGCTGTTTTCAGAATCCCGAGAACCTATACGATGGCTCTATTTCTCGATTGAAGCTTCCATACTGCAGAAGGTTGCGAGACTACATGGCTTTTATGGGCGGTGTTTCGCCGATGGTGATTCGCCGTTCGTGAGACGCTATGGCCGCTCCCCACTCAATTGGCCCGAGCCCGAAACAGTTGAGTTGAAGGAACAGGTCGATCTGGTTTTCCTTTACGATTCTCGGATCAGAATACTGTCGCGTCCTTATGTTTGAGAGCACTTTCTTACTGACCGTTAGATTCTTAAAATTAAGACTGTTCACCAACAATATCACCCTCCTGATCTGCCCGGTGGTTCCCGATAAATCCTAACTACACAAGCTGTCCCTCCTCTTGCCGCTTTGCATAATTAAATATCGAAACCCACTCATAACCCGCCTGTTATAACCGATTTGCAGCTGCCGGGTGCCCCGTCGGCAGCTGCCTGTGCCCGGCGAACGCCCCAAGACTGCGCCTCACGGTTTTGACCTGCTGCAGGCTGAGCGTCTGTCCTTGCCTACTCTATCAGGCAAACCCGCTTCTAACCCGTCTCTAACCCGCTTGCAGCTTCCGGGTGCCCCATTGGCAGGCTAATGTGCCCGGCGAACTCTCCCAGACTGAGCCTCACGTCCTTCTCCTGCTGCAAACTGAATAAATGTCTTGCCCTTGCATAATCCATCCTGAAAACCCGCTCCTAAACCGTCTCTAACCCATCTGCAGCTGCCGGGTGCCCCATCGGCAGCCTCCTGTGCCCGGCGAACTCTCCCAGACTGGGCTTCACGTTTTTAACCTGCTGCAAGCTGACTGTCTGCCTTGCATACTCTATCAGGCAAACCCAACCCTAACCCGTCTGTAACCAATGCTTTGCAGCTGCCGGGTGCCCCATCGGCAGGCTCCTGTGCCCGGCGAACGCCCCCAGTCTGGGCGCCACGTTCAACGTCTGCTGCCAGCTGAATGTTTGTCCCTCCAGCAACAACCAGTTCGTCCTCCAGGGGCCAGCCTGCGATATTTTCCCCACGATCCCGACACAGACCCCCACGCCTACACCGACTGCTTAGCTGACCAAAGTAGTAGTGTCAAATAGTGACAGCTGTTTGCCGTTCAGAGTGTGAGTTTTGTAGTCGCACAAAGTTTTGACGCCAAGCGTGTGAGCCGTCGCCCCAGAAGATAAGGAGACGTTTTCCAAGGCCGCAAGCAAGTTAGCAAAGCTGACACTGTAAATGGACAGTAGGCCGCCTTCACACCCGCAAAAGTTACTATCTTCACTGGTGTTTCGAGTTCAGAAATAGAAGGGCAAGCAGATTGTGTAGTACTGTAAAGGATTCTAAATAAGCGCCAAAGAACAGTAACGGCAGACTTCGAAAGGAAGTAGAGAGAGCTCTGTCGTAGCTGATTTCAATGACGTTGGTTCTTCAGACTAAATTTTACATACTCTGCTCCCTTGAGAAGATTTCACATCAATACCTGATACGTTTTTTCGATTGCGAAAGAGCCAGCTCCGAGCAGCGGGCTTTCGAATACGAGCGCAGACTTGACCCCTTGGCGTGAAATGATTACACTTGAGGTTTTCGGTCAAAACAATCCTGAGGACATTTTGGCTCGCTCAGAGTTTATCAGGTCGAATCGTATGGCGTACTCATTTTCCAATTCAGATTCTTTGAACTACCAATGAAGAACATGGTAAAACCGATCCTGATTGATCCTGATCATCTCAACCATTTCCGCATATGTGCAACTGCGTAGAAAAACAACTCTCTACGCCGGTCAAGCATGCGTGACTTTGGCTCTCTGATTAACCCATGTGCATGAGAAGTATCAATGATATGTGAGGAAAGCAGTCTCAGCACTTGAATAAATGTTTTTATCCCTAACGATGTCTTAGGTTAATTAGTTATCACTTTCATGTGCCACGAAGCAGATTGATAGAATACCAAAGTTCTCTCCTGATGCACCTAGAGAAAAGACGGCTCGTCGTTTTGAAAGGAGCAGCGAGAAGAGCTCATAGAAAGAGGAACGACCTTTGCAATTTGGAGCCAATATTCCTCATGATTTGGTCTCTTTTCTCACCAAAGCGGCTTCGTCGGCTACTTTCACGGAGCAGATTTGCTCCGTTTCGGTCCCGGTTTGGCACGGTTTTGGAGCCAACGCTCAGACTATATTGAAGTGAAAGTGGGCGCAAGTGCTCTGAAGAGCTGCGCATCTTCGCAGGTTCGTTTGAATTTAACTGATCACTCGGGTGAGCATGTTTGGAAGCAGATATTGCTTAGAGGACAGCCGCCGTTCGTCACTAGGCTGTCCTGGCTTAGAAGAACCCTTCCAAAGGGGCAGGCTGCCAGTCTGAGCGTGCGCGGCGCGCGCGTCGCAAGTGCGGCGCCAGTTTCAGCGCACGAGCGCGTGGCGCGCTTGCACCGCTCAGTGACATCACAACTGAAACAGGGGGAGGTCGAAGCTTTTGCGCGTTCAGAACAGGAAACAGTCATTAAAGCTGTGATGATTCGATTACTGGCAACGTTCGCTTAAACTATGAGTCGCTTGAATTAAGATCCGAGTCCCCCGGGCAAATAAACCAAAGTGCCTAACCCAAAAGCTTACGCGCTCCCCACCCGAACCCACCCTAACCCCCAAACCAACCCCACCCGTCTCCCGGGCGCCTTTCTTGTTCAAGCGCCCGTTAGTTCAAGCGAACGTTGACAGAGTGTGATTC